CGAAGGGCAGAACTTCATATCAATTGCCCTTTTTCGAAGATCATAATAACCTCGTTTACATGACCGTAATAGCGGTAAACCGCTTTGTTGTAGAAAATTTTTATGACACGTGGACAATACGTGAATGATTAACAATGGACCACTTCACGCCATTGATTAGATTCCCACATATCAATTAACTTTTATTGTTCTACTACCAGGAACTCATCATTAATTATCAACAGAACACTCAGTATAATCTGTTGAGGACTATGTATTCAACTCTATAACACCAATCACGAGATTATGTGTCTTCTATATCTGTGCATTATTCTGTACTGGCCGTACAATTGTATAGTTACATAGTGGAGGTTGATCGTAGCCATGTTTGAAAATTGGGTTTTGAAAAAAAAAGGTTCTCTTTCCAGCGTGCCAAATGTTAGTTGGGTCAGATCTAGTTACAGTCATTTTCCATAGCCCTAGGTCTTGACCGGCATATACGGCCGACGTGGAACCCATGCTCTACAGGTCACACTTTTAATCTTATTTTGCCGAAACTTGAAATATAAGTTTATATCCAAAAGATCTTGAATCCTTTCGATATTCGCGCATATCGGACTGTAACATCCTGGATTATGGCTCCTAATTGTACGAAAAATCACGTTTTTAGCTTTTGGTTCCTCTAGAGGTCCTAATTTTCATCCGATTTAAAAAAAACATTCAAATATATCACCGTTACACCATAATGATGGTCAAATTTCATGAAAATCGGACCGAAACTGTACAACGAAATGGCCACTCCCTGTACGCAAATATATATTACGTCAAGGTTGTGGTTACAATTTTTATTCTATTTTAAAAATTGTTTATATATTTCATTGTTACACCCTGATGAGGGTGCCCGACAAAATGGCCGCTCCTTGTACTCAAATAGTGTAAATGTATGTAATACAATCTTTGTCAGATTTTGATGAAACTTAAAATATATGTTTATGTCCTAAAGATCTCAGTTAGTTTCCTGGATTATATGGCCCCTGATTGTACAAAAAAACATGTTTTTTTTTAGCTTGTTCTCTATCCCTCTCCATCAAAATATGGGCGTATCTTGCATGGCAACCATAGGTTCCTTCTAGTGATGGTCTGATATGGCTACTATCGGTTTTACTGATATCAGATATTGACAGCAAAATATATATTGTCCGATACAATTACCAATAGTTGTGGATATAAAACTATTACACATTAAAATGTCTCGAATGTCATGATAATCAATGTAATTACATGTCATTGTTAGTCAGGAAATGCCAGGTACTATTTACCTCGGGAATCAAACAGGAACACAATGGTCTTTTTTTAAGGAAAAAATTATTGGGGCACACTTCCACCACAGTTGGAAATACACACCATCTATTGCAGTGATGGGTAAACTCTGGCCCGTGAAACCCAATAATCAACTAGCTTGGTTGACCGATCATGGCGAGATTAGTTCACCAATGTTTTTGTAATAAAGTATACTCGTATTCTTTGTTGATTGACGTTATGATTTGATATTAGTTTACCGATATTTATGTCAACTGGCATTATGATTTTATATTTTAGATTAGTTGTCAAACCCATGTTTTGAAGAAACATGGGTTTGTCTGTCTGTCCCTTGATCACTTCAAAAAATTTTGTGGATGCTCTAAAGGCCAAAGTTAATATCCGATTGACTTTAAATTTATACACAGTGTTTAAGGTCATAAAGCGAAGAAGCCTATTGATTTTCAGCGATTTCCGATAATTACTGCCAGAGTTATGGCCCTTGATCAATTCAAAAAAATTTGTGGACGCTCTAAAGGCCAAAGTTAATATCCGATTGACTTTAAATTTATACACAGTGTTTAAGGTCATGAGACGAAGAAGCTTATTGATTTTCAGCGATTTCAAATAATTACTGCCAGAGTTATGGCCCTTGATCACTTTGAAAAATCTTGTGGACGCTCTAGAGGCTAAAGTCAATATCCGATTGACTTTAAATTTATACACAGTGTTTAAGGTCATGAGACGAAGAAGTCTATTCATTTTCAGTGATTTTTTATAATTACTGCCAGAGTTATGGCCCTTGATCACTTCAAAAAATCTTGTGGACGCTCTAGAGGCCAAAGTTAATATCCGATTGACGTTCAATTTATACACAGTGCTTAGGTCATAAGACGAAGAAGCCTATTGATTTTCAGCGATTTACAATAATTACTGCCAGAGTTATGGCCCTTGATCACTTTGAAAAATCTTGTGGACACTCTAGAGGCAAAAGTTAATATCCGATTGACTTTAAATTTATACACAGTGCTTAAGATCATGAGACGAAGAAGCCTATTGATTTTTAGCGATTTTCGATATTTACTGCCAGAGTTATGGCCCTTGATCACTTTGAAAAATCTTGTGGACGCGCTAGAGGCAGGCTAAAGTCAATATCCGATTGACTTTTAATTTATACACAGTGTTTAAGGTCATGAGATGAAGTCTATTCATACACAGTGTTTAAGTTCATGAGACAAAGAAGTCTATTCATTTTCAGTGATTTTCGATAATTACTGTCACAGTTATGGTCCTTGATCACTTTGAAAAATCTTGTGACGCTCTAGAGGCTAAAGTTATCATCCAATTGACTTCAGATTGATACACAGAGTTTAAGAGCTTGAGACGAACAAGTATATTGATTTTCAATGAATTTTTATGACTTGAACAGCTAAATCCATGATATTAAAAGTTTTGTATACTAAACGTTAGCATGGGGCAGAACTTTATAAAAACCAAACAAATTCTAATGGTTTTCTGATAATGACTTCATGAGTTGTTACTCTTGATCAGATTTTAGTGTATTATAAATGTTTCATTACCGAAAGAAGTAAAAATATGTGACAACACTTGTTGACTGCCCGGATGATTTAGCTGCTGTGGGCGTATGTTTCGTTGCCTAGCAACCTATCTTAATGTTTAGACATCATTTAATTGACTTGATATGATCTGAATAAAAATTATTCAATGGATAAACATTTGTTATAAGATTACTTCATGATGTCTAGCATCGTTTATCTTCTTTATAAAAAGGTAATTTACAATTACATTGACAGTTTAATCACTCACCAAAATACATCACAGACTCTAGATATTATCAGGTGTTTTTATACGCCCCTATCCGTCCATCCGTCCTTCTGTCTGTCTGTCCGTCCGTCCACAATTTTTTTGTGGACACTCTACTGGTCACAAATTTTATCTGATTATGATGAAGCTTGAAATATAGGTCTATCTCCCAAAGATCTCAGTTACTTTCGATAATGGCATGTATCGGACCATAACTTCATGGATTATGGCCACTGATTATACGAAAAATCACGTTTTTAGCTTGTGGACATCCTAGAGGTCACCATTTTTATCTGATTTTGATAAAACTTTATCATGTTTATAGCCCAAAATTGCAAATTTGATCCCTTTTCTCCAATTCTAGACCAAAAAGTCAACCCAAAAAATGCAGGAAGAGGAGAGAAAAAAAATAAGTAAAAAATAATCTATTTATAACTCGCACTAAATTCGTCCATCATGAAATAAGGGGAAATAATTACTAAAATCATGCTTTTTCGTTGATGGATTCTCTAGAGGTCACAATTTTTTAAATGTGCTAATTATTTGGATCGTCTTCATTTACTGCACAACCACTGCATTATGACCTACGATATCAGCATGCATTGATATGGGGTTGAAGAGAGGCCTCGACATACTGCTGCGTTCTCTTATTCTATCATTTTGATCATCATGTAATGGACTTATTCCATATACCAGGCATATGTTTTATCAGATGAACTGTTGTACGTTTATGTCTGTTTGCACAGCACAGAAATTGATTCTTAAAAAAAAAACATTGAGAGACTCGACCTCTCAAAAATGTGTGAATAAGGATTAAAAAAATAATGTAGACTGCTAAAAATTTTGCACTGTTTATTATTTCCTTTTACGGCCTAATATAAAATAAAAGTGCCTAGGGTCAAGCAAAATAATGATTTAATTGTTCATAACTCAAATGATATTTTAGAGTTATTTACCGAGTCCTTTTGAACAGATATCAGCAACTCCAATATCAGCAAAATGACAGAGTATTGGCCGATACCGCTTTTTACAGATAGGCCACTTATAGGCCAATTACCGCTGTTGAAAACGATTATCGGACCATCTCCACTCTACAGGTTCTTCAAAACTTCCCCCAAAGGATCATATAGCAGTTGCACAATATATCATTTACAGTGAAAATAGATCACTATTCCTCATGTTTTTAAAAAAAAATCTATTCTGTTATTTTGATAAACATAATTATGAAACTGAGGGTGTAACATTTACAATAAAGGAAAAAAAAATCAATATTTGTATAAGCCATGTGTTAAAACTCTATAAATTTTAGAATACATACTAGGTAATAACATTGTCTACTGTTTTCAAATCTTCCATTATTACTTCATCCAAGTTACAACTTCATCCATTGGTTTGTACATTCAGTCATTGCTTCATATATTCATTTATCTTTTGATTCATCATCAATTCATCAGTCTGTACATCCATATAGAACTTCATTCCTTGTTGATTTATATGTTCCATCATTTCCTCAAATCCCCGGTTGTACGCGACAAGGAGTAGGGTCACCTGTCCAACCTTGTGGGTTTTCTCTGGGTCCTCCGGTTTCCTCCCACTGTTCAATATTCCTATGTGCAAGCAAATTATTGAAATACAATTCTAACATGTTACCTTCAAAATGGCATAGTTTATGTTGAGTAGATGTTAAGCCCAATTTCTTTCTCCCTTTTCCATGATAAATCCACCCATCTGTACATAATTATATCAGTCCTTCTTTGACATTCCACCCTTTCATCCCATCCTTCCATTTATCCACCAATCTGTCCATTTATCTATCCATCTATCCATCCTTCCATCTATTATTTATCCATCTGTTCATCCATTCATCTGAGTAATGTATGATATTTGTTGTATTTCAGGTAGTATTTGTATTGACAGGTGATTGTGGTAATCACACACATAAGGGTTTTCAGGCGTATAAAGACATTGCATCTACCAGCTCTGGTCAAGTCTTCTTATTAGAAAAATCAAAAGTTAACGAGGTATATCCCTTATTTTATTGACTGTTTAGATTTTTAAAGACCCACATGGAAATGTGATTGTATATATTTCTGGCGCCCTCGTCCATATGTCCATCCGTCCGTCGTCCACGATTTCTTGTGAATGCTCTAAAACTACATTTATCATGTAAATGTTTCGAAATTAATATATGTTGTTTAAGTCAGTCAGATGAAGAAGCCTATTTAATTTCAGTAAAAGTTATATGGGTCACTTAAATCAGTGAAACAAAGAAGCCTATTGATTTTCAGCAATTTCAGTTAATCACGTCTTGAGTTATGGCTCTTGTATCACTCTTTTGAACCTTGTGAAAGCTGTAACAACAAAAGTTATCCAATCTGTATGACATTTATATGCATCATTTAAGTTATTTAGCTGCTGTGGGCGTAAGTTTCTTTGACTGGCAACCTATCTTTATGAATCGTCTTACATGGTCTTTATTTGATTATTGGTCGCAGTTGCTAAAATGTGTTTGTGTGTTATAGGTGTTAGAGTTTGTACGTCAAGCAGTGAACGCTAGAAAAGTTAATCTGATGTCAGTGGATCAAGATACTGGTAGAACACAAATATTCGATATACCAATCGACACACAGCTACAGGAAGTTACCTTTTCTGTCTCTGGAACACAACCTAGAATAACATTGATAGATCCGAAAGGTAGCCCTTTAGATCATTGTCCCTGTATACTGATTATATCTAGAAGTAGCGCCTATTTCAAATAGGCTGAAGGTAGTCCCTGTTTGTTATTATAACCTGAAGGTAGTCCCTGTTTTGGTCATTAAGTAGGTGTTATGTCACTAAGGTGTTAAAACTGTGACTATTGAATGATATACATCACTATTGTCCAGATTTGTGTATTCAATAGTGATAGCTGTTATAAATAGTCACCCTTTTACTCCAGCAATCTGATTAAAACACATATCCTATTTTGTTTTGTTTTTTATAGTTCAAAATTTGGTTTTACTTGTCTTCTCTACACTAGGATCTGAAAGAGTTGTTATCATTGACATGTCCTGCACGATGTGAGGGATTAGCCAATGAAACAGTCTGTTACGGCAAGATTTAGGCGTGTTTAGCACAGAACTGTGGGTAATCCACATGTTATATCAATGCTGATTGGTTAATCAAATGTCTGATGTCATAGGGTCAAAAGTCGCTCGTATGACCACTGACGCGACCTATCACTACAACTTGTCAGATCTTCATGTAGTGTAGGCCATCAAAGTATTAAAAAACGAACGAAATATAGATCTGTATTTTTATCAGATTGTCACACCAGTAGTCACATCTTTTACAGCTTTTTACAGACTTGCTAATTAATGACAACTGTATAATTTCTAACCACTTTCTATACATATTAAACATTAGTTTAGAATAATAATCACTTGTATGATTTAATGACAAAAAATTCTTTATATACTCTTCAAAAAAAGTAGGGGATATTCAGAAACAATACAAAACTGCGGAAATGCACTGCTGTTTTTATTAGAGGTAACCATTGTTTGTTAATAACAGGCCAATTGCTTACACATGAACATAAACGGTTCATATGGGCGGCTTATCTGTCAGCCCCATTTCACTCTCAAAGAGATACACTGTCAAAAGTGAAAAATGGACGTTTTTGATTTTTGTCTTAATAATGAGTAATTGCTCCACCAATGCTCAGACATTCAGCAATTCGTCGTGGCATGCTCCTAATCAACCGTCCAATCATGATTTGGGGCAATCTGACCTACTCCTCTTGCAGTGCCACGGCCAATTCTTGCAGTGTTGTCGGTTGCCCCGCATACAAATGGGCTGCATGTAGCTGATTTCTAATTGTTTGGGGTGTAACTCGAATTCCTGTAACTTGGTACATGTTTACAGAAAGCTGACTGGCCGTTTGTCCTCGATTTCACAAATAAATTTATTTTTTGTTTGAACAATGTTTCCACAAAATTTTCAGGACAGCGGTTAGAAGAAAGGAATTTGAATGTATTTTTGAACATAACCAACGCATTGATTTATAATGTGAAAGATCCCATACCTGGAGGATGGCAACTGGAGATATCTAGTCGTGGTCCACATACCATCAGAGTTACTGGCCTTAGTACAGTTGATTTCCAGGCGGGTTTCTCTAAAAATCCTTCTAGAAATCTGAATGATACCGATTTACGTCCTATACAAGGTAAGATGTCTTGGTTATTGTACAAGAGCAGGATTTTAATGTATATCTTTTGTGATTCTAAAATACAGGGTTATATACTGAATAAATATCGTAGGCATGTTTCCAAAGCCACAATCACTAGTGATGATAGCACTGAATGTGTGATTATTTCAAATTCACAAGATGTCTCCAAATGTTGCTTAGTTTCTGTATCTCAAATAAATTATAGTACTTTTAGCGTTTTGTGTAGAGATCTGACAGTTGCTCTTAGACATACATTTCAATACACCAGTCTTGGAACACAAAACATCCTGTTTATCTATCCTCTGAGGTTTTATCAGTGCAACAGCCATATTGTTGCTGCAGACTTTTCTTGCTGCAGGTACATTAAATTTGCCTAACACTTACATGCTGGTAGCCAGTTACACCTTGGTAGACATGTCTTTAATGATAATAACCTATCCTTTTTGCTTACAGGTCAGCCAACTAATCTATTGTTAAATACAACTGATATGGTGAAACCAGCGGTGTTTACTAAACTTGAGTTATTAGATTTAAAAGGTACACCATTGGCTCAATATCCTGTGTATCGTGATCCAATCAATCTAGATCTATATAACGTCAGCACCTCGTTTATACCCCCAGATGATTTCTTTTATATAAAGGTACGTAAAGTTGTTGGAGCTGTGGTAGTCAAGTTGAGGTTTTATATTGACACTGAACATCATTTCATTCCAACTAAAGCTAATTTAATTAGGAATATTAATTTAAACTAGAATAGCACTGCTTTTCTAAGGATGTATATAAAATATCAGAATCTCCTTGATTCAGGTAGTTGGATTGAAACTAGATATTGTTTTGTTCCGTTAAATCTGACTATCTCTCCATTGACATTATATAATGTGGTATGTTTTAAAAAGATAGAATTCAGAGTCAGTGATGCCGGAATTATAGTACCTATTTGACCTTGATAGTCAATAAAAGGTCATGGTAATCAAAGCATTTAAGAATATGTGGCTACAGGCCAGGGTAGGTAATAAAGGTTAGGACAAATTCAGAATTTATAACTAATTGGAGAATTAGTTTAGAGCAAAAAGCTGAAGTAGTCTATTTGACATAAGATTCTGACTAGTTTCCTCGTTGGAATGTCTGTACTGCATTAATATACAGTTCTATGTCCTTTTTTTTCATATGTACAATCGCGGCTTAAGATTTGTGTAAGGAATACAAATTATGAAAAACACAAACATGACAAATAGCTATAGCTATGTGATCATTCTGTATAAGTGTTATTAGATGTGCTATTAAAATAAAGCACATATTTAATGTATATTTCATATATCACTTAATTGTCTGTCATTGGGGGGGGGGGGCTCACGGTGACTAAGTGGGTAAGAGGTCGGATGTTCGATCCTTGCATTGGCCGAGAAAGTTCATCCAGATTTTCCGGCATGGTTATCCCTTGTCAGTGATGCAAGATGGAGGGCCTGACAAGGACAGCTATCTAGTCATACGGATGGCACGAAAAAAATGAAATGAAATGGGGTTTAACGTCCTACTGGTTTTCTCCGAACTGGGCTAATGAAGACGGGCATACGCCATACAGTGTGCTATGAGGGAAATTTTGCCCGGACAGCGGCACTACGGCCTACTCTTGTATCGAGTTCCAACTGCCAAGGGATCTTTTATGTGCACGCCAATGTGTACATGGGACCTCAGTTTTTCGTCCCATCCGAATGACTAGACAGCTTTCCTTATCAGCCCCTCCAACCTGCATCACTGACAAGGGAGAACCACGCCGGAAAATCTGGATGAACTTTCTCGGCCAATGCAGGGATCGAACACCCGGCCTTCCCACTTAGCCACGTGATCCCCGGCACGAAAAAACAGAGGTCCCATGTACACATTGGCGTGCATGTAAAAGATCCCTTGACAGTTGGAATTTGATATAAGAGTAGGCCGTAGTGCCACTGTCTTGGCAAAATTTCCCCCATAGCACACTGTATGGTGTATGCCCATCTTCATTAGCCCAGTTCGGAGCAGAACAGTAGGACGTTAAACCCCATTTCATTTCATTGTTAGGATAACTTGACCGATAACTACACTGTGTCAATCATTATAAAGGTTTAATTACATATAATTTTGCAGGTTGATGGTATAGATTCTGAAGGTTACACTCTCCGTCGAACTACGCCAACAGCAATCAGTCCCAGAATTCCCACCAAACCCAATGTTTTCATGCCTGCAGTAACGAGAGGTTTTTACGATCAGACGGCTGTCATCACCTGTCATGTTGACAGTCTTGTGCCATTTTCTGTCAAGTGGTATCGAGAAGGAATTAAAATGGGGCCTGATCAATATTTTAGGTAAGTATCAGAGTCCTTGAATATATGAAGTAGTGACTAGAGTAGGTGCAGACATATATTTTGTCCCTTCAACTCAAGCTTGACTCAATGCATTAAAATTTGTATCAATAGTTTGACATATTTAGGGCTATTCCATTTAAACACCATAGTCTGTAATGGATAGATTACGAAAAGTTTCTATTAAACCATACGCTGTTCGATCACTCTCTGGCTTAACAGAAACATTGAGTACTCTATTTTGTTAAGGCAATGTTGAAGCAGTTCATACAAAGAGACAAATTATGACCACCAACAGGCTGCAGTTAGTTCAATATTATAATAGCATTCAGGAAATGTCACAAACAAAAAACAAAAACAAACGAAGATGTCAAGACTAGAGAATTGATTTTCAGATCAAAAGATTTCTGCCTTAATTTGTATAACTTTTAGTTTTCTCTGTCTATACATGTATATAGATCTACTGTATGTTATAGTTTTCAAGATTAAGAATGAGTTCGCGAGAGAATCGTGCAAAATTTAAAAAAAACGGCACAAGCGTAGTCGGGCGATTTTGACCAAACTTTGCAGATTTGGTCATTGGGTACCCCGTATACCCCACATGAAATATGAGGGTCACCAACATTGTAGTTACGGAGAATCAGCTATGGCCATTTTAGTGTTAAAAACCCGTCATTTTTTATAAAAAAAATCCTTAAATTCAAATATTTCCCATAAATTGTCTATTGATTTTTTATTTTTTTAAATTATTTTTTATGAATGATCATGTCTACTACTTCGATATATATGACTATTAAATTTTTCCGACAACCATTTCGGGCTATGAGGAATTTATTTTGAGACGTAGTTTTTGCTATATGCTAAAACATATAAATTTCATGACGCTATATCTCACCCACTGCGGGGCTGAGGACAATTATATTTATAATGGAAGTTGATGACTACTAATACTAATATTTGGTTTTGACAAAATCACTGGCACGGATTTCTTTCATATTAAATTTGATGGTCGAACTTGAAGAAGATGACTTCATTTTTGACATCATTTTTCCAATAAAATCATGCATTGCCTGGATTATTAGGCCTGATAATGCCCCATGCAACCGCCTACCAACACCATGTGTAGGGCCGGTACAGATGATTCGGGAGTTCCACGAGGATCAGTCCTTGGACCTGTCCTTTATGTAATGTATACTAAGAATTTGGGACAACTAATCGATAAGCGTGGTTTCTAGGACGACATTCTTATGCAGATGATACACAGCTGATCGTAAGTTATTCCCTTTCAAAAACTGTTTTATTCTTTAATTATTCTGACATCAAATTGTGTACACATGACATGAAAGATAGAATGACAAGAAATATGTTGAAATTAAATTTAATTGTCCCCCGCCTTTTGAAGAAAGCAGGGGACTATTAAAATGGGTTCGTCCGTCTGTCTGTCTGTCCGTCTGTCTGTCCGTCTGTCTGTCCGTCACACTTTTTGGGACACAATAACTCTCTTCCTAATTGAGCTAGAATGTTCAAACTTGGTGTATGTGTTTATTAGGTCAATGCCTTGATGGAGTTCGAAGATGAGCATTTTCCGCTTAGGGTAAGCAGAGATAAGCAATTTGATTGGTTGATGCTTTGGGACACGATAACTCTCTTCCTAATTGGGCTAGAATGTTCAAACTTGGTGTATGTGTTGATTAGGTCAATGCCTTGATGGAGTTCGAAGATGAGCATTTTCCGCTTAGGGTAAGCAGAGATAAGCAATTTGATTGGTTGATGCTTTGGGACACGATAACTTTTAATTGAGCTAGAATGTTCAAACTTGGTGTATGTGTTTATTAGGTCAATGCCTTGATGGAGTTCGAAGATGAGCATTTTCCGCTTAGGGTAAGCAGAGATAAGCAATTTGATTGGTTGATACTTTGGGGCACGATAACTCTCTTCCTAATTGAGCTAGAATGTTCAAACTTGGTGTATGTGTTGATTAGGTCAATGCCTTGATGGAGTTCGAAGATGAGCATTTTCCGCTTAGGGTAAGCAGAGATAAGCAATTTGATTGGTTGATGCTTTGGGACACGATAACTTTATTGGTTGATGCTTTGGGACACGATAACTTTAGTTCTAATTAAAGATACATTATGGGAGATTTTTATAGAGAGTTGGCCATTCTTGCTATAACAGTTCAAAAGTAGATGATAAAAGAAGAATATATTGAAAATTTCGGTCAAATTACTTTATTCTGAGCATAGTTATCATCGTTGTAATATTTGACTAGAAATGGTAGTGAACGTTTGATTGACAGGCGTTAATTCCACCTACATATCTCGATTATCAAGTAAAGTTTTCAATGGCATGCGGAAACGCTCTATAGCGGCCTCGCTAAGTACACTCTATCATTTAGCCTCGATCTAACTGACGTATTCTCATCAGGGTGCGCCATATTTGAATTTATCAATCAGTAAAATCCTATTTAAATCCGAGCTGTAGCCGAGCCATCCATGGGTCTACAAAGTTGATTTTGGGCTTGTTGTTTAAAAAAAGATCTAATTTATAATTTCTATAACATCTGAAGCCTAAATTAAGACTTGCAATAATCAGATTTTGCTCTTGCATAATGTATGTTTAAGTGAGTGAGGACACTTGGTGTATAGCTTTATTACATCAATATCTTGACTAAGTTGGATAATGAAAATTTTCTGCTGAGGGTAAGCGGAGCGATAAGCAATTTGATTGGTAGAGACTTTGAAACACAATAACTCTTCTTCTAAATGAGGTAGAATGTTCAAACTTGGTGTAGGCGTTCATTAGGTGAATGTCTTGATGGATTTCGATGATGAACCTTGTCTGCTTACGGTAGCAGAGATAAGCAATCTGATTGGTTGATGCTTTTGGGCACGATAACTTTAGATAAAATGAAGTGAGAGCGATGAAACTCGGAATATATATTCATTATATCATTACCTTGACTAAGTTCGATGGTGAGAATTTCCTGCTTGGGCTAAGGAGCGTTAAGCAGTTTGATTAGTCAAGACTTTGGAACATAACAACTCTGCTTTTAATTGAGGTAGAATGGTTAAACTTAATGTAGATGTTCATTAGGTGAATGTCTTGACCGAGTTCAATGATTAACATTTCAAACTGAAGCTAAGCAGAGCTAATCAATTTTATTGGTTGATGCTTTGGGACAAGATAATCTTGATTCTATCTGATAGAGAGTGATAAAACTTAGTTTACAGTTTGATTGCTTGATACTTTTGAAAAAAATAAATGTGCGATTAATTAATAAGTGTCATCTATTTATTTTGGGATTTCGGCGGGGGACATCAGCCTCACTGTTGGCTTGTTGAATTAAGTAAATCAGAATGTATTTTAAGTGGTCAAAATACACATCTGAAAAATACAAGTTCAAATGATGTGGTTGTACGAGATGTAATATTTGTACCATGAGACCCTGTGAAGAGGTTAGGTGTCCTCTCTTGGGGTCCAATTTGAGCATGGACAGTTACATTAGTGAAATTTGTCGAAATTGTTATCTTTGGTCCAGGAACATTGGCCATATAAACACTTTATTAGCCAGGAAGCAACTGCTACACTTATATGTTCTTTGGTATTCTCAAGGATTGACTACTATAACAGCTTGTTAGTAGGAACATCTAGTGCCAATTTTTAAAAAAAATTCAACTTGTAGAAAATACTGCAGCTCGAATTCTTACCAGATAACCAAAACACTCTCATATTACTCCTGTTCTGAAATCAATCTATTGGCTGCCAATCATCTTCAAAAGTCTGTCTTTGACGTATCAGTGTGTGAATGGCTTAGCTCAAATATACTTATCTAACTTTATGCACATAAAAGTTCCCTCGAGTAACCTCCGGCCGAACACACATTCATCACATTCATCAGGTGGAAATTAATATCATTTGGATACGGATCGTGCTCAGTGAATGCGCTTAAACTGCGTAACAATCTTCCAGAGATCATTAAATCATCTCAAACCCTTTCTTGTTTTACATCAAGAATTATCAAGATTAATTAAATTAATTTAATTGTATGCGCAGTGGACATTCTTCTGTACATGGAGTACGTGCGCTATATAAATGTACATATTAATAATATTATTATTATTCGACAGGCCGAAGTTAGATTTGCACTTTTGTTTAATCTGGGGTCTTCCCTAAAACTTTGGACAGTGATTTAAGATATTAAAAACGGTGAAAGTATTGTTCGTCTCCAAACAGTATTGTTTACATTGTAGCTATGTTGATAGCCTCGTTTGTCACGCAACTTGAAGAAGATGACTTCATTTTTGACATCATTTTTCCAATAAAATCATGCATTGCCTGGATTATTAGGCCTGATAATGCCCCATGCAACCGCCTACCAACACCATGTGTAGGGCCGGTACAGATGATTCGGGAGTTCCACGAGGATCAGTCCTTGGACCTGTCCTTTATGTAATGTATACTAAGAATTTGGGACAACTAATCGATAAGCGTGGTTTCTAGGACGACATTCTTATGCAGATGATACACAGCTGATCGCAAGTTATTCCCTTTCAAAAACTGTTTTATTCTTTAATTATTCTGACATCAAATTGTGTACACATGACATGAAAGATAGAATGACAAGAAATATGTTGAAATTAAATTTAATTGAATTAAGTAAATCAGAATGTATTTTAAGTGGTCAAAATACACATCTGAAAAATACAAGTTCAAATGATGTGGTTGTACGAGATGTAATATTTGTACCATGAGACCCTGTGAAGAGGTTAGGTGTCCTCTCTTGGGGTCCAATTTGAGCATGGACAGTTACATTAGTGAAATTTGTCGAAATTGTTATCTTTGGTCCAGGAACATTGGCCATATAAACACTTTATTAGCCAGGAAGCAACTGCTACACTTATATGTTCTTTGGTATTCTCAAGGATTGACTACTATAACAGCTTGTTAGTAGGAACATCTAGTGCCAATTTTTTTAAAAAATTCAACTTGTAGAAAATACTGCAGCTCGAATTCTTACCAGATAACCAAAACACTCTCATATTACTCCTGTTCTGAAATCAATCTATTGGCTGCCAATCATCTTCAAAAGTCTGTCTTTGACGTATCAGTGTGTGAATGGCTTAGCTCAAATATACTTATCTAACTTTATGCACATAAAAGTTCCCTCGAGTAACCTCCGGCCGAACACACATTCATCACATTCATCAGGTGGAAATTAATATCATTTGGATACGGATCGTGCTCAGTGAATGCGCTTAAACTGCGTAACAATCTTCCAGAGATCATTAAATCATCTCAAACCCTTTCTTGTTTTACATCAAGAATTATCAAGATTAATTAAATTAATTTAATTGTATGCGCAGTGGACATTCTTCTGTACATGGAGTACGTGCGCTATATAAATGTACATATTAATAATATTATTATTATTCGACAGGCCGAAGTTAGATTTGCACTTTTGTTTAATCTGGGGTCTTCCCTAAAACTTTGGACAGTGATTTAAGATATTAAAAACGGTGAAAGTATTGTTCGTCTCCAAACAGTATTGTTTACATTGTAGCTATGTTGATAGCCTCGTTTGTCACGCAACTAGTTTTTCTGCAATATTCTGCTATGCACTGGTTAATTGGGCGTAATAAATTTCGTGAATCATGACGTAACGTTATGTTAACATATTTGAAACCCTGTTTAAACCAGAATTATATTGTTACACAGTTAGGTATTGGTTGTTAATCAGACTATTGACCAATCATAATTTGGAACAGAAATTTGCTTTCATTACGGCAGTGTTAAGTGGGATTAGGTCTAATCAAACGAAACACCGTAGGGAGTATGCTAAAATAGTGGCCTTACGGTCATATACAATTTGTTTTTTGTCTTTTTGAAATATCGCTTGATTCGTTTGTCAAGTATAGACAGATATATATATGACTACTACACGTTTTAGTTTTTAAGATTTGCTGTTCAAAAATTCATCATCCTTCTACTAGATCATGAGGTTATATTGCCGAATTAATAAAATGTTGACAAATAGTCTAGAGAGATTAGTTGTATTTACCAAGAACAGCTCATTTGGCATTTACAGTAAATTAAGCTTTTCAAACTTCATCGTTTGAAAATTTTAACGGTGTAATTGTGAGCTCAGTTTTCATGATTAGATACTTATTGGATAAATAGATAGATAGCGCTCGATAGATAGATAGATAGACAGAGAGATAGTAATAAGTATTAACTTATAGATAGTAATAAGTATTAACATTTGTAGTTTTGATAATGGAACATTTTTTAAACTTGAATTTTTTGATGAAAGTATATAATCTGCGTTTATATTTATTTGTTTATTTCTATTTTTATTATGGCTTGCTCTTAACGTAACTGGAAACCATGTTAATTTGGTTTCAAGTGCCATGTTACACTTTTGAGTGTGTAAATAAAGCGGTTTATTTTTCGTCAATTTTGTTGAAAATCATTATTTTTGTACAAAAATGGAAATTATATACTTCTAAACGGGTCGAGTGCCACCCAATTTTTTTCTTGATCTTAATACTATAGATCATTGCCTTTTCAGTCAGCATTCCAAAAAAATACTTAAACCTGCAGTGGGTGAGATATAGATAGAATAAAATGACATACCTAAATTGAGCTATTTTGGTACCTTGCAGCAACAAGTTCCTATACCAAAAACCGCTCCATGAAAATCCATCAAACTTTCAGAATGTATACTCACTAACCATATCTGCTACGCTATAAAGTTTAATTAATCTACTCGCCGTAGTTTAGTTGTACGAAATAATTGAAAACTGGCCTGAAAATGATGATTTTTGGGGTTTTTTCGGTCTTAAAATTTCAATTTTTTTTCTACGCTCTAGAAATGGTTTGATTAATCTAAAATTGTGGCAGTGGGGTTTGGAGGGGTTACCCATCATACATAAAAAAAATGGTGAAAATCGGTCACCCACCATGTGCCGGTCCCTGCATGGTTCTCACGCAAACGCATTCTTAATACACTAGGGGAGAGGGGGGCACAGTGGGCATGATTTCTTTTTTTAGTAAATTGACCAGAAGTGAAATCCTACAGAGAATCAAACTATGTACTCAGTTGAAGCCAGTCATATGTTCGATTTAACAGTGCTGTTAAGAAGTTAATAAATTGAAACCATTTTTGTGTAGATCATTGTAAACCAGAATTTTTTTTGACCCAATTTGCCGCGTATGTGGGGTACACTGGGTCACACTATGTATAGTAAACACACTGAAACTCATAAGAACTGTAAAAACTAATCTCTTAGTTCAAAATATGAATTTGTTTTAAGACTTGAACACAGATATGCAGCTGAAAATTTTAAAAAGTCTTTTATGCAAGGAATCAGTAAGGAATCGTAACCTAAGACCAATATTTCCTTAAAAACAGCTCAGATATCTAGATTCTGTCTAAAATGGACAGATGATATTTAGCTAAAACTATGCTTCTGCTCAGTGTGCCCCTCTGAAATGTACCCCATTGTGCCTCGTCATTAACCACGACAGAAAATCGAAAATGGCAGTTTGTGGGCTCTAACAAAATGTGGAGTAGCCAAACAGTTTAACCAGTCCATCAAAAATTCACTTCTGCATCAGAAAAACAGTTAATGGCTGATAAATATTAATCAGCTTACAATAATTTATTGAATTTAGGAGGACAAATGGGGCTATGAAGGGGAATTCCCCAGTGATATTACAATTGAATTTTCCAAAAACAGTTAAAAATTACATAGTCTGGCATATTGTGCCTCATGGCTTACTGTGCCCCGCTCTCCCCTACCATTTACAACCTGAACACAAATATATGCTTTACTAATGCATCAGAAAAAAAACTGTCCAAAACTGATTATGATACCCAACATTATTTAATGGATAATAAAGGCAAAGGTTGACGTTATAACAATGGTTTTAAGCCAAATATACCTCCTCCCTCTCATTGCAGACGTAAAAACAGAAATAAATTAACATGAGACATAAAGTCCAGTCCATTCCTAATGGTTTTCCTGTTATTTCAGTGATTCTGCCAATGCCACACTTTTAATACCAAGAGCGGGAGAATTCTCAGAAGGTGATTACATGTGTAACGCTTCAAGTCTGGCTGGTTTCACAAATGTCTCGACATACCTGGATATCAGCGGTAAGTTTTGTACATTAAATTGCTTTTAGAAGAGCCATCGTATTTATACGCCCATATTTTCATGTGGACGTATATTGTTGTCGCCCCTGTCTGTCCGTCCTCATTTGTTTGTGGACACTCTACAGGTCACAATTTTTATCCGATTTTGACGACACTTGAAATATAGGTCTTTCTCCCAAAGATATCGGTTCCTTTCGATATTGGCATGTATCGGACCATAACTTCATGGATTATGGCCCCTGATTGTACAAAAAATCACGTTTTTAGCTTGTGGACACTCTAGAGGTCACAATTTTGATCGGATTGTGATGAAACTTGTAATGCATGTTTATAACCCAAAGATCTTGGTTCCTTTCGAAATTCGCGCATATCGGATCGTAACTTCCTGAATTATGGCCCCTGATTGTACGAAAAATTGCGTTTTTAGCTTGTGGTCCCTCTATAGGTCATAATTTTTATCCGATTTAAAAAAAATGTGTGAATATATCCCCGTTACCCCCTAATGATGTTTGAGTTTCGAATTTCGTGAAAATAGGACCAAAACTGCCTCTAAGAGGCCACAGTTTTTATCTGATTTGGACGAAACTTTAAATATATGTTTTTATCATAAAGATATTGGTTGCTTTTGATAATCACACATATCCGAACGTAACTTCCTGGATTATGGCCCCTGATTGGTAGAAAATCGCATTTTTAGCTTGTGGATTCTCTAGAGGTCACAATTTATTTTCCGATTTTAAAAACCGTTTAGATATATTACCATTCCACCATAATGAAGGTTGAATTGGAATTTTAGGAAAATCAAAATGAAACTGACCGACAGTGTATAAGTATGTAATACAAAGGTTATGGACCCTCTAGAGGTCACAATTTTTATCCGATTTTGATAAAACTTAAAACATATCTTTATATTCCAAAAATCTGTCCCTTTTGATAGTTGCACATTTCAGACCATAACTTTCTGGATTATGGCCCCTGATTGTTCAAAAAATCGTTTTTGTTTTTAGCTTGTTCTCTATGATAGGTATTGAATGATTCCTTTTGGAGGGCATTGAGATATTAGAATCTGATCAGAATCGTACAAATGAATTTCAATATTAGATATTAAACAAATAATGATTGTCAGAAATTTGATCTTCTCACTAATTCTCATACTTGAAACATTAGTTATGGCAGCAATTATTACTATTCATACTAAATAAACATGTTCAACCAACAAGTGCTTCAAAGGGAGATAATGATTTTTTAAACATTTATTGGAGAAACTGGTTTTATATTATCAATTTAAGATCCACCACCTGTGATTTTACCACCACAGAATGTATCAGTCTTGCCTAGGCAGTCTGCATATTTAACATGTGAAGCCTACAGTACTGTACCTTATAACATGACCTGGACTAAAACTGGACGTAGATTTCTAACTTACGATGATAGAATTAAAGTTTTACCAAATGGCACTCTAGAAATCACGTAAGTTTCTGCATTTATACTGTCTAAACATTGAAAGCAACAGTAGGCTATTTGGTTCATTTTCATTCTGACGATCTTGTTCTAATATGAAATTCTTTAGAATGACACAAGGATTGGAAACCTGTTGTCCTTTAAATATAATTTTAAACTTTCCTTTTACACCAACATTGTTCTGTGGATTTGGTTCTACAGTTGTCTAGCTGTTGCTGTTTGTATCATATAAAATGATGCTCACTAATACTAAATTTTTGGATTTTGATTGATCTCTTTGGTATTTATATTTGCTATTATGTATTTGCTATTTATATATTTGTTATATACTGAGCGTCATGGAAAACGCATCACTTTTTTTTCCCAAATATTTTATTACTAGGTGGTTTTGTATGTATAATATTATGCAATGCTATGAACTATTGTTTCACACAATGCTCCCAAACGCAAAAAAATATCGGCCCGTGTGCAAAAAAAAAATTGCACGAGATGCACATGAAAAACCCAATATTCACGTGCAGCATTGTGTGTGAGCCCTTAAAAAGCATGTTTTCAACTTAATGTGCAGTACATCTTAATGTGTGAAACATCAATCTGTCGTAATTTGTTGTTGGACGTGTAAAGGAATCGAGCTAGAGATGCCGAGACTTACTTAAAATCAACAGAATGAAGCCATGTGAATATCCAGGACTGGCATGTCTACACGTGCTATTGCCAGACACTTCAATTGTCATCAGTCCACTATTGTAAGGTTGGTAGAACGTGTTCGAGTTACTGGATCAACACGTGACCGGCAACGTCCTGGTCCACAACGCATTACAACCCAGGCTCAAGACTGCTACATCCGGGTAACTCATCTGCGTGACAGATTCCACCCAGCGACTCGAACAGGTGCAGCAGTCGTCGGAAGACAAGGACCAGTAAGTGCCAACACCGTTAGACGTCGTCTAAGAGAAGTAGGACTCCGTGCACGACAACCTTATGTTGGAGCTATCCTCAGGGATCATCACCGTCAGCGGCGTTTGATATGGACTCAAGGACACCAGACATGGAGAAGAGTAGACTGGCAAAGTGTGTTCTTTATCTTTATCACGCTGATGACCGTCAACGTGTGTGGAGACGTCTTGGGAAACGTCTTTCAGACTGCTGCGTCTTCAAAACGAATCGATGGGGTCGGGGAAGTGTAATGGTGTGGGGAGGCTTCACATTTCATCACCGGACCGCCCTACACATTTGCAGGGATCGCGTTAATGCTGTAGCCTACCGTGATGATGTCTTGCAACCAATTGTTGTTCCAATGTTTCGAGCGCACCCACAACTTCAGTACTTCCAACAGGATAATCCAACATGGCACCGATAGAACATGTCTGGGATGAGATTGGACGCCATCTGTATCAGAGACCACAGATGTACACCATTGCTGCTTTAGAAGCTGCTCTTGTCCAAGAATGGAACAATTTGCCCCAGGCCTTCTTTCAAACATTGGTAAGAGCCCTTAGAGGACACACGCGCTACTGACATCTGTTTCGTACTTTTGGTTTTGACTCCTCTGACTTTGTACCATTGATTACAGATTAAACATCCATAAGTGTACAAATGTGTTGTTATTGATGTGTTCCCATTTGAATATTGTTCACAATAAGAAGCAAAATAAATAAGACATGGTTACAGGATCATTTTGTTATACGAAAAACTAAGTGATGCATTTTCCATGGCGCTCAGTATATATGTTTTTGCTATTTATATATTTGATCGTTATTATTTGATAGACATTATGTATTTACTATTATATATTTGCTATTATTGATTTGATATTATACATTTGATATTGTATATTTTATATTGTATATTTGCTGATTAATGTTTGATATTATAGTAATGTGGGTAAACAAGATGAAGGTCAGTATAATTGTACTGCTAGAAATGAAGGTGGATCAACATCTGCTCGTATTTACCTTAAATTACAAGGTGAGAGATATTTTAATATGCTAAAATTATAAAATACTGTGAGCGTGTTTTCATGGTTTTATTTACTAGACAGAGCTAATCCACAAACACACAAAAATTTGGTGAGATGTTGGAGAGATTGCATTAAACACATATCCATCTAAAGAAACATTAATGCTTTGGATATATTCGTTTCATGATAAAACAATAGTTTCCAATTATATTAGCATGATTTAACAACATTGCCAATGTTAAAATCATAGTGATTAAGAATGTACGCACAATTTGAAGAGATGGATATCTTAAGATTCAATAGAAAAGTTCTGTGGATGCAATATAAAGAAATGCTGTACTCTAATTTTGTCATTGTTTGGATTTTCCATAATTCGATGAGTCTAGGGTTATATAGAATACCATATAAAATAAAATTAATTTCATGTCAAAAATATTATTAAAATCACAAGAAATCGGAGGAAACTATATCTATAGGCGTCTGTCATTTTTGTGTTCTGGAAGTTTGGTACACTTCTGTAGATACATGTACATGTAGCAGAGCTGCAAATCAAATTCCCTTGAATTCCTTTAATGTTTGACTGAATTATGGCCCTTTGTTGACTTCAATTTTTAAAATCATTGAAAATTCTGGAATTATTTTAGGTTATGGTTCAAGGTGTTTAACTAAAGATCAATACACTCTGGTGTAGCATGTTGTTAAAGATTGAATTTGCATTTGTGGATTCCCTTTAAAATTCTATTTTCCAAAATTATTTTAGGTTAAACTTTGTGGTATTTATTTCATGATCTATACATATTTGGTTTATTTATGTACAGTAATGTATTGCGGTATCAACCTCTTATAAATGCATGCATTGTAAAATTTGTAGGGAATCGTAGGGGCCATGCATGGTTTCAGCAATACTTTCAGAATGCTTGTTGTATTTGATTTATTTCAGTGGCCCCATTGGTGCGGACCATTCCTCGAGAACAGAATTTTGTTGTTGGCCAAACGATTAATGTGACATGTGTAGCGGAAGGATACCCTAAACCAACATTTACATGGATGAGAAGAAATCAACTTGTAATACCAAACGATCGATATATTGTTAAAAAGGGATTTTTGCTTATTAAGGATATAGAGCGTGAAGATCAAGGAGACTTTGAATGTTTAGCAAGGAATTCGGCTGGACATGATACAGCCATTGCAAGACTTAGTTATATCGGTAAACTGATATTATGTTTAGAAATAAAATGACAATGGATTGAATATTAAAATGATATTTTTTTTATAAAATGCTGATTTTTAGACTGTGATATCATTTAGGATTTCTTTTTGGAAGAATGCAATTTGAAACAATTTGAAAATATACTACCAATTTCAACGATTTTAAAGAATTGACTTGAACAGTTGTAGACTTACAGTTTTCTGATTTATATGTATTCTTACAACTTTTGAAACATTTTATTTATTTTTTCAATTTCTACAGAGGCTCCAAGAATTGAACAATACAAGAAAAGATTATTGGTTGCTAAGGGTGATAAGGCAACATTATTCTGTGATGCTGACGGTATTCCTCCACCAAATATTACATGGTACAGAGGAGATCGCATTGTAAGTAATCTGACTCACAATTTTATTATTCATTCAGGTCTTTATGTTAATTATCAGTTATTTCTAAATGTGATTCTAATAGAATTTTAAAAACAATTGATCCTATAAAGTCTTGCAAATAAATTCGTCAAAATCGAAAAACGACAGCAAATAGACTCGACTGAATGTAGATTTTGAAGGCAAGTAAACTAAAAATGTTAGGAAAAAGAGACACAAGGTGTAATGGATGAAATAGATAGTCTAGGTTTTCCATAAGGGCTAACCTGTTACTATTGTATGTGCTGCAGTATTTCAGCATTAGGACAGAATGTCCGGGGTTGGAATCTTGGCATTTGCCAAAAACTATCTCAGAATTTTAATCCAGGTTCTCACCCTTCCACATCTGGTGCCTGTGGGGTTGATAACTATAGTGGTGAGCATGTAGAAGAACTCTATGAAGAAGAGGCAGAAATGGTACTGCCTGGACAAAATTCTCCTCCCTAGCATTACACACATGACCGTTGTATAAACAAGCCATTCAACTCCATTTCTTTCCATACCCAATTTCTATTAGATACACATGTAGTCTGTAGAACTGTTTCTTTAATTCTTCATGGTAACAACTTTTTACAGTGATATTAGTCAGGAGGATATTGGAGCAGATTTCCTCTTGGACACTTAGCCATAATCTGAGGATTACTCATGTGTATTTTTAGGTACAGACAGCCTATGATTCTGTGGTAACACGAGATGGTAAACTGGTGATGAATAATGTTCAGCGACTGGATTCTGGTGAATATAAATGTGTTGCATCTAATGAAGCTGGAATGGACAACGCTACAGTTTTATTGGAGATTGGTTGTAAGTTTTTATTGTTTATTAAACATTACTCAGGCTCACTTTACCGTGTCCATGGATTCCTTCCATGTTTATACCCTAGCTATACCCCTGACAATTAGCATTAATTTTTATATGCCCACATGGAAATGTGGACGTATATTGCCGTTGCCCCCGTCCGTCCGTCCGTCCACAATTTCTTGTGAACGCTCTAACTCCAAAAATTATTATCCAATTGTTTATATTAGCGAGATGAAGATGCCTATTTAATTTCAATAATTTCTGTTCATTATGTCTAGAGTTATGGCCCTTGTTTCACTTTTTTTAACCTTGTGAACGCTATTACGCCAAAAGTTATCATCTGATCTTTGTGAAATTTATATGCATCATTTAAATTAGTGAAACGAAGAAGCCTATTGAATTTCAGCATGAATTTCCGTTTATTAGGTCTAGAGTTATGACCCTTGTTTCACTTTATTGAACCTTGTGAACGCTCTAATGCCAAAAGTTATCATCCGATCTTTCTGAAATTTATATGCATCATTTAAATTAGTGAAACAAAGATGCCTATTGAATTTCGACAATTTCTGTATATTACGTCTAGAGTTATGGCCCTTGTTTCACTTTATTGAACCTTGTGACCGCTTTAACGCCAAAAGTTATCACCCGATCTTTGTGACACTTATATGCATGATTTAAATTAGTGAAACGAAGAAGCCTATTGAATTTCAACAATATCCGTTAATTACTTCTAGAGTTATGACCCTTGTTTCACTCTGTTGCACATTCGGAACGCTCTAACATCAAAAGTTATCTGCCGATCTGTATGAAATTTGCATGCGTCATTTAAATTAGTAAAGAAAAGAATTCTATTGAATTTCAGCAATTTCCGTTTATTACTTCTAGAGTTATGGCCCTTGTTTCACTTTGTTGCACTTTGTGAAAGCTCTAACCTCTAAAGTTATCTGCCGATCTGTATGAAATTTATATGTGCCATTTAAGTTAGTAAAAAGAACAATCCTATTAAATTTCAGAAATTTCCGTTTATTACGTCTAGAATTATGGCTCGTTTCACTTTATTGAACCGTGTGAACGCTCTAATGCTAAAAGATATCATCCGATCTTTGTGAAATTTATATGCATTATTTAAATTAGTGAAACCACGAAGCCTATTGAATTTCAGCAATTTGCAATAATTACTTCTAGAGTTATGACCCTGGTTTCACTTTGTTCAACCTTGTTAATGCTCAATTAATGAAAGTTATCATCCGATATGTATGAAATTTATATGCATCATTTAAATTTGTGAAACCGGTCTATTGAATTTCTGCAATTTCCGTCAATAGAGTTATGGCCCTTGTTTTACTTTGTGAACCTTGTGAACGTTTGAATGACAAAAGTGATCATCCAATCTGTATGAAATTTATATGCATAATTTAAATTAGTAAAACGAACAAGCCTGTCAAATTTCAACAATTTCTGTAAACTACTTCCAGAGTTGGCCCTTGTTTCAGTTTGTAGAACCTTGTGAACCCTCAAATGACAAAAATTATAATAGGATCTGTATGGAACTGTCTTGTAAAGGCCCCCAATTACCTACAAAGGAATAAATATGGGACAACTCTTGTCGACTACTCGGATGATTTGGCTGCTGTGGGCGTATGTTTCGTTGCCTGGCAACCTATCTTATAAGTATAGATTGAGATCCAGGAATCAAAACGTTTTGTGCTTTCAACATCAAAATTAAAATCCTAATTAAAAACTCATTTGTTCAAACAATATTATGTAGACTAAATTTGATACACAACCTATATAGTTTATTGCTTTAAAAAAACAGGGCTTTGAGCATGCATGTGGATGGAGTTGGTGCTCAAGAAATTATTGTTATTAGTGGTGCCATGCTTAAAAATGGTATGCTTACCCTTTTCCAAATACCTGGTGCCATTTGCTAAGTGGGATTTGTTTCCCCATTTGGAAATTCAACTTACTATTATTCTATTTTTATATACCCTCATGGAAATCTGTTCGCACATTGCCATGGCCCCCATCAATCCATCCATTCGTCAAAAAATTTCTTATGAACTCTCTACAGATTACATGTATCATCCGATCTTTTTACAAACTATGATGGCTTTGTGAGTAAGGGATCTAGTGGTTCCGTGTACACCTTGGCATCCACGTAAAGAACCCTTGACAGTTGAAATTCAATTGCTGTCCGTTTACATTTTCCCTCAAAGCACAATAAATGATGTATGCCCATCCTTATTAGCCCAGTTGGTGCAGAAAAGTAGAACATTAAACCCCATTTTGTGTCATACATTCACCAGACGAATAAGCCTATTGAATTTCATTGATTTCTGATAATCATTTCCAGATTTATTACCCTTGATCACTTTGTAGAATATTGTAATAACTTTAACAAGTCTCACTTTGTAGAAATATGCGAATGCTTTAACAGTAAAAAAAATCATCGCCTAATCTACATTTAATTTATATTCTTTCTTTTGATCAATGCCATCAATAATAATTGTATAAATTTCTGATATTTCCTGAGTTATTGTCCTTGATTATTACATATCGTCGGTGGGCGATCAAAACCTCGTATATCGGATTTTATTAAGTTTTCAGGGGAAACAAAAAACTGTCTGCGGTCCCGGATTTTTTATTGAATGTGATTATATTTCTAATTCATGAACTAAATTGTGGAAAATTTAATATGGGAAGGTTATTTTTGGGATAATTTTAGGGGTTTATGTGCTGTGGCTATATACGACATTTTGTCTTGTGAAATGGCGGCGTATGTGATATACGACGTTCTGTTCACAAACTATAAGCCTGTTCTGAGTATATACGACGTTTTGTTCTTAATAACCTATTTACACAGATTATTTTTTAGGGTAATTTACCTAGTACAGTGACGGAGGCAGGATATTTTTTTATCGGCCGGGAGGGGGGGGGGGGTGCGGAGCAAATCGGGTGTCAGTGGTGGATTGTGAAGCTTATCTGCACCCGAATACAACACTCAATTTCATCAGCTGTAGCTGACATAATTCAAGGCAAATAACCCTGAGCCATAATATTCAAGACATAATTCAAGGTAAGTAATCCAAGGCTATAATATTCAGGACATAATTTAAGGTAAGTTACCCAGGGTCATAGCTTCTGCTACACAATTCCAGGTAAGTTGTCTGGTAGGTAAATAGCCTTGGATCGGTTCTGGTAGGTAAATATAGCCTTGGATAGGGATGATACTGAATACGCAACCTAAGATAAGATATCAAGTGTCGTGATATTTACTCCATAAACAGGAGTTATAAACAAAACCCAATGTACCTTTAGCCAGGAGCATGGAATCTATTAGAGAAAAGCTATCGAATTAGACTTTTCAAAAAATGTTGTGACGACTTGTTCTAGGTACATCTTGTCTGACGATGATCGGCAGTAATGGGACGGCAATTTAGATAAAGGGTCTAGAAATCTTTTAGCGGTTAAATATGTAGACGATTCTCTGTTCTTGGATTTTTTTCTCTTTTCGGTCGAGCCAGGTGTTGTGCCGTTTTTGGAACGGTCGAACCATCTGTACACCATTTTTTCTCCGAGAGCAAACGTCGATAAAACATATTCTTGCAGACCTGTAGTCTGTCATTGTTTTTAATTAAGTGGTAATGGTAAGTAGTTTGCTTTCTGTATGTCTTTTCTTCCGTTTCGCATACGGTTCTATCCTTGACATTACATTTTTTTACAAGATTTACTATGTATACCTCTTTTTGGTCCCAACTCATCTTCCAGAATGCTTCAAATAGATTACGCCTGTCATCCTCTGTAAATTTTGAACATAATTTGCTAGGATTTGGAGCTTTACACTTTGATGTAGAGGACGATGGTGTAAGTGTTTTTCCTGATCTCTTAGCAGCATATTTTTAATGTCCAACATTATGAGCTAAACCCATGTATGGTTTACCATGCATGCGTAATAGTTGGTTGTTGTTCTTAAGCCAAACTGCTGGATCAGAGCACCCTTTTTAGCTCTTTTTAGTATCTCAGCTGATATTGATTCTATTGCTTTGTTTTCTTCAATTGCAATTGCGACCGACTCGACTGTGGCTGTAATGTCTGACGATGGCAATCCTGTAACTGTCAACAGATAATTAGACTGTGTTGATGCTGAAGCATTGTAAATATTTATGGAAGCAAGGACCAACTCCCCAACGATGACGAAGCGGAGCTAGAATTTGTCTGCGAATCGAAATCAAGGTAAGTTCTTTTGGTTGATGTTGGAGCGAGGTAAATGTTGGTTACTGAAGGTGATGCGTGAGCGAGGTAAGAACTGGTTAGTGAAAATGGTGTTAAATTTACATAAGTACTGGTTACTAGAGGTTGTGCTTGGTCGAGGTAAGAACTAGTTACTGGAAGTGATGCTGGGGATTGTAAGTGCCGGTTACTAGAGGTGGTGCTTGAGCGAGGTAAGTACTAGTTTCTGGAAGTGATGCTGGGGGGTTGTAAGTACCGGTTACTAAAGGTGGTGTTTGAGCAAGGTATGTACTAGTTACCGAAGGTGATGCTGTAGGGTTGTAAGTACCGGTTACTAGAGCTTGTGCCTGAGCGAGGCAAGTACTAGTTACCGAAGGTGATGCTGAAGGGATGTAAGTACCGGTTACTAGAGGTGGTGCTTGAGCGAGGTAAGTATTGGTTACCAGAGGTGATGCCGAAGGGATGTAAGTATTGGTTACTATAGGTGGTGCTTGAGCGAGGTAAGTGCTGGTTACCAGAGGTGAATCTGAAGGGATGTGATTAGAGGTGGTAAAGGAATGTAAGTACTGGTTACTGGGTGGGGGGGCTAAAGGTATGTAAGTACCATTTACTTGATGTGTTGCCGGAGCGGGATGAATACTGATTAGTGGTGATGGTTCTGGAGCGAAGTAATTATTGGTTATTGGAGGTGGTGCTGGGGCAGGTAAGTACTGGTTTCACGAGGTGGCACTGAGGACTGGTAAGTTCTTGGGCCTGGAAATGATGTTGAAACAAGGTAAGTACTGGTTGCATGAGGTGGTGTTGGAGCAAGGTACGTAAATCTTGTAAAGAAATGTAATGTCAAGGATAGAACCGTATGCGAAACGGAAGAAAAGGCATACAGAAAGCAAACTACTTACCATTACCACTTAATTAAAAGCAATGACAGACTACAGGTCTGCAAGAATATGTTTTATCGACGTTTGCTCTCGGAGAACAAAGGGTGTACAGATGGTTCGACCGTTCCAAAAACGGTACAACACCTGGCTCGACCGAAAAGAGAAAAAATCCAAGAATAGAGAATCGTCTACATATTTAACCGCTAAAAGATTTCTAGACCCTTTATCTAAATTGCCGTCCCATTACTGCCGATCATCGTCAGACAAGATGTACCTAGAACAAGTCTTCACAACAGTTTTTGAAAAGTCTAATTCGATAGCTTTTCTCTAATAGATTCCATGCTCCTGGCTAAACGTACATTGGGTTTTGTTTATAACTCCTGTTTATGGAGTAAATATCACGAAACTTGATATCTGATCTTAGGTTGCGTATATTTACCTACCAGAACCGATCCAAGGCTATTTACCTACCAGAAAACTTACCTGGAATTGTGTAGTAGATGCTATGACCCTAGGTAGCTTACCTTGAATTATGTCGTGGATATTATAGCCTTGGATTACTTACCCTGAATTATGTCTTGGTTATTATGGCTCAGGGCTATTTACCTTGAATTATGTCAGCTACAGCTGATGAAATTGAGTGTTATATTCGGGTGCAGATAAGCTTCATAATCCACCATTGACACCCTGATTTTTCCCGATTTGCTCCGCCCCCCCCCCCCCCCCCCACGGCCGATAAATTAAAAATCCTGCGTCCGCCACTGTACTAGGTAAATTACCCTAAAAATAATCTGTGTAAATAGGTTATTCGAATTGAAGGAGATCTGAAGCATACGTTTCCCCCTTGAGAAAGACGAATTCGAATACGTCATTGTAATGGGCACCTGAAACAAATAAGAATAATAATAAAACAGTTTGACAAAACTTAAGACTTAGTAATGAGAAATTAAATTCTTAAGTAAGCTGGTTCGTTCGATTGTCTAAAAGTTCAAGACTATTGTTTTCTTTTTTTTTCATCTAGATTTGGGACACAGTTTTACCTCTTTCTACTCTTTCTAACGTGAATTCCTCTATCATTTAGATTCAAAATACTACTATTATGTCAAAATGGACAGACTGTGTTAGACAAAACTTAAGACTTAGTAATGTAAAATTAAATTCTTACCTTGTTAGCCTGTAGCCTGCGTCGATGTCAATTAGGAGATACGACTTTTTGGTACTTAAAAACCACGTGACTTTGAAAGATGTTTTATGACAAACTGGCGTATATAAGATATGACATTTTGGTTTGTAGAAAATTTCACGAATCAGAATACGATGTTTAGTCACATGCCTATAACTTGAGTTCTAACTGGATTACAACTACCGCGAATAGAGCATTCGACGCGCCATTAATTTACGATTCTAACCATGTAAAAAACCTTTTTGGCGCCAAAATTGATATACGTGGTTTTGATCGCCCACCGACGATATAATCTTGTGAATGTGTCAATTCAATGATACTTTACATTATAATGATTTTGCTTTTTATTGCAATAAAAATTCACATTGCAACAATCTATCTTTGTTTATATCATCCATTTAATTTTGTAATAGGTCAGTATATTTAATTATTTGCTATGGCAACATTAAGAAGGTTGATATTTGAGCTTTTTACCATCTTTCCCAGAAAATATCTTCATTGGAATTATCCTTGGAATAAAGTTGATTTTGGTCAAATGTCTAATTTGTTTATACTTTAATTTGACATAAATTAATTGGGTCCTTTACCTTTAATTTGACATAACTCGATCAGTCTTGATATTGATTGATGATTTAATATTTTTTTATCCACAGCTCCACCTACGATAGTAGCGACATCACGAACAGTTGGTATAGAAATACAAAAGAACGGTGTTCTACCATGTAGAGCCAAAGGTTCTCCTCCACCTAAAATTATTTGGCAGAGAGGGGATGGTAAACCTTTTAACAAAAGCAATCGATTACGTCAACTACCAAATGGTGGACTGCAAATCAATAGTAAGTTTGATAAATGCACATTTATATAACATATTGGAGAGTTTAAAAGCTAATTGGTATAAAGTGTGTGCTTTAGTTCTTAAGATCTGTCATGTCAGCGATTAAAATGTCAAATATGACAAGGAATAAAGTTGCTCCTTAAAGCCTTGTGGTTTTTAATGGGTCTTCTGGTTTCCTCCCACTGGTAAAGATAATTTATTGAAAATAGAATATACCATGTGTTAGTCTTGAAATTACCTACTGGGTAATTTGTGTTGAATGAATGTTAACCTCCATTTCCATTTTATATAAAATATCTGATCTGTTAGTCTTGAATTACTGCACAAATTAACTCTTTGGTGGAGGATTCTGTATGTAAAATCTTCCTCAAATGTATTATTAGCTCACAACACCAAATGAATTGATCAACTGGAATTAGGAAATATTACTATATTGTATTTTATCAGACATCCGCCTGGGTGATGAAGGTATATATACCTGTCTAGCACAGAATCATTTTGGTGTTGCTGATAAATCTACTTTTGTTAGTGTTACTGGAATTGGTGAGTATTAAATATGTAAAACCAAATACTATAACAGTGCATTTTGGGGGCATCTAATGCTTTGTCTGAAAACAACACATCAGAGTAATAGAGTATAATTGTGACATATCTAGGATTTTTGAAAGCGGGGTTGGGGTGTCACAAAAAAGTAGTCATAGCAGTCATTGTACTCTAGACTAGAATGTTCCAGATTTCAAACCTCTGGCCCAAGAAGAACCTTCATGTTCTTTCAAGATGGTGCCTGCAATGCTGACATAGAATGCATGTAAAATAATCCTTTACAGTTGGAAATCAAAGAAGAGTTGGCAGAAATGCCTCTTTCTGGGCAAAATTCTCCTAAATTATCGTATGACTGTATAAATGATCAATGTATTTTGTTGAGGATACACTTAACCTCATCCCACTCCATTTATATGTATTAATTGCTTTCACTTTATGGTTTTAGTGCGACCATTGATAGCCTACAGTTACCCATTTATCAAAGTTTTAGAAGGTGATTCAGCTACTTTAGACTGCACGATTTTACTCGGCAAACCTAAGCCTAAAGTAGCATGGATGAAAGATGGACGTAATCTTCGACAGAGCGCTAAAATAAAACTAAAAGGAAATGGAAAAATAGAGATTATGAATGTAACTCAGGGTGATGATGGTGAATATGTCTGTGTAGCGTCGAATATTGGTGGAAACGCAACTTACCATGTCACTGTTGATGTCATAGGTAAACAGAAGGGTTAATTATATGGAATAATTTATCTTGAGATCAGCATTTCCTGCATAGGAAAAGCAGAGACTTCAATCTGAGACTTTGGAACACAATAACTCCCTTTCTTACTGAGGTAGAATGATGAAACTTGGTGTAGGTGTCTGTTAGGTGAATGCCTTGACAGTGTTCGATCATGCACATTTTCCAATAAGGATAAGCCTAGATAAGCAATTTGACTTGTTGAGACTTTGGAACACAATAACATTGGTTCTGATTGGGTGAGAGTGATGAAACTCAGACTATAGATTCATAATATCAATATCTTGACTAAGTTTGGTGATGAGAATCATCTGCTTAGTCTCAGTAGCAATAAGCAATTTGATTGGTCAAGACTTTGGAACATATAACAACTCTGTTTTTAATTGAAGTAGAATGTTTAAACTTGGTGTAGATGTTCATTGGGTGAATGTCTTGACTGAGTTCAATGATTAACATTTTCCACTAAAGCTAAGAAGCACAGCTAAGCAATTTCATTCTAACTTATGGAGAATGATGAAACTTGGTGTAGAGTTTCACTACCAGTTACTTCAAAACCTTGGCTGAGTTCGATCGTGAACGTTATCTGCTTAGACTAAGTATAGCTAATCAGTTTGATTGCTCAATACATTTCAAAAAGATAAATATGCAATTAATTAATATGTGTCATTTATTTTTTGGGGGATTGTGGCCTAGCTGTTGTTCGTTCGTTCGTGGGGTTTTACGGCCGCTTCCACCTTGGGTGATATCGCAGATTGTTGGCTTGTTTTAGTCTCATATAGCAAGAATTGGGTAATATGGTTAGAGTATTTTAAAGATTTAAGTGAAACTGTTTAAAAAAAAATATTATGTTTTCATATTATTCAGGCCCACCAAAATTACTTCAAGAACTGGAGAAAGATAAGAAAAATAAATTTACAGTTATACAGGGACGTGGAATCGTAATTCCATGTAATGTAGAGGCTGATCCTCGACCTTCATTTACCTGGTTTAAAGATGGTAGCCCCATCTCATTAACCGACATCCATTATTATATGCGTGATGATGGAAGTTTAGAAATATTCAGCGCAGATCCCCAGGATACAGCCCAATATAAATGCGTAGCATCCAATAAAGCAGGAGAGGTTGAAAAGAATGTTAGACTTTATGTTCAAGGTTTGTCTATGTTATCAAATGTTAGACTTAAATTTGTACCGATTTGGAAATATAATAGAGAATTTTCAATACGAACAGAATCAAACAGAAATGACTAGCTTCACCAGGCATAGAAAGTTTATATTTTTAAAAATATGCTTGCCTTATAGAAACAAATTTACTGTACAACTATTGTGCAAATTATTATGTGATAGTTGACGTCATATTTCTTGGGTAAATTGTTTATTACCTAATAATTGCATGTGTGTAATCAATTAAAAAATGATTTATAAATTGAGATTGTTGTATTGTTCCTAAGATAAAACAAAATAATATGCAAATCATGTACCTACAGTGAACCTGACCATTAGCTTATAGGGAAGTGATTATTTTATTTATATTTTAGTTGGACCGTCAATCAATGGTAAAACGGAGGAACGTTATGAGGTACTAGAAGGCAAACCGATAGTTTTACCATGTCAAGCAGAGGGTAATCCTAGACCTGTAATCAGCTGGAGACGTAATTTCACACCGTTCCGTCCACGGTCAACAAGATATTCTATAAAAAAAGGTGGTATTCATATCAGTAAGACAAAAGTACGAGATAAGGGTATCTATGAATGTATCGCATCAAACACAGCTGGAAATACAACAAAAGTTATAACGCTGGTTGTCTACAGTAAGTTATTAATGATGTTTATTTCAGGATATTTGAAAATCAGCAAGAATCCATATTTCTGGTGGGACGTTCCACAGAGGCTTACCTCTTCATTGAGTAAATGTTGTCCCTTTGAGAACTACTAAACACTGAAAAAATTTCCTTTACGATGAATCTGCATAGCATGAACCAAATCAAATTTCACCAAACAGGTGTCGCACGACCACACAATGAATGATACTTCCTTATAAAATATGGCTTACTCTTTCCATCTTTAGCAAAAATAAGCTGTTACGGTTAATGTAAAAAGATCAATGTTTCTATTCTCAACAATTTTTTTGAGTTGACTTATTTGCATAATTTGACTTTTTTGTCAACAGATCTATTTTGAAGATAGCAGATATATTATATTTTTTGAACACGCCAGAGATTGTTAATAATCCATCTAAATTTTTCATGTTCAGACCACAAATAGTTTATATCTTCTGTGGTAATATGTATATAATTGTGTTCATGATATATCATTTGTTTTACCTATGTCTTGTAGTACAGTTATAAAACCAAGTAATCTATTTGATTATTTCTAGTTCCACCATCAATAGAAAGTGGAGAAACATCAATAACAATGATGGAAGGGGATCCTGTTTTATTTGAATGTGAGACTTTCGGTGATCCCAAACCCTCTGTGGTTTGGACGAAGAATGATACCATCATGGATATTATGTCAGAAAACAGTCGATATTTGGTTTACGGAAGTGGATCATTAGCTATTGATGCTGCAACATTGAGGGATGCTGGGAAATATACTTGCCTGGCAACTAATCCAGCTGGTTCAGCATCAGTGGATTTCTCTCTCACAGTTCATGGTAAATATTTATAAAGGATAATTATGGAATTGCTCATGACACTTTCAAAAACGGTCAGTATTAGCATAACAATATGAGCAAAGCAATGTGAAAAGAATCTTGTGATATAACTCTATGACTTTAGCAGCTGAGAAAAGTTTGAATTATTTATTCTTTATCAGGCCTATAGTGTAATATTTAAGGTTTATCACCTACTGGAATCAAAATCACTGTCAATCATGAACTTGTTGTGCGATGAATTATATGTCTTCACCCCCACCATCTTCCCACTTCCTATTTCTTCATGTTTTATTACTACAACCTATAAATATTAATTTACAGACATAATGTTGTAATATATCTTATTTAAATGTTATATCTATGATTTTACAGCCCCACCAAGCCTGCCATTAGATATACCAGATTCAACCCAGATAATTGAAAACAACCCTGTCATTCTGCCATGTCCAGCTACCGGTACTCCTACACCAAGAATAGTCTGGTTAAAGAATGAAGTCCTGGTTACAGGAGACGAACTTGGTATAAATATTTTATCGGATGGATCATTAGAGATCAAGTCTGCGGATGCTGAAGATACAGGACAGTATAGATGTATGGCTATCAATGTGGCAGGAAATGCAACTAGAGTTGTTGACCTTAAAATTCTTAGTAAGTATATTTTCATTTCATTTTTTGTGAATAATTTCTTGGTATTTGAAACATGCAACCATTGTAAGGATACTAAATTAAATAGTGCAAGATGGATAGTCTTGATCTTACAGACCTAGCTTTAAGTGTATCTGTATGTGTGGTGGGTGTGGGGGTCTATCATGTAGGCTTTAGATCTGTTATTTAAGTTAGGTTTTGATGAGGAGTAAATTTTCTCCTACCAGTTTCCTACCACTGCTACAGATCTTTGCATATTACAGAAATAAAGATTTACGATGTGTTAGTCCTGAAATGACCTAGTTTATGTTGAATAAACTTTAAACCCCATTCTCTATCTATCTCTAGTGTGCATTTTTTGTAAAAGAAATAAATACTGTTCTCTGTGTTTTTTCTCTCTAGTTCCACCAAAGTTATTGGGTCCTGATGGAATAGATGAACCAGAGAAAGTCAAAGTTGTAGTTAATGACACAATAACCCTTCGTTGTCCTGTCGCAGATGATGTAGATCCAAGACCTTCTGTACTCTGGTACAAAAACGAACGCCCATTAATCCTTAATAAAGAAGATTCTAGAATTGAAATATTAAAGGATGGAATGGAGTTATCTTTATCGCAAACTCTTGTTGATGACACTGCCAGATATAAATGTGTGGCTACAAATATCGCAGGTGCTATAGAAAAAGATTTTGATTTAGAAGTACAAGGTGAGTGATTCCATTAGATTTTGATTTAGTAAATGATCTGGGTATCTAAACCTGTAAAAAGAGATTATGGGTTAGGTTTAAGAATTTGGGGGAGAGGTTAAGTCTCCACATAAGCACTGACCTAGGATGATGAAAGATTAGTTCGTGATAGTTTTATTAAAAAATACATACAGTACATTAGATTTATATACAAAGATGATTTCACTGTTTTTTGGTGTTGGTGGCGCTGATGGTCTTCCTTGGATGGTGCTTCTGGTATTCTGGTATTTTTGTTTCGGAAGAAAAAAGAATAAATTTGAGGCTCTCGGGGGAGAGCCACATTAGTGTGTTTCCTACTACGAATTGGATTTTCTAAACATGTGTTTGTTTCACATAACCGGGTTAGGGCTAGGGATTCTTATATGTAATTGATTTTATTTACTAATGGTTAGGATTTAGACTGGCCTTATTTAATCTAATTTACTGTGCACTAGGATGTCGTTCAGATTTTTATTTTTAGAATATGCAATTATAAGTTTCTGTGTGAAGATTTTCGGGTGATTTTCTTGGAGATCAGTATAGTGTTTTCTAATGATTATGGATGCACTTGCTGCTGTTGCGCTAAATGGAACTACAAAAGGGGCTATTGCGCTAGCCGTATGAATATTCAAACCTATGGGGGCTGTTGTTTTCAATTTGTCAATCCAGAATTTCTCTTGTTAGCCTAAACGTTTTAATTTCTTCTGTAGTTTCAACGTCCCTCTTGGTCTTTTCTATTGGCGTGAAAATGAGATCAGAAATGTCATGATTTGGTTGATTGAAATGAATTGAGACCGGTTTGTCTTTTTTGGTGACTATGTCTGACCGGTGACCGTTAATTCTTTCCCTAAGTGCATTCTGAGTCTCTCCTATGTATTGTTTGTCACATTGTCTACATGAAATTAGATAAATTATGTTTGAACTACTGCATGAAAGTTGGTCTAATATTGGGAATTGTTTTGCTGTTATGTATTCCTTGTCCTGCAATTCATGTAAGATGTTGTTTATTAAGGTTGCAGTGTTCTTAAAGATGGGTTGGTCTAATTTAGTGTAAGGTTTAGGATTATATAATTGTTTTTCTGCCTCAGAGATATAGTCTGCGCGATTCATTATAACACAACACAAACCTTTGTCGCTTTTCTTAATTATTATGTTTTTGTCTTTTTTGAGGGTGTTTGATGCTGTTTTAGTTGCTTGGTTGAGATTTGGTTTTTGTGATTGTGGTTGAAGGGATGATATTTCTGTGTTCATTTCGTCGAAAGTTTTTAGAATGGCTGGTGATAATGACTTTTTAGGTGGTTTCCATGAGGATTTTTCTGTGAATAATTATTTACCTTTGCTGGATTTGTTCTTAAAAAAATAAGTCAATGAAAGTGTTCTTTGGAAGCAATCGGTTGCCTGGGTGATGGGGTCTATGGATGTTATTGTGGGGGTTGGGATGAATTTAAGACCTTTGTCAAGAATGTTCATTTCTGACAACTGTCTGTCCTAAAGACTGATCTGGGGAAGTGAACCTGTAAAAACAGGGAAAAAGTTAGATTTAGTAAACTGACCAATCCAGGTAGCTGTACTTGTAAAAACAGGGAACAGATTTGGGTTAGTAAATTGACCGAGATGGGGAAGTGAACCTATAATCTATCACAAACCGTGACATATGCTTGGGTTTTAAAATTCCCATAATTCACCACCAGAATGAACCCCTGTATATCAATACAGAGAATTAGATAGGTCATTAAGTTCATTTGGCTTCAAAAAAACTGTCTCATGTCGGTATAGTACAACATTAAAATCAAACCAAAGTTAAAGTGGTATTATTACTCACTAAAATAAAAATTTAGAAATTTATTTTGAATAGTATTTACGTGGCAATATTGTCATTAATCAGCTTCTAATGAAACTAGGTGTTGAATCCTTTAATACAGCCTGAAGTTTAAATCTTGTTTGTATTTTTAAAATTTTAGTTCCTCCTGTTATTGATGACCCCACGGCATCTCCAGATAATATGTCGGTTGTGATTGGTCAGCCTCTTTACATTAACTGTCCCGTATCTGGTATTCCACCACCACAAGTAACATGGTATAAAGATGGTATGGTAGTCTCCCCAGAACTTGATCCAAACCTGCGTATCCAGGCCAATGGAAGACGTCTAGAAATTGTCAGTGCGAAGGTGAGAGATAGAGGGCGGTATCAGTGTGTTGGTGAGAATATCGCCGGTAAAACTAACAAAGTTTATACAGTAGATGTTCATGGTAAGTTTATCATCAGTATTTTTTTATATAAAGATGTATTCTATCATCTTAATTTTAACTTATAGTAGGATATTGCTTATATACACTCAAAGCCATTAAAAACGCAATGCCTAATTCATGAAATATTTCTGGTAAACGTTTTCTTGGGCTTTCCTATCTTATGGCAGATAGGTGAAACTTGTGATGGGTCTCTTTTTGTGGAGTTTTGGCCGTTCTGGGTTTGAACCCAATATCAGTTCTTGGTAATGAACTTTGTTTGTGCGAACGCAACACTTGTCTGTTTTCACGAATTTAAGCAGTCCCATGTCACACGTTTTGCATGTGCATTCCCTGCACTCTGCCCCTTCAAATACAGATCAAAATTTCAACATTCATCCCTTCGGAAAAATGTCACGCCTTACACAAGAAAACAGAAACAGGTAGCCGTTGCCAGACACTTTAATGTCCACGAGGGATGGGATTTCGCCTGTATATTAAACATGAAAAATAGTGAGGTGTTCCTATTTCTGTTTCGCACGGATTTGAATATTTTGTTGACATTTTATAATGAAAAAAACGATGTTCTGGCATCACAAACTATTCTTATTTCGGAAGTTCTGCATTCATTTGCTGCCATATAAATGAAGACACGTAATTTGAAGGAATATACTCTTCAAAAAAAGTAGGGGATATTTCAATTCAAATACCTATGCAGGTTGTGATATGATGAATAGTCATGGACACTTGACATGCTTTGAGAGTATGTTCAAAGATGAAGAACTTATCGCCCCAACAGAACCACTGAGCTGCATCTGCGATACACAATAGTGCCATACACGTGGGAGGGGTTCATTGTCAAATTTGACACTTCAAGGAAGGCTTGATGAAAACTGCCGCGTGCAGGTTTATCCTATCCATGTTTGCTTTCATATCAGTTCTTGCATAAGATTTACTGTTTAGCGTATCTTTGATTTAGTGTGCTACGTTTAATTTGCAATGAGACGTCTTCAACATGATGAACGTCTACGTGCTATTGGCATTCTTCAAATGGGTTCTATACAGCGAGCAGTAGCCAACATGCTTAATGTGTCACAGTCTGTGATCAGCAGACTGTGGAACCGGTACCAACAGACACACAATGCTGATGATAGACCTCGTTCAGGTCGTCCTAGAGCCACTACACAAGCCCAGGATCGATACATTCGTACACAGGTCCTGCGAAATTGAGGACAAACGGCCAAGCAGCTTTCTGTAAACTTGTACCAAGTTACAGGAATTCGAGTTACAAACCCAAACAATTAGAAATCGGCTACATGCAGACCAGTTGCATGCACGACGACCGTGTGTTGCGCCTCCATTAACTTGCCAGCACATGGCAAACAGGTGTCAATGGTGTAGGCAGCGTAGGAATTGGGGTAATAGTCGATGGGCGCTTGTAATGTTCTCAGATGAGTCCAGATTTACTCTGGATTTCACCGATAGGCGTGCTCGCGTTTGGGGGCGTGTAAATGAGCGTCATGCTAACGTTAACGTCAGACAGCATGACAGATTCGTGCATGGTTCTGTTATAATGTGGGGAGGAATCACCATGACTGGCAGAACGGACTTGCATATTGTTCAAGGAAGGGTCACTGGTGTGAACTACCGTGACCACATCCTGGCACCGATAGTTCTGCCCTTTGCTCAACGTGCAGGTCGACGTTTCATCTTTCAAGATGATAATGCTTGTGCCCACCGCGCTCGTGTCATGATTGACTACCTCCAGCGTCACCATATTGTCCATATGCCTTGGCAAGCCATGAGTCCTGATTGGGAGACGTGTTCGTCGACGTCAACATCAACCGACAACACTGCAAGAATTGCCCGTGGCACTGCAAGAGAAGTGGGTCAGATTGCCCCAAATCATGATTGGACGGTTGATTAGGAGCATACCAAGATGAATTGCTGAATGTCTGATGATTGGTGGAGCAATTACTCATTATTAAGACAAAAATCAAAAACGTCCATTTTCACTTTTGACAGTGTATCTCTTTGCGAGTGAAAAGGGGCCGTCAGATAAGCCGCCCATATGAACTGTTTATGTTCATGCGTAGGCAATTGGCCTGTTATTAACATACACTGGTTACCTGTAATAAAAACAGCAGTGCATTTCCGCAGTTTTGTATTGTTTCTGAATATCCCCTACTTTTTTTGAAGAGTATATTACGGTTGTGAATTTGATGCCAAAACAGGATCAGTAAGATTTCATTCAATGTATTACGAAAATGCTTAATTTTGTAGGAATGTTACTGACATAAATTTGAATGCCGTACAGGAATTGAATATGAAAAATAGCAAGGTTCACCTATTTTTATTACGTACAGGATTTGAATATTTTGTTGACATGTGATTTTTAATTGTGATATGAATTGAATACCGTACAGGAAATAAATATGACATTTTATTATGTACGGGATTTGAATATTTTGTGGAAATGTGATTTATAATTGTGGTATGAATTCTTTTGCTTAAATAACGATAAGAGTTATGCCCCTTTATTTTCGGTATAATGTCTGACAAAGAAAATTTTGCAATACCATCACTTCCATGCCTGGAAGAGTTGCCGATCGACCCCGACCTGGAGCGCCACCTGTAACAACTGCTGCTCAAGATCGCTACATCCGACTACAGCATCTGCTCAACAGGTTCCAGTCAGCTACTGCTACTGCCAGGGGAACTGTTGGAACACGGGAACGTCAGATCAGCCCTCAAACAGTCTGAAGGCGCCTGGCTGCTCTTGGGTTATGCTGCTGTCGACCTAACCAAGGTCAAATCCTTTTGCATCGTCATCATCTTGCCAGGCAGCAAGGTGCCTCAAATCAGGGGTATCTGCACAACACACCATGGCAAAATGTCATCTTCTCAGATGAATCCTGATTCAACCTCAGTTTTCGTGATGGACATAACCGTATCTACCGACATCGACATGAACGCTTTGCTCGTAACTGCGTGCTGGAAAGGGATCGTTTCAGAGGAGGTGTCGTCATGGTTTGGGTCGCTATCAACGTCAACTTCCGGTCCCAGTTGGTGGTGGTCCAAGGCAATCTCAACGCTCAACATTATGTTGACGCCATCCTTCGTCCGGTGTTGCTTCCATTGCTGGCTCAACATGGCGTCCGTCGACAGATGGTTTTCCAGCATGACAACACCCGACCCCACACTGCCGTGTTATGGATTTGCCCGCTATGTCTCACGACATGTTGCTTCCATTGCTGGCTCAACATGGCGTCCGTCGACAGATGGTTTTCCAGCATGACAACACCCGACCCCACACTGCCGTGTTATGGATTTGCCCGCTATGTCTCACGACATGAACCCGATCGAACACCTTTGGAATGACCTTGGACGACGGGTTCGAACCCAAGCTATGCCACCACGAACTGTTCCAGAGTTAGCACAGGCATTCCAAAATCATTGGCAAACAATCCCACAGCGTGTAGTGAGACATCTGTGCCAGTCCATGCCAAGGCGACTTCAGGCATGTGTAAGAGCTCAGGGTGGACATACCCGATATTGACTTCAGCTGAACCCTGCTTTGTTTCATGGTTCTCTGACGTTTCGGTTCTGTGCATTTGTAGTGAATTCTTTCATGAAATTATCCACAGATGCTCTTTATCTCGATTTTTTCAATTGTTATGTACATTTGTTAAAAGTTTTTGCAGTAAATGAACTTTGAATTTGGCATTGTGTTTTTAATGGCTTTGAGTGTATGACCCACACAAATAGAATTATAGATTGAAAGTGATTAGTAAATTCACAATAACTATAACCAGAAAGAAATTGTCAAATATGAAACTCTTGATAGACCGCTGTTCATCATCAGCAGGATACACCACTTCCCTGATCATAATGGTAGATTTGAAACTGAATAGGGTTTCCCATGCATGACTTGCAAGATATCATTGTTTTAGAACAGAAATTTGCTTACCAAGTGAATTTCTCACAGGTCGAGTATCAGATGTTTGAGAAAGACTTAGTATATCCTATCTTGTTCACAGCACAACTTGAGCATTGGGTTTGTACTATGGGCCATGTAGTGGAATTTACAAGAATTTACATGGTTTACTAAATTAACTAAAGTGTTTTGTTTGTTTGTAAACTGTTAGATTTCACTTAGGAAAGGGCTATAGTTCAAAAACTTGATCTCTTACATCCTGAATTCAGCATTTCCAGAAGATGGCACACACTTTTTGTGAGCCCTGATGCATGTGGTAGAATTCATTGTGTGCACCTTTCTGGTTGAAAGTAACTATTGTATTGATTTCATGTTTACAATTATTTCAGTACCGCCACGAGTTGAGAATCCAGGAACTATTGATAAAACAGAAGTAATGACCAATCAGACGATCAAATTAACCTGTCCTGCTACGGGCATCCCACTACCAGAGATCACATGGTTTATAGATAATCAGCCAATCAAATTCAACACCAGTAAATATACCCTACTTAATGCTGGTTGGTTGTTGACGATTGCTAATGCTGATGTTTCTGATAGTAATAGATATATCTGTAGAGCTGAGAACATTGCTGGAGAAAATGAGAAGGTTTTTGATGTGGAAGTTTTAGGTGAGATTTAAATATTTTATTCAATAGGCCTTCAATGAGCTAATAGTCTTGATGATTCAGCCTCGTAGTCTTTGTTAAAAATTGTGAATCAAGCAGAGTTATTTTCTCTATCATGTAATTGATACACATCAATATACTCAACTATGTGCGTAAAATGCCTAGTCATTGGCATTAGTAATGTCCAATTTAAGGTCGATCACAGCCTTTAATTGTTATACGCCCACATTGAAAAGGGGTCATATATTGTCGTCAATGAATTTTGATATCTTGAACAGCTAAATTCATGATATTAAATGTTTTGTATACTAAACGTTGGCATGGGCCAGAACTAAAAGCCAAACAAATTCTAATGATTTTCTGATAATTACTTAATGAGTTGTTACTCTTCATCAGATTTTAGTGTATTATAAATGTTTCATTACCGACAACAGAAAAAATATGCGACAACTCTTGTTGACTGCCTGGACGACTTAGCTGCTATGGGCTTATGTTTCGTTGCCTGGCAACCTATCTTTACAATATATATTCAAATCATTAGTATTCCAGAAGTTCAACTCCTTTTTAAAGGTTTGACAATGCATGGTGTCTATTTGGGGTGGGGCCCACCCTCTGAGTTCCGATAAAATTGCTAAACTTTGCATCCGGAAACACGCTTACAGCCTTTAATTGTTTACAATATTTATTCAAATCTTTACGTGTTCCTAAGTTCAGCTCCTTTTTAAAGGCTTTATTGATGATGCACAGTATCTGTTTGAGGTGGGGGTGGGGGGGGCACCGTTTGAGTTCCGAGAAAATTTGTAATATTTTACATCCGGAAACACCTTTTCCTGCACTCTGAGCAGAACTTAATTTAACACCCCCAATGTATGGAAGGGTATCGCTGCCAATATTAAATGCTCTGTGACAATGTCGTTTCTATTGATTATATGTACAAAGTCTTAATACTGATAATGATACCTCTAAGGCAAGAGTTAAATGTAAAACGTCAAATGATAAGCGTTAAATGACAAATGTTTTGTGGGAAAATGCTTTTTTTGACATGTCTACAATTTAAATTTCTCTCATTACATTTTACATTTGCGCTCTGCCACATCCCATTTGTCCTTCATGCTTTCTACATAGCAGCTTTCGCACAGCATCAACTTTCATATGCAAATGTAGAAATACGGAAAACACGGCACACTATAAACCAGCACACTATAAGGATATTCACCGTGCGATAACAGTAAATCAAGCTGGCACACTATAAGAAACTATTTAGACGGCCATGCGTAATCATGAATGTGCCAGGAAATAAATGATAGATTCAAAGAGCTAAAGAAACATACTTTCCTGTAACTTATAACATAATAACTGGAATTTATTAATACCCGTATTTTGATATTTTAAACAACCCCATCCCACTTTTTCCGGTCTCTCTATAAACAGTTTAGTACAGCCTTATTAACTTTGATCCATTTGAAAAACAAAACAACATCTAAGCATTGTGCCCAACAAATAAATAATACATTTAAAGAGAGGAATGACTATACATTTTTACACGCCCACATTTTCATGTAGTAATATATTGTCGTCGCCCCTTTCCGTCCGTCCACAATTGTTTGTGAACACTCTACAGGTCACACTTTTTATCCGATTTCAATGAAACTTGAAACATAGGTTTATCACCCTAAGATCTTGGTTCCTTTAGATATTGGCATGTATCGGTCTGTAACTTCATGGATTATGGCCCCTGATCGTCCAATACAGCTTCAGAATTTATTAGCATAATATCATCTGATATAGAGGAAAATATTTTGGCAAATATTCAACAGAGCCCAACATTAGGCATTATGGTAGAGGAAAGTACAGATTTGTCTAGTGAAAAACATTGGATAGTGTACATAAACTATACTAAAGATGGTACGTGTAAAACAGCTTTTGTAAAACTTATTGAAGTACACTGCGCCACAGCCGACTCTCTAACAAAGAATATTCTTGCTTTTTTAAATGTGAACAAAATTGATGTAAATAAAATATTTGGGATTGGCTCTGATGGGGCGGCAGTTATGATGGGGAAAAGGGCTGGTGTTGCTGCTTTATTGAAAAAACAAAACCAATATTTGATAGAAATGCACTGTGTTGCCCACCGACTCGCTCTTGCTATTGTTGATGTAGCCAAGCACAGTCCCAATGTCAATTTTATGAAACTACATACTTCAGAAGATCCCCCAAAAACTTGTCCCAGTTAAGAATATGGCAGGAGATTTTAGATGAACCGAAAGTGAAGCAGTCAGAAGTACATCGTGTCCGCTGGCTATCAATGACAAACACAGTGGAAAATATAGCAAATACAATGCCTTCTCTGTTGAAAGTGGTAACGGCCGAAGCCCATAGAGACATAAATGCCCGGTCTATATATAATACTATCTGTTCATATAATTTCATGTTTTATACGGCCTTTTTACGCGATCTGTTTGGCAGTATAGGTGCCCTGAGCCGTTCTCTGCAAGTTCGAGACCTCTCTTACGAGAACATAAAGATAAACGTTGATAGCTTCCTATCCTCCCTGACATCTACACACCTGGGAGAAACTCCAATATACGGTCCAAAAATGTTACAATTCCTAGAAGATACGTGAGATAATAACACATATATGGGGGAAGAATTAAGGAAGGAAAAGGGTGACAAGCGCCTGCAAGATGACGTCATCTCTGTCGTAAAAACAATTGTCAATAATATAACCGACAGGTTCCCCGACAATACTAAAATGGCTGCATTCCGGATTTTTTCACCCAAAAATTACCCGGACAATGCCCAACTACCAACATTTGGGACAAAAGAGCTATCAATATTATTAGAACATTTTTGCGACGACAGACAGTCATCAACCACTGGTGTTAGCCCGCCGATAAATCGCCTTGAAGTGGAGGGAGAATGGTCTGTCTTCAAGACGATGGTCAAAGAAAATTACTCCACGCTGAGTTATAGCGACTTACTCAACCGATTGACAACATTAGGATTGGCCGACCAGTATCCTAATATGATTCGCCTAATGGAGATTGGTCGTGTTTTGCCCGTTAGCAGTGTTGATTGTGAGCGCGGATTCTCATGCCAAAATGTAATAAAAACCAAGTTACGATGTTCCTTGAGCATGAAAACCCTTGACAAACTAATAAGGATTTCTATGGAGGAACCGCCACTTGCCGAATTTCAACCAGCACATGCTTTACAGAAATGGAAGTCTAGTAAAAACCGACGAGTATATGTTGTAAATAAATTACGAAAATGATTCAAATTTTGATTTGGGTCAGTTTTTCCAGTAATTGTCTAATTAACTACCTGTCACATTTATGGAAGGGATTTCAGGTTGTAAAAGTTAGAGTCGTGAATGGATTCACAAGTTGTTGAAAAATGTGACCTATGTAGTTAATGTCTTGTAGTCTATTCAATCTACGTTAAATTTAGGGCAACCTAGAACAAATTGAAACAGAAAGTTTCTTGGCACTGTTGTGTTCGTGGGATCATCCTCTACAAAATATCTGATTTTTGGTCCGGGGAAAGGGCTTAATTTGAATAAATTCAAAATGGCCACCAAATGTACCTTTGGAATCTCATAACTCCTTTAATATTTATTTCTCACTTTAAAAATTCATTACAGATAGAGACATTACCCCTGCGTGTAAGAATATCATGTTAGAAATTATCATAAATGAACCTCATGACGTCATCACGTCTTATTTTGACATTACATGATGATATCAGTATACACTTTTCAAAGACGTGACTGAGCTCCTTGGAAGAAGTTAACCAATAGAAATTGAAATGTAAATAATCATATGGGCATTAAATTACCGGTACAGTTCAGTCCTGAATTGTACCATTTCTTGTAAAGTCTTAGTAGTCTATCACATGTCCCAAATAGGGTTTACCTTATTCAAGTTCGAACTTTTCTTGCTCCTGCACAACACCTTTACATTCGCTGCCGGATTCAGTATACTCTAAACTCTGTGACTCACTGGTGCTGTGTCACATTCTATTTTACAGCCACAATTGATGCTTTTGAGGATTGTCTCTGGAGCTGGTACAGAGTCAATTATTCTGGGCTCTAACTTGTCTTTCGCATGTCTCCATCCCCACTTTTCTGGGCTTGATTAACCACCCCTCCCCATTCACAACTGCACCTGGTCTGGTAGTACACACAGAAACTATACCTTGCAACATCCGGGTTCAGCGTCAAGTTCTGAATCTGGACACAGCTTTTCACAACCGTTTCACTGAACTTTCTCATGCTCAAGCTTTCTAGTGTTTGAATTGTTTGTCCACCATATAAACACAACAGGATCTCTCCTCCTGCAGCGTTAATTCCATCATTGGGGGATTGTTTGCGGACAAAGACATCAGTGTGTTTGCAGAAAGCTCAATCCTCTTGAATCTTTTTGAAAGCGACTCCTTTGCCATTCGAAACAATCCCGTTGTTGTGTCTAACCCTGCTATGCAGGGGCGTGCTGGCAGGGAGTTTAGGAGGACGGTGTCTTCCCAGGCCCCCATTAAACAATAAGTCCACCTGTATAAGCGGGCCCCCCTGAGAGCTCTAATTTTCACGCCGAATCCCCTCAAAAAATTGAGAGTGCACACGCGAAAAATCATACATACACAACGATTAGTAAAATATATTATACTGACGTGCAAATGTCTGTCACCTTAAGGTGAAATGGTCTTTGATACATGTATTCATGCCTCGATATGTATAAGATGCAATTTATTATTTGGAAAGAAATACATTGTATTAGCATTATATTAAGCAGACCTGTCATGAGTGTCTTGTGTAGTACAGTAGTACCGGTATGTCTTATAGTCAAAATAGCAGCATAAATTTGGAAAATATGATACCTAGATTTCTCCCAGAAGTGCTTGCAAAACGCGTTTCCCGTTGTCAAGTTGTCATGCTATGGCATGCACAGGGGAATCATCATATGATATGGAAGGTCCTGTGCATCATCTTCTCACCCAATTGTTCTCGATCTCAAGTTGATTTTCAAACAACCATCTTTTGACTTATTATCAAGTTGTGTATCCTTGTCAGACCTAAAATACCAGCCTGTGCATCTTTGGCTTTGCAAGATGCAACAGTAGAACCAAGAGGAACTATCTTACAGAGTACTTCGATTCCTGTCTAGGCAATGAGCATATTGACATCCCCATCCCCATTATCGTCTTCAAGTTGTTCACACAAAATATCTATGACGTTCTGCTTATTGACAGAGTTTGATACCTTCCGTTTGTGCATGCTATCGCTGGGTGTGATACAACATCCAGATTGTTTAGAATTGGAAAAAGTGTCCCTTTCAAAAATAATCAAGAGGGTTCGAACTTTGAACTGTGTTTTTGTGGTGCGCTAACAAATTAAACACTAGAACGCTTGAGCATGAGAAAGCTTATAGGGAAAAGGTAGTTAAAACCTTGTCCTATATCAAGATTCAGAACTTACCGTCAACTCCAGATGTTGCAAAGTATCATGGTTTCCGTGTGTACTACCCGATGCAGTTGAGAATGGGGAAGGGTGGTGAATTAAGCCACAAAAAGAATTTGGAAAAGATACAGATAAATAATATTTGGGACATGTGATATACTACCAAGACTTTAGAAGAAATGAGACAATTCAGGACTGCACAGTTTTTTAATGTGAATGTGATTATTTACCTTTAAATTTCTATCAGTTAACTTCTTCCAAGGGGCTAAGTCATTTTTTTTAAAAAGTGTATGCTGACATCATTTAACATCATTTAGATTCATTTATACTAATTTCTAACATGATATTCTGACTCACAGGATTCATGTTTCTATCTCTAATAAATTTATAAAGTGAAAACTCCATATTAAAGGAGTCATGAGACTCGAATTTATGTAAATTACGTCCTCGCCCCGCCCAAAAATCAGAGAACTTTGGATATGTTGTAGAGGATGATCCCAGATGATGTGTAAAACAAAGGTTCAATGTAATGATTGGTAGTGTTAGGAAGTGAGTACTAAATGCGCTTAATGGGCTTGTGTAACCCTCATTTAAGGAATTCCACTGTTGAATTGTATGAGTGACTAATTGGTAATAGCAACGATCACATACCCCTATAACTTATGCATGTATGTGGATACAGCTATCCAGGCACTTAGAAATAGCATGGAATTTTGGGACTTGGAAAAAAAAAACATATGGAAGCTAAAAGTACCCCAAAGCTTCAGAACTAGGTTAAAGATTTTAGAAGTCATCTACACAGAATAAACCCACTTGATTCACTAAGATAATCTGGGGAAGCTCCTTTGATTTGACCCTGAAGAAGTTAGTATTTTTTACTGATTAAAAGTTGGATAAAACAATGTTTTTTTGATATTGTATTCTGTTAATTAATATCAATGCATCATGTCAGCAGTTGGCTTGTGAATGCGATAGAGGTTACAGTGTTTGACAGATCTTTTTCAAATTTGGTGATCAGCATTTCCAGCATTGGGGTCATGAGAGGACAAACCCTATTGATATATTCAACATTCCATGGCCTTTTATACCAGAGTTATGCCCCCTTTTCCAAAAACATGATACAGACTATACTTTTTATCATCTAATTACGTTTAAATTTAAACATAGTGTTTATGTTGATGAGAGAAAGAATCCTATTGGGCGTATGTTTCATTGCATGGCAACCTAGCTTTTGTCAGGACGTGGAACCATGTTTTTGATTTGCCTAAAAAATGTTAATAGAAAGACCATGGTTATTTACACTACTACAAATGATGAGATGATGCTATGTTAATTTTTATACGCCCACATTGAAATGTGGTCGTATATTGTCATCGCCCCCGTCCATCCGTCTGGCTTCCACAATTGACTTTAAATTTATACACAGTGTTTAAGGTCATGAGACGAAGAAGCCTATTGATTTTCAACGATTTCCGATAATTACTGCCAGAGTTATGGCCCTTGATCACTTTGAAAAATCTTGTGGACGCTCTAGAGGCTAAAGTTAATATTCGATTGACTTTAAATTTATACACGGTGTTTGAGGTCATGAGACGGAGAAGCCTAGTGATTTTCATTGATATCGGATAATTAGGGCCAGAGTTATGGCCCTTGATCACTTTGAAACATCTTTTGACGCTCTAGAGGCTTATGTTATCATCCGATTGACTTTAAATTTATACACAGTGTTTAAGGTCATGAAATGAACAAGCCTAGTGTTTTTCAATGATATCCAATAATTAGGGCCAAAGTTATAGCCCTTGATCACTTTGAAATATCTTGTGACGCTAGAGGCTTATGTTATCATCCGATTTACTTCAGACTGCTACACAGAGTTTAAGGTCTTGAGACGAACAAGTATATTGATTTTCAATGAATCAGCTAAATCCATGATATTAAATGTTTCGTATGCTAAACGTTAGCATGGGGCAGAACTTTATTAAAACCAAACAAATTCTAATGATTTTCTGATAATTACTTATTTAGTTGTTACTCTTAATCATATTTTAGTGTATTATAAATGTTTCATTACTGAAAAAAGTAAAAATATGTGATAACTCTTGTTGACTGCCCGGACGATTTAGCTGCTGTGAACGTATGTTTCGTTGCCTGGTAACCTATCTTTATCTTTTTCAGTTCCACCAAAAATCAACCGTGAAACCAGCGATCCAAATCCTAATGTGGTTGTCAATACAACAGCAGTCATCAACTGTCCTGTTACTGGTATTCCTATACCAGAAATTTTATGGTATAGGAATGGAGTTCTACTAGACAGCACGGTTACGCCTCGTTTTGAGATTCTCGGTCAAGGACGGCAACTTAGAATTCACTTATCCCAAGTTCAAGATCGTGGACGTTACACATGTTTATCCAGGAATCGTGCTGGTGAAGATTCAGTAGATTTTAGTCTCAGTGTATTTGGTATATATAATTTATTCTTAGTGTATTTGGTATGTGATAGCTGTTTTAATCGCAGTGTATTCGGTATATATAATTTAATCACAGTGTATTTGGCTTGTGATAGGTGTTTTAATCGCAATGTATTTGGTATATATAATTTAATCACAGTGTATTTAGTATGTGATATTTATTGTCCCCCGCCTTTTGAAGAAAGCAGGGGACTATTAAAATGGGTTCGTCCGTCTGTCCGTCGGTCTGTCTGTCATTATGCCTGGTCATAGTAGAATGTTCAAACTTTGTGTAGCCATTCATTAGGTGAATGCCTTGATGGAGTTCGATGATAAACATTGTCTGCAATCTGATTGGTTGATTCTTTGGGCACGATAACTTTGTTTTTAATTTAGTGAGAGTGATATGAAACTCCGAGCATAGATTCATTATATCATTACCTCGACTAAGTTCGATGATGACAATTTTCTGCTTAGGTTAAAGCTACATTTTAATATTTTTAAGTTATATTTTTAAAATGTATTAAAATAAAGCCTTAAAATCGATGCTATGTATAAACAGTCCTACCTTGATAAAGAATAATCCTATTAATCCTATAATTCACTATTGCCAGTTGAGAAATTGGCAAAAATATCATTTTCAACTTCAAATTCAAACATTTGAAGATAGCTATTCCATGGTAGGGAATAGAAAAACAAGGGAGGTAATTAGGAGGTAATTGTGTTATTATTTCCGGTGTGAAACATTTTTGAGTGTGAGAATGATTGCTATGATCGTATAATAGTGAGTTGACAACATAGCAGCAGTATTGGAACCGAACGTTCGTCACAGAGTGCTAGTTACGTAAATAAGTATATCTTTCTGTGCATTTTGTTACATATGACAAGTGCCTTATGAAGTATGTGTGTCGTCTTTGGTGAAAGAAAATGCTGCAGCAACCATTCCTTGGTTTGAATGACAGATATGATACGGCTTTTTTAACTTCCAGTTTCACGTATGGACTTATGTATTTTTTCACATTCTAGCCTACTTTACTTATCACCTACAGTGTCATTTTTATCGATAAACAGTTGATTTTAATGCGCCTATTCATTGTTCATATTTGAAGGCAAACAAATATAGTTTTACAGGACGAATTTGTGACCTCACAAATAATTATGGAAGTCTGTAATTATTACGGATGAAAACATACAAGTGGGTGGGTCATGAGAAACAAACAATTAATTAACCGTGGCCTTAGAATGTCTTGACTGAGTTCAGTGATTAACACTTCAAGCTAAAGCTAAGCAAAGCTAAGCAATTTAATTGGTCGATGCTTTGGGACAAGATAACTTTGATTCTATCTGATAGAGAGTGATGAAACTTAGTGCATAGTTGATAATCAGTTTGATTGCTTGATACTTTTGAAAAAAATAAATTTACTATTAATTAATATGTGTCATCTATTTATTTTCGGATTTGGGCGTGGGACATCAGCTTCACTGTTGGCTTGTTCTATTGAATTTTAGTCATTTTTTCCCTTGAAATGTTGGGAACTTTGTAGAATCTTGTGAACACCCTAACTATTAATACTATCATCTGATCTGTTTGCAATTTATATGCATTTTTCAAATTAGTGAAATGGTTTCTCCCCTCCGGTTTTAGAAAATATTTTGACCTAAATCAATGATGAGTTGCTCCTTCAATTATGAATTAATAATGCTGTGTGTCCATATAATTCTCATTTTTATTTTTTAGTTCCTCCGTCTATTGATTCCCAGGGAATAAATCGCAAACCTAAAGTTGTTGCTAACAGCTCTGTTACCATAGATTGTCCTGCATCCGGAGTCCCGCCTCCTAAAGTCACATGGTACAAGAACTCTCAGGTAATCAACATCATTGGTAGTCGCCATCTATCAGTGGTCAATCAAGGTACACAACTTGTTGTTCAGAGTGCCAATATTGAGGATGCCGGCCGATATACCTGTGTAGCATCTAACGAAGCAGGAGAAAAGGAAGAGAATTTTGACCTGGAAGTTCAAGGTAAGTGTAACAGTGGTTAAATTCACATCTAGACACTAGTGTTTCTTCGGGATCTCTAACAAGGGAGGAATTTGGTGCAATGGTTATAAAGAGACCCGAATTGTGCATCAAGTCCTTGTGACCTTGCATAAGACACTACACCCCTGCATTCCAGTCTACCCAACTGTAAATTTTTACTGGTATGCAATTACATAAAAAGAATTGTTGTGCTTTTTGAGCAGCATTTGGAACTCTTTCTAAGATTTTTAAAGAGATCAGTGGTAAAGGGAGGTGATCAGGCCGGGGTAGTAATTGTATCACTTTGAGCACAACCCCTGTTGAAATAGCACATTATTATTATTTATTGTACATAGAATTGTAAGATTATCGCCTAAACAGTAAATGAGAAAGTGCTTCTTTGAAAGATCTAAATAGTGTATACTGACATGGACTATAGCTACTAAACCTACATATAAAAAATTTCAATGCTTCAACGTATTCATTGAGGAGTTGATATAATCTTCGCCATGTTCTGGATATTTCTGTTGAGTTCAGAATAATGACTTGATTGTCAAGTGTGGTCATTTAAAACCACAACTAATATCTGCCTGGTTTAACAAACGCTTCAAACTGATAGGTGGCTAAAATCTGATTAATAAAATACGATCAAATGGTGAACTACCTATTATTGACAAGGTTCGTGTATATCTGTCTAGTCTGTGTAGAGATGAGTATCCAAAACCTAAAATTTGGAGTGTTAAAAAGTTTGGGGCACATCAGGCCAACCCTGTTAGATTTATGAGCCCTGCTTTTTACGAAAAATGTGAAATATGGAGAATATAATCAACATATTAAACAATGTATATTTTAATCATTTTTCATTATCCTCATTGACCAATAATTGGATGAAGGATGAATCCTATTGATTTTCCCTGTTCTCTGTCCATCTCTTGCAGAATGTGAGCATATCTTGCATGGCAACCGCTTGTTTGAAAATTGGGTAATATCATCAAATGTACTCCCCTAAATCAAAGTTATGATTTGATATTTTCCAGTTCCGCCCAGTATTCCTGATTTTGGTATTGTGACGGATCCGAAAGTTGTTGAGAATGATTCGGTAGTCTTGGACTGTCCAGCTCTTGGTTTACCAATACCTGAAGTAAATTGGCTACAGAATGGACAACCCCTTGACTTTGAAGAGAATCCCCACATTTCCATAGTAGAGAATGGTAGACGACTTGTTTTTGACGGTACTGAGGTTTCTGATTCGGGAACATACACCTGTATCGCATCAAATGAAGCCGGAACTCAAGAAAAACAATATAACTTAGAAGTACGAGGTAAGTGTGATTTGCGTAGATTATACTTTCCCGTCTTTAACTCCAATAAACAACCTCATAAAATCATGTATCCTTGAAAAATTAAATTTTCCAAAAATAGTCCATTACTCTCAATTTTATTACTTGTATGATATTTTGCAGTGCCTCCATCAATAGATGCTGAATCTGTAGATGATAATCCACGTGTTATAAAAGGTCATACAGCCACAATACATTGTCCTGTTACGGGTATACCATTTCCTGATATAATGTGGTTAAAGGACGGACAACCAATTGATGAAGGTTTACGATATAATATTATAAATCGCGGAATGCAATTACGTATACAAGATACCACAGAAACTGATTCAGCACAATATAGTTGTAGAGCTACCAACCCAGCTGGTTCTGATCGAGCTGAATTTGATTTAATTGTACTTGGTAAGTCTAGGTTTTTCAATTAATGTGCTTTTGTTATACACCCACATTTATTGTGGACATAAATGGTCGTCATCTTGGTGCGTGCGGCCTGTCCATAAACAGGTATACTTCGTTCGAGCATAAGGAAGAACTATATTTTTCAGTTATTAATTTTGGAGATATCTTGCCATGGCAGAGAAAGTTTTTCAACATTTTATAAACTGGTTTCCTCCTTGTCAGTCGTTCGGAAGTCCTATGTATATGTTAGAATGCTCATATAAGAACCAGTTGAAAATAGATGAAGATTAAATGGAAACACTGTTGTCCTGGCAAAATTTCCGTCCTAGCAAACTGCATGGCATATGCCCATCTTTATTAGCCTAGTTAAGCAGAAAAGAAAGAAGGATGTTGAACCCTATTTTGTTTAATTTTCATTACATTTGATCATACAGGACAAACAAACTTCTTGATAGAATTCTTTTAAATCTTAGGTTTGTAAATTAATTTCAAATGCTTTTTGTAAATTTAACTTTCGTTTGCATTTTGACTGTTAAAGTGCCACAAGAAAGTTCTGATTGAAATTTGTTCAAATTTAGTGGAATTGTTTATTTGAGACTGCAATAAAACATATCAATACTCAGAATTATCTGCCCATTTACATTCAAATCTCAATTTTCACACTTTTTGACAGTTTATAGTGGCTTTTCTAAAAACAAATTTGCCCTGCAGAATTTGTTGACAATTATTTCAGAACTAGTAGGGATGAGTTTACTGCTTGTCGGTTTATTAGGGATCCCCTGTATGTTATGATGATGTATCGTAGTAAAGGAATGAATGATAACCAATAAAGTGCAATCCAATTCATATATCCTTGTCTCAGTATTTTGGTTGTCAGTAATATGCTAGAAAGTCTTCTTAAACTGTAGACACTCTAGCATATAGCGTATACTCCATTAACTGGTTATTGAGCTATGAAATTACAATAGGAAAATTTAATAGCCCTCTTTATTGTATAGTTTCACATGTTTCTTTCATTGTAAAGAGTTGCATATATCTAAGACCATGAACTTTTGCTTAATTATAAGAATCAACGTCTTTTAAGATTAAAAAAAAAAATTGTCCTTTTCAGTTCCACCTGTGATTGATGAATCAAATGTTGTCTACAATCCAAAAGTTATCCAAGATCGTCACGTTATCCTCGAATGTCCAGTATCTGGCAACCCAAGACCTGAGGTAAACTGGCTGTTAAACGGTGAACCTGTGGTTGAAACAGATCGAATTCGTGTTGTTAAAAATAATCTGTTACTGGAGATAAATCGAGCACAGGTGGTGGACTCAGCAAGGTATTCCTGTATTGCTACTAACGAGGCTGGAGAACTAAGGAGAAATTTCCAACTTGAAGTCTTAGGTAAGCAAATCTCCTGTATGTTATTCAAATTCAGATAGCACCAGCTAGCTTGGGTGGGTAGGGGTTCAGGAGATGCATGTCAGATGTAATAAAATAAAACTGAATTATTCAACTCAATCACTCCATGTAACATAAATAAACAAATTTTGAAGATACACACCTGAAGTTGTCAATTTCAGATTCATTGCTTTTAGAGTAAAGATGTAAATAAATTTATATTTATATATTTCAGTGCCACCAACAATCGACAGAACCAAAATTAGCGACAACAAATCTGTCATACAAAATAAAACACTGTATCTGGATTGTCCAGTCTCGGGAGTTCCTCAACCTTCAATTATCTGGCTGCGTAACTCTGTTCCTCTGCTTGACTTTCCATATAAAAACCTACGATTGATGGATAACGATCGACGTCTTGAAATTAGTAACGCCCAGACAGAGGATGCTGGGATATACACATGTAAAGCAAGTAATGCGGCTGGAAGAGATAAAGTTGATACCAATGTTCTTGTTCATGGTACATATATCTTCGTCATGTTCCTAGGCAACCTAAGCCTGACACCTGTACAATGTTTATGAAGTCATTAGACTAAATACAGTATCAATGAAATAAGGACGCTTAAAATAGGGTTGTTCACTTAACAATTTTACTTGCTTTTGTTGAATATTTTGAGAGACTCTAAATCACGCAGATGTAGAGAAAAAAAATGCAAAATTTGGGAATGTCTGCGACCTCTGGGTGGTGGGTGGTCAAGTATGCACTGTTATCTGTGCAACACATGGAATTGATCCCACGCTTATCTCATGCCTATCCTATAGCTACTCCAATGCAGTGGATAAAATCATCTGGTTAGTTTTGAGTTGACATTAAATCTCTGCTTCTCTTGTAATTATTGCTCAATTTTATGTATATTTTAGTTCCACCGATAATAGCAGGACCAATAGGAGTAACTGATATTGTGGTGAAAGAGAACGAAGCTGTCAATCTTTACTGTAATATCACTGGTGTTCCTCTACCAAACATTATTTGGCTGAAAGATAACGAAATCATTGTTGATTCTCCAGAGTCAAATCTACGTATTTTATTAGATGGCCAGTTGTTAAAAGTTTTAGATGCATCGACAGAAGATACGGGACGTTATATATGTCAAGCTAAAAATGATGCTGGAGTGGCAGAAAAATTATATCAGTTGGAAACGTTAGGTAAAATAAATATTTGATACTCTCCTACTTTAACATTGTGTTAAGTTGCTAGAACCAATCAAAATCCAGAAAAAAGTTTTTTTTGTCAGAAACTCTAAAAGAAAACCATACATAATTTGTAGCATTATGTTGGTCAGTGTTTAAACCATTGGTATAAATTGTGACAGTCCTTTTTTCGGACACCACTGGGAGTTATATCTTCTCCGAAGATTGATTTTTATCTAACAGAAAACAATAAGAAAGATACTAGCTCCGTGATGTTTCAATCTCTCTTTGAAAGTTAAGATGAAAATATGGTGATTATTTTCCAATTTATACAGATGGTTCCAGATATGGTGATCCAGTAGTTTCTGGAATCATTTCTGTTCAACTTACTCCTGCTGCTTCTATATTTACTACTGAGCTTTAGGTCATTCTTCCGCTTTGGAGTTCATTCAGTCCTCTTCCATTTTAAAGCCTGTCTTATTTATTGGTTCTTTGTCCTCTTTAAATACAATTGAAAACAGCTTTTCAACACATTAGCAGCCATCTATAATCTGCTACTGAGTTTATTGGCAAGAACATTGTCCTTTGCTGTCTCCCCAGTATACTAAGCAGCAAAAGAAATGTCAAGAAAATGCCAAAGCCTTTGCCAATCCCTTCTAGGTCAATATTCGGACTATCTACAGGCTTCAGCAACGCTTTCGGGCCACCAACACCACGGATGATCGCCCCCGAACTGGAAGACCAAGGATTACAACAAGACGACAAGACCTCCATGTTGTTTGACAGCATGGGCAGAATCCCTTCACACAGGCATCTGAGACAGCATGTCAGACAGTGGGAACACACGGAAGACCCATCAGTACTGAAACAATGCGCCGACGTCTCACCAGAGACAACATCCATTGTGATAGACTTTACCGTGGACCGATCCTCACCCCTCACCATCAACGTGAACGTCTCCAGTTTGCCAAACAACACCAGAACTGGCACCACAGGCAATGGAGAACTGTTCTGTTCACAGATGAAAGTCGGTATTGCGTATCAACTACAGATGGCAGGTCCAGAATATGGCGTTGACGTGGCCGGCGTTATTCTGACCAATGTGTCATGGAACGTGACTCATGGGGAGGTCCAAGCATAATGGTTTGGTGTGGAATCGACCTGAACCAGAGAGTGGGTATTGTGGTGTTCTAAAATCTTGGTCCAGGAAGAGAAGGCGGCATCACAGCAGAGCGCTACATTGATCAAGCTCTCAGACCCCACATCATACCACATTTCGCACGTCATCGAAACAACGTTTTCCAGCATGACAAGGCCCGTGCCCACACCGCCAGAGTTACTCGGGACTTTCTACAGCAGAACGATGTCAACGTTATGCACTGGCCAGCCCTTAGTCCGGACTTAAACCTGATTGAACATCTTTGGGATGAAATTCAGAGGAGACTAAACACAGCCGATAGATTGCGCCAGGCTTTTCTGAGAGAGTGGTTCCAGGTGCCAATGACGTTCATCAATCGTCTGGTCCACTCCATGTACAGACGCTGCACTGCTGTTTTTGACAATCGCGATGGACACACCAGATACTGATGTATAGACTGTGTACAGACTCTAAACCTTCTTGTAATGTCTTGGAATTGTGATGAATTAATCACTAATGTGCCAACATACTGTTCACGAAAAATTGCTTTGATCCATTTAGTAAGTTGTTTTCTAGAATGATTTGATTAAAGTGCTTCTCTGATTTTGAAGTAGGAATGACGTTTTTTTTTTTGCTGTTTAGTATATTACAGGGAATGATCAATTAAGCAGACTTAACTGCCTAGTTTGTTTTATTTCTTCCTATATCACAAATTTTTAACAGATTTTAAATCTTCCAACAATTAGAATTTACAATATATATACACTGAAAGCCATTAAAAACGCAATGCGTAATCCGTGAAATATTTCTGGTAAATGTTTTCTTGGGCTTTCCTATCTTATTGCACATAGGTGAAACTTGTGATGGGTCTCTTTTTGTGGTGTTCTGGTGGGTCTGATTGAACCCAATATCAGTTCTCGGTAATGAACTTTTGTTCGTGCAAACGTAACACTTGTCTTTTTTCACGATTTTAAGCAGTCCGATGTCACACGTTTTCCACGTTCATTCCCTGCACTCAGGCTCTTTAAATACAGATCAAAATTTCAACATTCATCACTTCGGACAAAATGCCATGCCTTTCACAAGAAAACAGGAACAGAGCTATTGGCATGCTGGATCAGGGGGCTTCACAGGTAGCCATCGGCAGACACTTTAATGTCCACCCATCGACCATTGCTCGCCTCAGATCAACCCCGCTCTGGAGCGCCACATCCGACTACAGCATCTGCGCAACAGGTTCCAGTCAGCTACTGCTACTGCCAGGGGAACTGTTGGAACACGGCAACGTCAGATCAGCCCTCAAACAGTCCAAAGGCGCCTGGCTGCTCTTGGGTTACGCTGCCGTCGACCTTACTAAGGTCAAATCCTTTTGCATCCTCATCGACTTGCCAGACAGAACTGGGCCACAAATCAGGGGTATCTGCACAACACACCATGGCGAAATGTCATCTTCTCGGATGAATCCCGATTCAACCTCAGTTTTCCTGATGGATGTCACCGTATCTACCGACGTCGACATGAACGCTTCTTTGCTTGTAACCCGATCGAACACCTTTGGGATGAACTAGGACGACGGGTTCGAACTCAAGCCGTGCCACCACTAACTGTCTCAGAATTGGCACAGGTACTCCAAAATCATAGGCAAACAATCCCACAGCGTGTAGTGAGACATCTGTGCCAGTCTATGCCAAGGCGACTTCAGGCTTGTGTAAGAGCTCAGGGTGGACATACCCTTATTGACTTCAGCTGAACCCTGCTTTGTTTCATGGTTCTCTGACATTTCGGTTTTGTCACAAAACTTTTGTGCATTTGTAGTGAATTCTTTCATGAAATTATCCACAGATGCTTGTTATCATGATTTTGTCAATTGTTATGTACATTTGTTAAAAGTTGTTTGCAGTAAATATACTTTGAATTTGGCATTGCATTTTTAATGGCTTTGAGTGTATATTAAAATTTATAATAACTTTTTTTTTCTTTTCAAAACTTCTTTGTATAAACCAGGTTGGGCTATCGTTTTAAGACAAAAATATACGTTCAATTAAAATTTATAAACCAGGTTGGGCTCTCGTTTAAGATGAAAATATAACCAATTTCTTGGATTTATATTTTTTGTGTTTCCATGGAAACAAATTTAACCTATTTTTTTGGATGTACAATTTTGTTTTGGAGCACATCTCATAAACCATTTAAGATATCTTCACGAAACATTTTAATAAACATCAACCTATTATAATAGGTGTGCCTTTTGCTAATTTGGAGTTTCTTGGATTTATATTTTTTGTGTTTCCATGGAAACAGATTTGACATAGTTTTTGGTGTACAATTTTGTTTCCAGAGTATATAATTATTATTCCAGAGAATATCTCAGAAATTATCTCAAGATACCTTTATAACACTTTCACATTCATCTACCTATTATTTTAATTTCTAATGACCGTTCTGCCTTCACGATTTCGTTTCCGTAGCATATTTCATTATCCGTTCAAGAAATCTTTTTGAAACAAATTATTCTCTTGAATGATGTTTGAATTTTTACTACAGTGCCTTACAGTGCCTTGCCGCACTACTGTTATCAAAGTATGAATCTTCTGACTAGTCCCATTGATGTTCCAAGAAGTTGTTTTTATACGCCCACATTTTCATGTGGACGTATATTGTCGTCGCCCCTGTCCGTCCTTCTGTCCGTCCGTCCGGACGTCCACAATTTGTTTGTGGACTCACTACAGGTCACAATTCTTGTCCGATTTTGACGAAACTTGAAATATAGGTTTATCCCCAAAAGATCTCGGCTGCTTTCGATATTGGCATGTATCGGATCGAAACTTCATGGATTATGGACCCGGTTTGTTGGAAAAATCACGTTTTTAACTTGTGGACCCTATAGAGGTCACAATTTTTATCCGATTTTGTTGAAACTTGACATGTAAGTTTATAACCAGAAGATCTCAGTTCCTTTCGATATTCGTGCATATCGGACCGTAACTTCCTGAATTATGGCCCCTGATTGTACGAAAAATCGCGTTTTTAGCTTGTGAACCCTATAGAGGTCATAATTTTTATCTGATTTAAAAACCCGTATTATTATATCACCATTACACCCTAAGAAAGGTTGAGTTCGAATTTGAATCCGATTTTGATGAAACTTGAAATGCATGTTTATAACCCAAAGATATTGGTTCCTTTCAATATTTGAGCATATCGGATTGTAACTTCATGAATTATGGCCCTTGATTGTAGGAAAAATTACTTTCTTTTTAGCTTGTTCTCTATCCATCTCTCAAAAATGTGGGCGTATCCTGCCTGGCAGCCGGTGGTTCATTATCCAATCACTTGCAAGGGCACAGGATCGTGATGACTAGTCATCTTGTTTATATTTGAAATATTTATGCATATAAATTTTATTATATGCCCACATAGAAATGTGGACGTATATTGCCCCCGTTCGTCCAGCCGTCATCGTTCACAATTTCTTGTGAACGCCAAAAGTTATCATCCAGTTGTTTTAAAATTGATATATGTTGTTTACATTAGTGACCATAGGGGGTTCTGATTTAGGGGGTTTTGACCTATTTTAATTTCAATAATTTCCGTGTATGATGTCTAGAGTTATGGCCCTTGTTTCACTTTGTTGAACCATGTGAACACTCTAATGCCGAAAGTTAACATCCGATCTTTGTGAAATTTATATGCAATATTTAAATTAGGGAAACAAAGAATCCTATTGAATTTCAGCTATTTCCGTTTATTACTTCTAGAGTTATGGCCCTTGTTTCACTTTGTTTATTCTTGTGAATGCTCTAACCCCAAAAGTTATCATCCTATCTTTCTGAAATTTATATGCATTATTTGAATTAGTGAAACGAAGAAGCCTATTGAATTTCAGCCATTTCTGTTCATTGCATCTAGAGTTATGGCCCTTGTTTCACTTAATTGAACCTTGTGAACGCTCTAACGCTAAAAATTATCATCCAATCTTTCTGAAATTTATATGTATTATTTAAATTAGTGACACAAATAAGCTTATTGAATTTCTATTTATTATGTCTCGAGTTACGGCCTTTGTTTCACTTTATTGAACCTTGTGAACGCTCTAACATCAAAAGTTATCTGCCAATCTGTATGAAATTTACATGCGTCATTTAAATTAGTAAAGAGAAGAATCCTATTGAATTCCAGCTATTTCCGTTTATTACTTTTAGAGTTATGACCCTTGTTTCACTTTGTTCAACCTTTGTCAACCTTGTTAATGTTCGATTGATGAAAGTTATCATCCGATATGTATTAAATTTATATGCATCATTTAAATTTGTGAAACAGAGGTCTATTGAATTTCAGCAATTTCCGTCAATAATTTCTAGAGTTATGGCGGTTGTGAACCTGTGAACGTTTGAATGACAAAAGTGATCATCTGATCGGTATGAAATTTATATGCATTATTTAAATTAGTAAAACGAAAAATCCTGTCAAATTTCAACAATTTCTGTAGATTACTTCCAGAGTTGAGACCCTTGTTTCAGTTTGTAGAACCTTGTGAACCCTCAAACAGCAAAAATTATAATCTGATCTGTATGGAACTGTCTTGTAAAGGCCCCCAATTACCTACAAAGGAATAAATATGCGACAACCCTTGTTGACCGCTCGGCGATTTATCTGCTGTGAGCAACCTATCTTTTACTTATATGTGATATTTTATTTATGTGTATAAATGTATTACTGTGATATCATTTAGTTAGTCTCAGCTGGATGTGCAACAAAACACCATTTCATTTCATTTCATTTAAATTGTAACAGTACTGATAGGTGGCTCCAATAAACTTAGCTGTTGGTGAGCGATCATTAGCTTTGTTGTGATATGTATATTTAATGATCAATATTTTCACTTCAAATCAGAATTAAGTCAAAACTGGATTTTTATTTGTTGAAAACTGAGATTTTGTATTAAAAAACCTGCTAGGCTTTTCATTTTACTCAATTTGTTTTCAGTCCCTCCAAAAATAAATGGATCAGGAGAACTACAGGTAGTCCCTGTTATCATGGATCAATCTGTTAGACTCGAATGTCCAGCTGCAGGCATTCCTCCACCTGTTATACGCTGGTATCGTCAAGGTAAACAGATACCTCTCTACGGATTACCAAACATCAGAATTGTGGAGAACGGACATGCTTTGATTGTCGTCAGTGCCCAGTTTTTAGATTTTGGTGATTATAGTTGTCGAGTACAGAATGATGCTGGAGTGGATAATCTAGAGTTTCTTCTTTCTATATTAGGTAAATTTTACCTTTATTTTGTTTCATCAAAACCAACGAAAAATTTGATTGTGTAGAGTTCAACTTTAGACTAATCTGCTCTTAAAGTTAAAATTGATGGATTTTAAGTTTTTAAAAAAGTATAACCTTTCAGAAGTTTAAAAATTTTGCACTTTACATTTCACTGATAGGGTGTGTTTTACCTTAAGCACTAAATTTGTATTTTCACTGACTTTATATTTTAGTTCCACCAGAAATAAGAAGTGGACCGCGTCAGGTTGCAGCCGTTATTGATGCTAAGGCTGTTTTAGAATGTAAGACGAGTGGACAGCCTCGACCTAAAATCACATGGGAGAAAGATGGGAAACCTTTCCCCTCAACCGGATTACGTCATCGTATGTTGGCGTCTGGTTCATTAGAATTTGTTGGGGTACGTATTGAAGATACGGGAGAGTATACATGTACCGCGTCTAACGACGCTGGTAACATCACCAGAAATATACAACTTAGTGTCTCCGGTAAGTTAACAATAATGATAAAACAATTTTATGAAGAAATGATATTCACCAATATGTCTCATTATTTGCTATAGTTAATCCCAGCAGATTATCGTTATATCAGTTATGATTTTAAAAATTATCTTTTTTTGTGTGACAGATGCAAAGTAGGGTTTTATATAAATTTTAAAGGGGGTCAAATTGAGGACAAAATAACTGTACAAGGGTTTTGGTTTTAACAGTTTAATACAACATTATATCCATCAAAACTTCTGAGAGTATACAACTATATCAAATGTACAGTCAGAAGTATAAAATCAATTTGTTCATTATTCATTAAAAGGACATATTACACTGTACAGTTTAAAGATAATTACATATATTGTTATTTAACATTATATCACTCTATCAATTAACGTTGAAAAATAAGGTTGGAGACCCATATTTTGGTGGGGTTGCGTGGCCTGATAATGGAAAACTTTTGATCATTCTTTACTGGTTGTTTTTCTTTCAGTACCAGCCATGATTAAAGAAATTGGTCCATCTGTAGTAAAGTCACCAATAGGGGAAGAGGTCATGTTATCGTGCGAGGTCGAGGGGTCCCCAAAACCCAAAATTCTATGGTTGAGAAATCGTGGCATTATCAACAGTGATGCCAGTGGTAATAATTTGTCTTTTAGCCATTTTGTTTAGGAATTTGATCCAGCCCTACACTGATATTAGTAGTTTGTCCAATCATGACACTGGTAGATCCAGTCTGACAGTGATATTAGCAGTTTGTAGACCCAGTCATGAACCTGGTAGATCCAGTCCTACACTGATATTAGTAGTTTGTAGATCCAATCCATGACACCGGTGTTTTTGTAGTTTGTAGGTTCAATTCATGATAGTGGTATTAGTAGTTTGTATATATGTATATCCAATCCACGACACTGATATTAGTAGTTTATAGTTCGAATATAAAGACCGTTCATACATTGATTATGCTCTCTAAAGACACTACTCCTTTTCACAGGATAAAAACCTTGACACTTGACTCAATGACAGACCTGATGATTAAAAGACCACTCAGCCTCCAGAAGGATATGTATGACAGAATTTAAAAGAAAAAGATTGATTAAATGTTTGATATTTTACAGCTGGTTATACTGTGATGGAGAATGGTTCCCTATATATTGAACGTGTAGAATTATATGATACTGGGGTTTATACTTGTATTGCTCAAAATGTAGCTGGTAATGATAACAGGGAGATAACTCTAGAAGTACAAGGTAAATAATTATTTTTACGCATATTAATTTGTGTTTATAATACAGAATTGCAGGTGTATTTCAAATGATAAATCACAAAAGAATAGGTTGGATAGTTTGGCTGAAATGCATCAATGATTCGACCTAGATGAGTTGAGCTTATAAACAGCTAATTGCAACTGTCAATTTTATACGCCTACATGTATATTGCTTGTAGACGCTCTAGAGGCTAAAGTAAACATCCAATTGACTTTAAATGTATACACAATGATTATAATCATAAGACGAAGAAGGCCATTGATTTTCAACAATTTCCAATAATTACTGCTTGAGTAACGGCCCTTGACCTCAATGAGAAATCTTGTGGATGCTCTACAGACCAAAGTTATCATCCGATTGACTTTCAATTTATACACAATTTATACACATTAAACATGTCATCAGACGAAGAACAGTTTCTGATAATTGTTGCTAAAGTTATGGCCCTTGATGACTTTGAGAAATGTTGTGGATACTCCCAGGACCCAAATTATTATCCGATTGACTTTAAATTGATACACAGTGTTTAAGGTCATGAGACAACAAAGTCTATTGATTTTCAACGATTTCCGATAACTTGAACAGCTAGATGCATGATATTCTGCCTGTGGCAGAACTAGAAGCCAAACAAATTCTAATGATTTCTAATAATTACTTAATTGGTTGTTGTTACTCTAAATCAGATTTTAGTGTGTTGTAAATATTTTCATTACCGACAGCAGGAAAAATATGCGAGGCCCCTTGTTGACTGTTCTGATGACCTAGCTGCTGTGGGCATATGTTTGTTGCCTGGCAACCTATCTTTAACTGAATTTATTTAAATTTGGTGTAAAGTATTAGAGTCATAAGAGGATGACACATAATGACCCAAGAGTATCCACAAGCTAATGATGCAATTTTTCGTACTATCAGGGGCCATAATCATGAAAGTTACGGTCTGATATATGCGAATATCAAAACGAACCAAGATCTTTCTGTAATATTAATCATATATTTTAAGTTTCATCAAAATCAGATAAAAACTGTGATCTGTAGAGGATCCCCAACCTTGGTATTCCATACCTTTCCACTATCTACATATTGGGAGCGGCCATTTTGTCGGGCAGTTTCGGTCCAATTTTCATGAAATTCGAACTCAACCATCATTAAGGTGTGACGGTGATATATTTGTACAGTTTTTAGAAGGTCCACAACCTAGAAACACGACCTTTTGTAAAATCAGGAGCCATAATCCAGGAAGTTATTGTCTAATATTCGTGAATATCTTTGGGATATAAACATATATTTTAAGTTTCATCAAAATCTGATACAAATTGTGGTTTATAGATTTTGGTATTACACACTTTTACAGCATTTATATGTATCAGGAGCAACCATTTTGTTGGGCAGTTTAGGTCCAATTTTCACGAAATTTAAATCCATCCATCATTATGGAGTAACAGTGATATATTTGAACGGTTATTAAAATTGGAGAAAAATTGTGACCTGTAGGGGGACCACAAGCTAAAAACACGAAGTTGCTGTTTGATATGTGCGAATATCAAAAGAAACTGAGATCTTCGGGTAATAAACATACATTTCAAGTTTCATCTAAATTGGATAAAAATTGTAACTTTTGGAGTGTCCACAAGTGAAAAACGTGATTTTTCGTACAATCAGGGGAAATAATCTATGAAGTTTTGATCCGATCCATGCCAATATCTAAAGTTTCGTCAAAATCGGATAAGAATTGTGACCTGTAGAGTATCCACAAACAACTTTTGGGTGGACAGGGGCAACGACAATAAGCGATTTTTCGAACAATCAGGGGCCATAATCCGGGAAGTTACGTTCGGATATGCACAATTATTGAAAGGAACCAGATCTTTGTTATATAAACTTAAATTTAAAGTTTCATCAAAATTGGACCAAAATTGTGGCCTCTAGAGGGCCCACAACCTCAATATACCATATATTTACACTATTTGCGACAATTTTGTCCGGCAGTTTTGGTCTGATTTTCACGAAATTCGAAATTAACCCACATTATGGTGTAACAGTGATATATTCAAATGTTTTTTTAAAACCGATAAAAATTGTGACTTCTAGAGGGACCACAAACTAAAAACGTGATTTTTCGTACAATCAAGGGCCATAATTCAGGAAGTTACAGTCTGATATACGCAATTATCGAAAGGAACCAGGATCTTTGGATTATAATCATACATTTCAAGTTTAATCAAAATCGGAAAAAAGTTGTGACCTCTATAGTGTCCACAACCTTCGTATTAAATACTTGTGCACAATTTGCATACAAGGAGAGGCCATTTTGTCTGTCAGTTTGGGTCAGATTTTTACGAAATTCAAACTCAAGCTTCATTGATGTGTAGCGGCGATATATTTAAAGATACATTATGGGAGATTTGATAATGTGTTTGCAGTTCTCACTATAACAGTTAAAAACTAGATAATGTAAAGGCAATTTGCTGAAAATTTTATTCAAATTGATCCACTATGAACCGAGAACTAAGCGGTTGAAAGTTCCGCCTAGCCTTGATCATCATTGCTACAGTCAGTACGATAAACAGCATAGTCTCGATTATCCATTTAATCGTTAAATCGTGAAGGAAAGCTATGCAGGAAATCAGCTCATAATCCACTAAAGATCGCAGGCTAGCATAACCATCTAGAATTGATTATGGTCTGGATAGGTTAATTAATGTCTAATTAATAATTTAGATAATATTTCAGGCCTAAAGAAAGACCTGCAATAGACAGATTTAGCTCTTGCATAATTTATGTTTAAACAATTTATAAAATTGAATACAAATTTTTCGAACAATCAGCAGCCATAATCCAGGAAGTTATGTTCGGATATGCACGATTATCGAAAGGAACCAAGAATTTTGTGATATAAACATCTTTCAAGTTTCATCAAAATCGGATCAAAATTCTGGCCTCTAGGAGGTCCACAACCTTGTTATACCAGATGTTCACACTATTCGTCTGACAGTTTTGGTCCAGTTTTTCTTACAATTAAGAGCTATAATTCAGGAAGTTACGATCCGATATACGCGAATATCAAAAGGAACCCAGATCTTTAGGTTATAAAGATGCATTTCAAGTCTCATCAAAGTTGGATGAAAATTGTGACCTCTAGAAATCGTACTGAGACTGCCCAACAAAATGGCCGCTCCTTGTATGCATATTGTTTACAAGTATGTAATACAAAGGTTATGGACCCTCTAGAGGTCACAACTTTTTTCCGATTTTAATGAAACTAAAAATATATCTTTATCTTTGATATTCACGCTAGAGCCTCGTCTAAGGGTTTGGTCGTGCGTGGCAATGTCGGGCAAATCCTGACCCGCGGGCACCCGCACGGGGGGTCTGTGATGCCCTCCCCCAGAAAATTTTGAAAATTGACTCCCTTAGACTCGATTTCTGAGCATTTCGGAGATTTGATACACTATTAGTTTTGGCATCTTGTTAAACCATGGATTGATTAATACCCTGTAAAATCAAGATCAAAACACTGCTGCGGCTGACCCGCAGACAGAAATATACCCATAAAACTATCAGCAGAGATAACCAATTTGATTGGTTGAGTTAGAATGTTCACACTTGCCGTAGGTGTCTATTAGGTGAATACCTTGATGGAGTTCGAAGATGAGAATTTTCTGCTTAGGGTAATCAGAGATAATCAGTTTGATTGGTTGATGCTTTGGGACACGATAACTTTAGTTCTAATTAAGTGAGAGTGATGAAACTTGGCGTAGGTGTCTATTAGGTGAATACCTTGATGGAGTTCGAAGATGAGAATTTTCTGCTTAGGGTAATCAGAGATAATCAGTTTGATTGGTTGACGCTTTGGGACACGATAACTTTAGTTCTAATTAAGTGAGAGTGAAAACACTTGGTGTATAGCGTTATTACATCAATACCTTGACTAAGTTCGATAAGCAATTTGATTGGTTGAGACTTTGGAACACAATAACTCTCCTTCTAATTGGGTTAGAATGTTCAAACTTGGCGTAGGTGTCTATTAGGTGAATGTTTAAACTTGATGTAGATGTTCATTAGGTGAATGTCTTGGCTGAGTTCAATGATTAACATTTCGAGCTGACGCTAAGCAGAGCTAATCGATTTCATTTGTCGATGGTTTGGGACAAGATAATCTTGATTCTATTTAAGTAGATTAGAACAGTTCAGCCATTTAATGATTTAATTTAAAAATGGAGAAGCGAGGCTAAGACTCGAATGATCAGTACGGTGGTTACGATCAATGCACACATCTTGTCCAAGCTACAACTATTGATAACTTCGTTCAAAATAAAGTAATTGAATGAAATTTTCAATATATTCATTTTGCATTATCTATGTTTGAAATATTATAGCAAGAACTGCCAGCTTTATCTAAATCTTACATAATACCCCATTAAGATAAATTAATCAATTAAATCAAAATTGATATGATTCCAGAGTGGTGTTTATTTATGTTTGTTCAAATGATGTTGCTTAGGATGCAGGACAAGGGTAGCTTGAAACTGTAAATGTTTCAACAAACTTTCATTCAGATCATAATATGACTTTTTATGGCATTTTTTTTTTATAACACATCAGGTTGTCTCTTTGACTTATTCAAAGGAAATAACAATGATAAAAAAATCTTACAAGCATTTATACTCTCACTCAGTTAAATCTTCAATGGAAAAATACAGTTAACCAATGCATGATTAAGGCGATTGAGCATCTTGTTCAACTAGTAAAGACATATTACTTCTCTGTTTTTCAGTTCCGCCAAAGATTGACAGTTTCCAGAAACAGTTTACAGTTTTGCAGAATCGCACAGTTGTTATACCCTGCTCGGCAGACGGCGTACCCTCACCAAAAATAATCTGGAAAAAAAATGGCCAAGACATAACTCCAACGAACTATGATTTATCGTATAGTCGTGTTCACTTCATCACCCTACAGACTGGAGGTCTAGCGATACCACATACAAGGTAATCCGTTCATCTTTCCTGCTGGCATCGATTTTACACGTCCACATTAAAATGTAGTTGTATATTGTCGTCACAACTGCCTGTCCACAAGCTTCTAAAGTTTAGAAATTTGTTGATGGTGATTATGTTTATGAGACAAAGAAGCCTATTACTGTTTTGTTTATATTAGTGCTAGGAAGAAGACTGTCAAGTTCTAATTAGTCTTGATAGTTACTGCGAGGGTTGTAAATGCTGCTGTCACTTACAAAATATAAAGTGAACCTTTATGGTCTGCTTATGAATTGCCTGGTAACCTATCTTTTATATTAGAAAAACAAATCATAGAGCATCAAAAGTGAATTTTCTGATTTTTTTTTCAATTTATTAGACGTTCTGATTAATAGGTGTGTTTTGTTATTTTTATTTATCAGAGCAGAAGATGCTGGAATGTATACATGTATTGCAGTTAATGATGCTGGCAATGATACAATTGAACTTGAACTTATCGTACAAGGTATAAATAAAGCTTAATATTGCTATAATTTGCGGCAATGGTAGACTAGAAATTTGTTCTATTTAGCTTTCTGAACAATGATGGCCTAGAATTTTATGATTGTGATAACTATTGTTGTATTTTAGTCATGTGGATGTGACAAAAAACCAAGGTCCACCTCTGTACATATTAGCATGCATGTAAAAGAAAAGAACACTTGCCACTTGTGACTAAAGCGCATCATAAATATACACAGATATTATTATATCGGGCATTGAGCACAACCCCTGTGAATATAGTGCATTATAAATACATACACAGATTTTTATTTAGAATTTCATGAAGAGTAGGCAGAAACACCACTGTACGTGCAAAACTCTTAACAGTAAAATAAACATGTAATTATTAAAATGAAAAATACCATTTAATAACATTGAGTGATTTTCAGTTCCACCTCAGATTGTCTCGGCTTCACGACAGTATCAAACAACAGTTGGTGATCGTGTAGAACTCCCTTGTGATGTTAAAGGAAACCCCAAACCATGGATAGATTGGTCTCGAGATGGTCGGCGTATTGATACGCGGGAAGCCAGATTTAACATCCTAGATAATGGGTCTCTAGTTATATCAGATATACAAGTAAGTTATAATATAGTGCCAGTATATTTATGAATTCAGATAGGTTACTTATTTTGGTGAAATACTTCTATTATCAAATCTTTATTTGGACATATTCACATAGTCTAGAAAACCAAGACCTTAATATTATGTGTGAATTAGTATTAAATGTAAATAAATGAATTACACCTTGTAAATAAATTCCAACAACAGAACAAATGGCTGGCATTATGCGAGTAACAGGTAGTATGATTAAATTATTTTTTGCTAATGTCTTTATAATACATTTATGTTCCATTAAAAGCAAGTATATTATGTATTACAGTGGTGTAACTTTTAGATATATATTCGAACGATTAGATCACCAACTGGTTTACAGTTTTTTAAAGGTATTGCTCCGAAATGGGCATCTTTAATTGGTGCATGGACCTACAGCTCAAATTTACCTCACAACTGAGTATGACTAAACTCAATTGAATATCAAAAATATTTTGGAAATCATCTTTGTGGCAATAGCTCAGGATTAGTTAGCTTGACATTCCATGAATGTTTGGTAATTGGACTGGATGGAGTTTATACCGTCATAAAACTAAAAAATTAAGTGTTAAATAAGTAAACATTTCAAAAATTTACAGGAAGATGACACAGGAAGATATGTCTGTTCTGCATCAAACGTTGCTGGTAGAGATTCACAGAGTAGATTACTACGTGTACAAGGTAAATTTTCTTCAATTCTTAACAAAATGTATTCTAAGTACATTTTTTGTGATGCCGCAAAATGACATACCTCAAAGTTTATAGGCTAGCAGTACCTCATTTGAAGCAAAACAGAACAGAAACAGTAGATATTGAGATATATCAAAATCATGTAATATTTTATATTGTACTATTATTTATAGTCTCCTAAGAGAAGGTAATTCTGTTTGTATGGTCACATATACAATGCATTTAGTAAGACAGCATTGTACCATTGCGGAAACTGATATTAATGAATCCAATTGTTAGCATTTTATATCCCATTTACTCCTATTACTTGTTTCAGTTCCACCAAGAATCATACGTTCTCCCCAAGACACTCAAGTTACCATGAATTCCCAAATGGAACTACAGTGTGTAGCAATTGGTGTTCCTACACCATCAATAACATGGATGTTAAATGACCGTCTGGTGCCATGTAAGTCAACTGAGTATTAAGTCTGGAAAGTCTTTCTACACACATCTAGATTGAATAGCTCATTGCATGTCTACTTTCTTCATTATGTAATTTTCACCTACATAACCAATTAAAGATCATCAGCCGATATCTGCAAAGTATTGGCTGATCTTGCTGTAACCTATGTACGTAGAATTTGGTCTACAAATGCCAATGTTTAACTTTGTCATCTACAATAAGTTTTTTCTGGCAAAATAAAAACATCTGCCCATGCGTAAATTAACTAAATTTTTTCAGATGCTAATAGTGTGAATGGCAGAAGTAATTATTTTGTGAGAAATGTGATGAAAGAGGATGCTGGGGAGTATACCTGCGTTGCTACCAACCCGGCTAACGGAGAACAGGTGATGGAGAAAGCCAGAGTCATAGTTACAGGTAATTCTGCTGATATCAGAAGATATTTAATTGTACCCTCTTCAAGCAAATGATTAGATAGTAGACCAGGGCTTCCACTTCAAAATTTTCACTGCCGGTCATTTTTGATAACGCACAAAAACTTTTCAAAGTAAATTTATATTTCATGTTTTTATTCATGGTAGGGTATTGTGAATTCACGTGTCTATACTACTTTGTCACCATGGGGTGCACAAAAAAAATATATTTGACTTAAAAATGAAATATTAGTAAGGCTCATGATAATTATTTAATAATTAAATATTCCGTTTTGGCTACTTAAATAACAAAATAGTTGAATTGGCCAGAGAAAAACCATTTCAGTAGCTCACACGTAATTAACATGTGCTCTATAGAAAACACACTGACCTGGATAATTTTGAGTTGTAATACAATAACTTTGAAATGAAGATAAATATATAATTATCCATGGTATATAGGGGGGTTGGATGGCTAAAGACCCCTACGCGCAAGCGAATTATGTAAATAAAATTAAAACCATATGTTAGTCCCGAAATGACATAGTTTGTGTTGAGTGGACGTTAAACCCCATTTCTCTCTCTCCATGGCATATATCTCACATTTTTTGGGTTTTAGACCATCTCTTACGGAATTACGGGCCACAGAATTATGACGTAAATCCTAATAATGTATAACTAAATGACTAACGGATAACTAACTTCACGGCTAGCGACACTAGCGCCCCCTAGAATATGGTCGTGTATAAGAGTAACCGTATATACACGATATTTTTTCTACACGTGGAATTATCAATATTGCTGCACAATAGAACTGGAATACATATTTTTCTTAATTGTTCGGTAAGCAAGTTAACTAATCTCTAGATTTTATTTCAACAATTTCCACAAGGCCGGAATACCGCTATAAACATTTTTTTTTTTAATGCATTTTTCTTCCAAGACGTACGTTGTTGAGGATTTACGTAATTTCTATGCTGTTTTTATTTTATATGACAGTTGATTGGATTCGAAGAGCAATACTTCATATCAATTGCCCTTTTTTCGAAGATCATAATAACCTCGTTTACATTGTGCCTGACCGTAATAGCGGTAAACGGCTTTGTTGTTGAAAATTCTTATGACACGTGGACAATACGTGAATGATTAACAATGGGCCGCTTCACGCCGTTGATTAGATTCCCACTTATCAATTAACATTTATTGCTCTACTACCAGACACTCATCATTAATTGTCAACACAACACTCAGTATAATCTGTTGACGACTATATATACACCAATCACGAGATTGGCTTCTAGACGACGTGCATTCTTGTATAGTTACACAGTGAAGGTCGATCGTAGTCATGTTTGAATTTTTTTTTTTTTAAAAAAAGACCCTCTTTCCGGCGTGCAAAATGACCGTTAGGTCAGATCTAGGAACGGTTATTTTCCATAGCCGTAGGTCTCGACCGGCATATACGGCCGACGTGGAACCCATGTAGTAGACCCACTGTGAAAATTGCAATTTACTTTTGACCCAAGCTGAGGTTGTTTTGATTCATAAAGGGCAAAAAGGGATCTCTTAATTGTGAGAACTTTTAACCTATTTCTTCCTAACACATGGTTAGAGTGAGGACTAAGACAGGCATTATTTGGCCACATATTTCTCTGTGTTTTTATACACCCAAATTTTCATGTGGACGTATATTGTCGTTGCCCCTGTCTGTCCGGACGGACACAATTTGTTTGTGGACACTCTGCAGGTCACAATTCTTATTCAATTTTGACAAAACTTGAAGTATAGGTTTATCTCCAAAAGATCTTGGTTCCTTTCGATATTGGCATGTATCGGATCGAAACTTCATGGATTATGGCCCCTGATTGTACAAAAAATGATGTTTTTAGCTTGTGGCCACTCTAGAGGTCACACTTTTGATCTGATTTTGATGAAACTTGAAATGCATGTTTATAACCCAAAGATCTTGGTTCCTTTTGATATTTGTGCATATCGGATCATAACTTCTTGAATTATGGCCCCACATTGTACGGAAAATTGCGTTTTTAGCTTGTGGTCGTAAAAATGGGACCAAAACTTCCGGACAAAATGGCCGCCCCTCTTACGCAAATAGTGTAAATATATGGTATATCAAGGGACCCTCTAGAGGCCACAATTTAGATCCGGTTTTGATGAAACTTTAAATTTATGTTTATACCTCAAAGATTTTGGTTCCTTTCGATAATCGCGCATATTCGAAGTAACTTCCTGGATTATGGCCCATGATTTTAAAACACGTTTAAATGTATCACCGTTACACCCTAATGACGGTTGAGTTTGAGAATTGGACCGAAACTGCCTGACAAAATGGCCGCTCCTTGTGTCCTTGTACGCAAATACTTTAAAAGTATGTAATACTAAGGTTGTGGACTCTCTAGAAGTCACAATTTTTATCTGATTTTGATGAATCTTAAAATATATCTTTATATCCCAAATATCTCAGTCCATTTCGATATTTACGCATTACAGATCATAACTTCCTGGATTATGGCCCCTGATTGTGCGAAAAATCGCTTTTTTTTTTTTAGCTTGTTCTCTATCCTTCTCTTGCAAAAAGTGGGTGTATCTTGCCTGGCAGCCACTTGTTTTGTTTTAGTTTGTTTTTTTCAGCGATCAAAATGAGTGTTTTAACACTGTTAGTATGTTAACATAGCTATCCAGACACCCATGAATAGTGTGGAATTTGGGCTAGGATAAAGTCTTTCACACAGGAATTTATGGAAGCCTATAACTACCATTCATAATTTCTACTTTTCGCCTCTTCAGAACACGAAAGTCGAAAAGTCGAAAAGTAGAAGTTACGACAAAATGTGAGGCGACAAGACGGTATACAAGCCAAAATCAACTCGAAAATAGGAAATTAAGAAATAACACACCGCGATAATAGCGCCCCCCGTTTTTTCTTAATTTCTACTTTTCGACTTGCATTTTGGCTTGTATACCGTCTTGTTGACTTTCGACTTAGTCATATTTTTGTATTTATTGATGTCAGTAAGAAGGCGCCAACACGCTATACAAGCCAAAATGTAACTCGAAAAGTAGAAATTAGGAAATTAACACACTGCGCTATTAGCGACCTATGATCTGTCGTACTGTCGACTTTTCTACTTTTCTACTTTTCGCCTAGGAAGTTGTTGTAGTCTCTGCCGTCCAGGTCACATTTGAATACGCGCATACAGACATTTTTGTTAACGGGAATTGCGCGTATTCAAATGTAACCTGGAAGGCAGAGACTACAACAACTTAACTATTAACACACTGCGCTATTAGCGACCTATGATCTGTCGTACTGTCGACTTTTCGACTTTTCGACTTTTCGCCTAGGAAGTTGTTGTAGTCTCTGCCTTCCAGGTCACATTTGAATACGCGCATACAGACATTTTTGTTAACGGGAATTGCGCGTATTCAAATGTGACCTGGAAGGCAGAGACTACAACAACTTCCTAGGCGAAAAGTAGAAAAGTCGACAGTACGACAGATCATAGGTCGCTAATAGTTACATTTTGGCTTGTATAGCGTGTTGGCGCCTTCTTACTGACATCAATAAATACAAAAATATGACTAAGTCGAAAGTCGACAAGACGGTATACAAGCCAAAATGCAAGTCGAAGAGTAGAAATTAAGAAAAAACGGGGGGCGCTATTATCGCGGTGTGTTATTTCTTAATTTCCTATTTTCGAGTTGATTTTGGCTTGTATACCGTCTTGTCGCCCCACATTTTGTCGTAACTTCTACTTTTCGACTTTTCGACTTCCGATTTCTTAAGAGGCGAAAAGTAGAAATTATGAATGGTAGTTAAAGGCTTCCATAGGAATTAGCCCAGAAAAACTATTAATATCATGTTTCACAATATTTATTTTTTAGTACCACCAAGAGTTACCCCCCATGGTGATAAATCTGTCAGTGTTCGGGAAAGAGTCATGCTTTCATGTTCAGTTACTGGGGATAATACAAATATAATCTGGACTAAAAATGGCAGACAAATCACCCTTAACAACAGGATACAGCAACTGAGTAATGGTTCATTAATAATATACGACTCTACGGTAAGATGCCACAATGAAGACCGATATTATTTATTAATGGCCCCAACCCCTCTCTCCCACTTGTTGTACTAATAAGAGTGAGAGATTCCATTAAACCCCATGCCATTCAGTTAAACTCCATTTCATTCATTCATTCATTTATTTTTATACATGCACCATTGTGAACACACAACATGTTGTTCTCATTAGTGAAATGAAGAAGCCTATTAAATTTCAACAATTTCTGATAATCAATTGCCATTGATCACTTGATAGATCTTGTGAATGCTGTAGTCTAGTCATCTACTTGGAATAATACATATCTCTTTAAATTGGTGAAACGGAGAATCCTATTGATTAAGAACAATTAAAAGCAAATATGTCCGATATCCAAGTTGTACAACATAAAAAATAAAACAAAACGTAATTGGTGTCTGGTTTTACTCCAACTGAAAAATAATGAAAGAACAAAATGGATGGCCGCTTGGTTTAACTCGTGCACATTAGATAATAAGGGTCTGTCATTGAGTCAAAGTGGCGTGGTTTTAATTCCCCACTTGTACATGACAAGGATTAGGGTTGCCTGTCCAACGTCATAGGTTTTCTCTGGGTCCTCCGGTTTCCTCCCACAGCTAAAGATCCCTAGGTTGGACCTTTGTGTGTTGATATGTATTAAATAATGGAAAATAGCTTTATATTTAATAATTTTAATGAAGTTTATATTTGTCTAAATGTAATTGTTTTTGTTTTGTAGGCGTCTGATGCAGGAGAATATAAATGTATTGCTAGTAACGATGCTGGAACTTCAGAGGGTGTTGCCATGTTAACAGTTAGACGTATGTTTGTCTTTGGTTATAGGCTGTGGGGTCATTCCATGTCAAGTTAACCAAATATATATTATAGTATAGGGCCTTAAGCTAACAAATCCAAAATCCAAAATTATACCTCTCTAGGTCAAAAACTTGCTGAGATATGGCCATTTGAAATTAGGGTACTGCAACGGTTCATAAATTCAGTAATTTTTTTCAGGTTTTCGGGTGCTTTAAACTCACATTTCCAATAGGAGTAGAAAACTCTCACTTTGTAATCTAAGACAACTTTTAGTGTAGATTACGAATTTAGCATCACACACAATGTGCGATTTACACAGTTCGGGCCACCAGGTTGCAAAATGTGGAACAAATGAACTATTCACTTTTTTTTTCTGAGGAGATAGGATATATACTTTTCCAAATATTCAGTCTTGAAATTCAATGCACACTGGGGGTTGGACATGCACCAAAGACAATAACGATCATTCTTAGGGTATGAGGAATAAGTATGCACAACTTCAAGACAATCCGTATGCACAACTTCACGACAATCCGTATGCACAACTTCAAGATAATGTGTCAAGACACATACAGAAATTGAGCGTGGCTCTCTGCCCCTGGGGGTCGGGCACGCACCAAAAACAATAGGGAACATCCTTAAGGTATAAGGAATAATTAGTATTCAAATTTTCAAGATGATGCGATAAGAATTGCGGCCTGTAGTTTTGAGGCGTCTAGTGATAGTTAAACTACAACAGGCCTACTGTACTTAAACTTTCTAAGCAGACAAAACAAGCTTTCACCTGTTTTTAAAGCAAAAATAAATTGAAACGATACTTGCTGGATCCCAAAAGATCACTTGACACTAATAAATTTAAAGTGGAAATAGTCAACTCAGATTTCAATGACATTCAACGTATTCAAGATATACAAGAGAAGGCAACCCAATATCGCTCTAAGCTTGCTGAAGTTTTGGACTCACTGATTCTATTTTAGAAGCCAAAAGGGACCGTGATAAAGCTAGACTTGTTACTTTAACTAAGAGATGCAACCACTAAATTTACACTGGTTACCTGTTAAATATCAAATTGATTTTAAGATTTTATTACTTACTTTTAAATGTTTAAATAATTTAGCTCCTGTTTACCTCTCAGATCTTTAAGAACTTTATACACCTGGCCGAACATTACGTACATCAGATAAACTACTTTTAAAGCCCCAAACTGTTCAACTAGTCTCTTATGGTCAGCGCGCTTTTAGTTATCAAGCATCTGTTTTTATGGAATAATTTACCATTTAGTTTATGATGTTGTACATCTCTATATTCTTTTAAAAAACAACTTAAAGCACATTTATTTAATCAGGCTTTTAACTGATAATCTTGTTGTTTATTTATGATTACATTGTCACTTTCTAAAGTGCCCCTGAACATGTTATATGAAAGGACACACTTTGAATATGCTGTAATAATAATAATAATAGTAATTGAGGGTTGATATAATATGACAAATATGAAGGGTATAAAGTTTTTTAGAAATAATTTTAATCTGATCGTCAAAACCCAATATTTCAATTCATGAACGTATTAACCACTTTGTTCTCATTTTGGAGGCAAAATAAAATTAGAACAATACAATGTACATGTGTAATCTACGCAAAAAGTCCCTCTAAATAGACATGTTTGAGGAATATAGGTCACTTACGAGCGTAGAAGTTATTTTAAATCAACATGAAAAGTCAAAGATTTTCATACGCCCACATTGAAATATGGTCATATATTGTCATTGCCCCTGTCGGCTCGTCCGTCTATCCATCAGTTCAGTCGTTCGTTCGTTCGTTCGTCTGTCCAGTCGGCGGACCGGCATTCGGGCGTTCACAATTGCTTGTGGATGCTCTAGAGGCTAAAGTCAATATCCGATTGACTTTAAATTTATACACAGTGTTTAAGGTCATGAGACGAAGAAGCTTGTGGATGCTCTAGAGGCTAAACTGCCGGAGTTATGGCCCATGATCACATTAAAAAATCTTGTGGACGCTCTCCAGGCTAAAGTCAATATCCGATTGACTTTAAATTTATACACAGTGTTTAAGGTCATGAGACGAAGAAGCCTATTGATTTTCAATGATTTCCGATAATTACTGCCAGAGTTATGGCCCATGATCACATTAAAAAATCTTGTGGACGCTCTCCGGGCTAAAGTTAATATCCGATTGACTTTAAATTTATACACAATGTTTAAGGCCATGAAGGATCCTAGTCATTTTCAACAATTGCTTGTGGATGCTCTAGAGGCTAAAGTTAATACCAGATTGACTTTAAATTTATACACAGTGTTTAAGGTCCTATTGATTTTCAACAATTTCTGTTAATTACTGTCAGTGTTATGGCCCTTGATCACTTTGAAATATCTTGTTGACACTGTAGAGGCTAAAGTTAATATCCAATTGACTTTAAATTTATACACAGTGTTTAAGGTCATGAGACGAAGAAGGCTGTCAATTTTCAACGATTTCCAATGATTATGGAAATTGATATTAAATGTTTTGTGAGGGATCACGTGGCTAAGTGGGTAAGACGCTAGCTCGCTAGCCTGGAGGTCGGGTGTTCGATCCCTGCATTGGCCGAGAAAATTCATCCAGATTTTCCGGCGTGGTTCTCCCTTGTTAGTGATGCAGGACGGAGGGGCTGACAAGGAAAGTTGTCTAGTCGTTCGGATGGGATGAAAAACCGAGGTCCCGTGTACACATTGGCATGCACGTAAAAGATCCCTTGGCAGTTGGAATTGGATATAAGAGTAGGCCGTAGTGCCGCTGTCCGGGCAAAATTTCCCTCATAGCACACTGTATGGCGTATGCCCGTCTTCATTAGCCCAGGTTAGGAGCAGAACAGTAGGACGTTAAACTCCATTTCATTTCATTTCATTTAAATGTTTTGTATGCTAAATGTTAGAATAGGGCAGAACGAGAAGCCAAATGGGGTGTTACTGGTATTCAGATTTTAGTGTGTTGTAAATGTTTTCATTTCTGACAAAGAAAATAAAAAATATGTGACAACCCTTGTTGACACTGCTGTGGACATATGTTTCGTTGCCTGGCAACCTATCTTTTTGTCATCTTGGAACTTGGCATATTTATTCCTTATACCGTAAGGTAGGAACTATTTATTTTGGTACATGTAAATACTCCACAGGTTGCAATTATTAACAGATTTTGTTCAAATTTAGCATATGAGTCATTTCAATAACCAGGTTGTACCTATTTATATTGTTCCATATCCAACCCCCAGGGGAGGAGCCACGTCCAATTTTTGTGTTTATCGTCTAAAGACTGCAATTCTGAATGGATCATCTTGGAACTTTGCATATTTATTCCCTATACCATAAAGACAGCAACTATTTCTTTTTGTGAATGCCCTGCCCGACCCCCGGGGGGGCGGTGTCACACCCACTTTTTTGTTAATATTTAGTCTGTAAATTTGGCAAAACTAATCCAACGCCTACCCTTCTTTGCCTCTTGTCAAATTACAGTCATTGCAGCCATTTCTTATTTCATTCTATTTATTTTAAAAAGTATCACATCAATCAAAGCAGGAATGTGGACATATTTGCAGAAGTAGCAATGCTCTGGTTTTTCTAATATGAAAAAATTAGTGCATATACACTTCAATAACCTAGACTGGTTTTCCAAATAGTTCCTGTATTTTTATTTATTTTACACAACATAGTCATTAGGGCTGTTGGGAGCTGAGAGCTTAATGCAAATAAGCATTTTCATAACGGCAATTCTGTGACTGACTTCATGTTCACACATAGTTATTGAAGCAGTGACTCCGGTGAACAGAATTGCTTCGGTCCACCCAAGACTTCTACTGCGCTCCGGTCCCCAACAACTATATAAAGAGAACAGCCCACAATTTTTCTTAAGCCTGAAGAGTTAACATAGATCGAAACTAGTAACTTCATGAGTGAAATCTGTGACAGCTACCAGCCACTTATAGATTTCCAATTTTAAACTGGCAAACAAACTAGATTGTGAATGAAAAAGATTCCACAATTATTATTATTATCTGAGAGAGATGAATATGGCAGTGAGAAATCAATAGAAACCAGTGTAAACTTTAAATGACTTAAACTTGAATTAATCAATTTGAATAATATTTTTGATCAAAATGGTTTTTGATAACAGTACTTTTTATTACATGTGGTCTTAAATTCCATCTAACGTTTATTGTGGCATTGTTGGGATTTAATCCTTAAACAAAAATTCAATCATAGTAAGATCAAAACAATTCAACACTAAATTTATTTTGACCAAAATCTAAGCTGTTTTGCTTCCTTGAAATAACATATTTGAAGGTGTTGTCTGTGAGTCTTTGTTTATTTTGTTCATGTTATCAACTCCTGATCAAAAAAAATTCTTTGAAATATTATTTTTTTGTTTCAGAACCTCCTACTTTTAAGATCGAGCCGTCAAATATCACAGCGAAACTTGGTGATACAGTAATATTTGATTGTTCAGCTGAAGGTGAACCCAAACCGGCTATGTACTGGTGGAAGAATACTGTAGAATTAGAATCTGAGGGAAGGATTACAATATTGCCCAATAACTCATTACGGTACTACCTTGTTTTATACGCCCACATTGAAATGTGGTTGTTTATTGCTGTCCGTCCAAAACTTATCATCCAATTGACTTTAGATTTATCATCGAGTTATACAAGGACAAAGAATCCTATTGATTTTCAAAGTTTTTTGATAATTACTGCCAGAGATATGGCCCTTGATAACATTAAAATATCTTGTGGGCAGTCTAGAGGATAAAGTTATTAACCGATTAACATGAAATTTACACACAATGTTTTAGTTCATAAGACAAAGAAGAAGCGGATTGATTTTCAACAATTTGCAATACAAATTGATTTTCAATGATTTCCGATGACAAAAACAAACAGCTAAATTTATCATCTGTTTACCAGAAGGCCTACAAGTTTTGTAGTATACATGTTTTTATACACCCACATTTTTATTTTTATTTGGACGTATATTGTCGTCACCCCTGTCCGTCCAGACGTCAACAATTTGTTTGTGAACACTCTGCAGGTCACAATTTTTATTCGATCTCAGTTCCTTTTGAGATTGGCATATATCGGACCATAACTTCATGGATTATGGCCCCTGATTGTACGAAAAATCACATTTTTAGCTTGTTGACACTCGAGCGGTCACAGTTTTCATCTGATTTTGATGAAACTTGACATGCATGTTTATAACCCAAAGAACTTGGTTCCTTTCGATATTTGCGCATATCAGACTGTAACTTCCTGAATTATGGCCCTTGATTGTATGATAAATCACGTTTTTGGTTTGTGGTCCCTCAAGAGGTCACAATTATTATCCGATTGAAAAAAACCTTTGAATATATCACCGTTACACCCTAATGACGACTGAGTTTGAATTTTGTGAGAATCGGACCAAAACTGCCAGACAAAAATGGCTGCCGCTCGTATGCAAATAGTGTAGATGCCGCTCGTATGCAAATAGTGTAGATATATGGTATATCAAGGTTGTGAACCCTCAAGGAGTCACAATTTTGATCAGATTTTGATGAAACTTGAAAAATATCTTTATAACTCAAAGATCTTGGTTCCTGTCGATATTCAAGCATATCAGATTGTAACTTCCTGAATTATGGCCCTCGATTGTACGAAAATTCGCTTTTTGTTTAGCTTGTTCTCTATCCATCTCTTGCAAAATGTGGGCATATCCTGCCTGGCAGCCGCTGGTCTGTAATAAATATTACCATCAGGAAGAACTGGAAGCCAATCAAATTTTAATGATTTCTGATAATTAATGATTGTTATTCTTGATCAGTTTTTATACATATTATGCCAGTGAACCTGCTTGTCCAAAGGACTTCCATTCACATTCACATAAAGGCCACAATTTTATAAGATATGTGTTATGGATCAAAAGATCTTGGATAAGTTCGATTTTGGTGTTTTGTTTCATATCAGACCGCACCTTCTTGGGTTATGGCCCTTATCTTTGAGGCAAAACGTGAAATATGTGCAAAGTTTGTGGACCCTCCAGAAGCCACAGTATTTGTCCGATTCAGATAAAACTTAAAATAAATGTCAGTCGTAGTCATTGAAAGACAATGTCGGCTGGATTGATCGAGACTATTAAGCAAAGAGTGTTATTTTATATTTCAGTATTGTGGCCATCCAATTGAAAGATTCCGAGATGTATCGATGTTTCGCCAGTAACAATATCGGTAAAACAGCTGTTGAGGCTCATCTTATAGTTGTAGGTCAGTAAGATATTTTTGTTAACATGTAAGGACTCATGGACAGACAATCAGGAAACTAAAAACTGACCAAAAAAGAGCTGGATTCTTTCTAAAATAAAAAACCCAACATATATTCAGAAGGGACGGCACTTTACACAGCAGTGGATGCATGTTCAATGAAGTTGGACATCAAGGATGTTGTTAAACATATCTAGCATCTTGCCAATTATTATTTAGACATTTATTCACATGACAAGCCCACAATCAACTATCTAGAGCATCAGATGGCTTGGATAGTTAGTGGATTTGACCATCCGTATCATTTAATCGGTTAACTTTAAAATGGGAAATCAAAACTTTGTTAATGATCAAGCTACACTATTCTTGTCAAAACTTCAAACATTCATAATTTCACTCAGAATAAAGTAATTTGACTGAAATTTTCAAGAACATTCAGCTCTTTATCTAAATCTTACATACCGGTAATACATCTTTAAGGGATTAGTTTTTATACGCCCACATTGAAATGTGGTCGTATATTGTTGTCGCCCCCGTCCGTCCGTCCTATTGTGGACGCTCTAGTGGCTAAAGTTAATATCCGATTGACTTTAAATTTATACACAGTGTTTAAGGTCATGAGACGAAGAAGCCTATTGATTTTGAGCGATTTCTGTCAAAGTTATGGCCCTTGATCACTTTGAAATATCTTGTGGATGCTCTTGTCTTGTTGACTGCTCGGACGACTTAGCTGCTCTTGGCATATGTTTCGTTGCCTGGCAACCTATCTTTTTTTGAGTTTTCAGACTGTGTATGTACTATATGATTACAGAAGGTTAACTATGATTATATTTTTGTAGTTGATGGTATGTGGTCTTCGTGGGGTGAGTGGGAATCATGTAGTATTACCTGTGGTGTAGGATTACGCTATAGATCACGTACATGTTCTAATCCGCTACCAGCTAATGGAGGTAAAGTGTGTCATGGTGAAACAAGAGAGTCATCATCTTGTGCTGCTCAGGCTTGTCCAGGTAAAAATTTACAAAACTTTTGGAATATATGAATATTGAATGTGAAATTTTTTAGGAGAATGTCATGGACCATATTTTTATTGATGTATTAGTATTTAATAATATTTCCAACCATTAGCCAACACAAATGATGTATTTATCAACTCCTCCAACTAGTAGGATTATATCCAAAAATTACAGGCAAAACTTTCAGAAATTTGTAGAATTCTCTGTTCACAAGCAGACACTTTAAAACGGAACAGATATACCTTTTGATGGGAGAATATGATTGCAAATAGTTGATTAGAACTTATGGTATATCTGATTGCTGGCAGATTGTAAATACTTTAATAATAGTTGGTTGTAACTTGTTGCATTTCAACTTGCCAAGAGAAATAGAATGCAATATTTCAATTGCATTTGAAGGTAACTTGATATTTGAATTGTAGTTGATGGTAAAATATGATTGTGAATAATTTTATTGTAGTTGATGGTAGTTGGGGAAACTGGGAATCATGGGATCAATGTAGTACTACATGTGGTTCAGGAACCAAACAACGTATCAGATTATGTAATAACCCTACACCTCAACTAGGAGGGCAACCATGCCCAGGAAATAGTACACAGATCACCAGCTGCGAAGAGACTATTTGTCCTAGTAAGTACCAAGTATCTATCTATTTCAGACTAAAGAATGGTGTTTTCATGGGCAATTTGACAAAACGACTATCAGTGATTGTCATCTTCACTATCTTACATATTATTCAAAGATGATTTCCTGACACAACTGACATTTGGTCAAAAATTTACTGTGTTAATCTAACACCAACCCCCAAATAGGTTTTTTTTTTCCATTAAAGGCCAAAAATATATCTAAAAATCTTAATAAAATTTGTATTTCTAGTAAATGGAGGATGGGGTGAATGGGGTTTGTGGAATCCCTGTAGTCGATCGTGTGGTGAAGGATATCGTAGTCGTGAAAGAAAGTGTGACAGTCCACGACCACAGTTTGGAGGTTTAAAATGTTTCGGATCAGCTACAGAAACAGAAATATGTTTAACACAAAGATGTGCAGGTAGATTTTGTCTTAACTTAATTCAGAGTGGCTGAGTGGTATAACATGTGCAATTTATGAGTTCAATCCCATGTTTGTATATGACTATACCCGCTATAATTTCAATTCCATATATCTTAGAATGTACGAAAATGACAAAATTCCAGAAAGTTGAAATCTATGTATTATGTGGACATTTTTGCGAGAAAGATTACATCAGTTTAAAACTGTTAAAATGTTTTGTTTGAAGTTGATGGAGATTGGAATGACTGGACGTCATGGTCTTCATGTACGTTATCATGTGGTGGAGGATCCCGTGCTAGAAGTCGAGAATGTAATAATCCACCACCACAACTAGGGGGAGCTTTCTGTGTTGGTTCCGATTCTCAAAAAGATTACTGTAATATGGAACCATGTCCTGGTGAGTAAAATTCATGCAAGTTATATTAGTGCAAAAGATCATACATCCTGTTCATCTTAGACATATCAAAATATCCCTAGTTTCTATCCTGATTTTAAAACTTTGGTTAGTAAAAAGGCAAAATGAAGATCCACCATATAGATTGGCAGTGCATATAAATGATCTGTTAAATGTTTCATGATCCTTTGGCAGTTTAAATATATTATGATCCTTTAATGAAATGAAATGGGGCTTAAAGTCCTATTGTTCTGCTCTGACTGGGCCAATGAAGATGGGCATATGCCATACAGGGTGCTATGAGGGAAATTTTGCCTGGCCAGCGGCACTACAGCCTACTCTTATATCAAATTCTAACTTCCAAGGGTTTATTTATGTGCACGCCAATGTGTACACAGGACCTCAGTTTTTTTGTTCCATCAGAACAACTATATGTTGTCCCTTGCTGGGCCCTCCATCCTGCACAACTGACAAGGGGGAATCATGCCGGAAAAGCCTGATGAACTTTCTCGGCCAACAACAGTATCGACGACAGGACCTCCAGATTATCAAGCCAACATCTTACTCATCAATCCTTTAATAGTTTAAATATCTTATGATCTGTTATGGTATCTTATGATGCATTAATAGGTTAAATATTTTAAAATGATTAAAAGCTTGAATATGTAGGACACAGATATGCCACCATCTCCACCCTTGTTTTGTACAACTATTAATCAGCCTACAAATGACCATTATGTTAATCTTGAAATGACCTAATAATATATGTTATAGTACATGGTAATTGGTCACCGTGGGATGAATGGGGTGAGTGTAGTAATAGTTGTGGGGGTGGACAGAGAAAGAGGTTTAGATATTGTACTAACCCACCACCAGGTATTGGGGGTCGACTGTGTCCAGGTCAAGCCGAGGAGACATCCAATTGTAATCCAGATCCATGTCCAGGTAAATTTTCGCTGATAACTTTTCATATATTATATAACTTTAAATGCCACAGAAATAAATCTTGATACCTGATTATTAGTTTGTTTTCAGTTTGAGTGAAGCCCTGGTCAGTACAGCACAGTGGACGCTCACATCTAGCCCCCATATCCATTCACTTGATGGTTTAGTCAAAAAGCACCAAGCAAATGTGCCCTAGAAATCTTTCATGGTTTAAAACTGTAAGCAAGTATTGTGTACCTGTTTTTATGTTTATTTATTTATGTTAAGTTAACGGAAGATGGGCAGCATGGTCTGATTGGTCGGAATGTTCCAAGTCATGTGATGGTGGAACACGTCAACGTAGACGAGAATGTACACAGCCTCAATATGGTGGACGTGGTTGTCTTGGTAACATAGAACAGGTTGATGAATGTAATAACAAACCATGTTATAGTAAGTTTACAGTGTTCTGTTCACTATTAATTTTGAATTGAACTTACCTTTACAGAACACACATCATCCCACTACATTTATAGAAGACCCAATACCTCTCACCTTTACAGAACACTTGATAACTTTACAGAACATCTCAAATCCTTACCTTTACAGAACATCTCATATCCTTGCCTTTACAAAACATGTCATATCACTTACCTTTCCCTTGATACCACTTTTCTTCACAGAACATCACATCCCACATACTTTTAAAGGTCACCTGACACCATTTGTGATTTGCTTAAATGTGAAAGATATTCTATCTTGTGATTGGTTTGCACGGCTTGAATCATTTTGATATTACGACTAGGTGTTGAGATAACAGAATGGATGAAGGAATCGTTTTCAGATATCAGTACATTCTAAAAAGTTTCAACAACATGTTTTACAATATACCTATAGTCATAATTATATACTTCAGTATTAATTAACAAAACATTAATACAAAGAGGACGACATAACATGAAGAGTTTACAGTACCAGACACTTATCAATTTCTAAGTTAAAGTTGTATGTGACGGTCAGTGTTATCTAGTATATACGGAACCAACGTGGAAGTTTGGGAGACTTTCATAAAATTACACCCATTTATGATACGTATGACTATGGCTTGCCTTTTTCCAATAAATATTTGTTATAGTTCACTCATTCTCAGAATAAGAATATTTCATCTGCTGAATTCTAAACGATAAGCTGGTATCATTAGCTCCCTAACATGGAGTTAGGTATTGTAACCACCAGCAGATGGTATAACTCAATCGTAGGTGTTTGGTGACATAGCCATATCCCAATATTCTATATATATGACCACATTTTAATGTGGGTGTATGTTGTTGTTGGTACATCTGTTTGTTGACCATCCACATGCCCTAGACAACTGACTCGAACATGTTTATGTTATTGAGACAAAGATGTTTATTTATCATCTGATTACTGGTACACATTTTGTAATATATAAATGTCAGTAGGAGTAATCAAATTTTTGCTATTTATTATTACTACTTCATAGATAGACTGTAGTTGTTACCCATGATCATTCCAATTACCTACAAAAGAATAAATATGCAACATTTTTTGTGAAGTAATCAGGTTAGCAACTGTGGGAATATTTTTTCATTTCCTGACAACCTGTCCTGGTTCGCATTTACAAGATTTGATAAATCTGGACATAAATGAGGGGCGGACTCAGTGATTTACGATGGGAAGTTTCGAAATCTGCCTTTTAACCCAATAAACACTTGAAAAAAAAACACCCAAAACACGAAACCATTGAAAAATAATTTGTGCCACAGACGACAGTTATGACAATAAAATAAGATGATTAATGTAGAGTATTTATAAGAAATTGTGGACAATGGATCTTAAGTGATCTTAATTTGAAAAAAACTCCACATGCAATTGTACATACAAATAAGTTTACACCGAGACAGTACTTTTAGAACGTTTCAAATTACTTTAAAAATTCTATAAGCTACACTGTAGTATTTTATGACCTGAGTTGTTTTACATTTTTGACTTTGAAGGGAAATATTCAGATATAATTTCTTTTGTTTTAAAACATCAGAATGTTTTACAAATTTACAAATATAAGAAATTTGGCTGTATTTCTTTAAGAAAAATATTGTTTGCACATTTTCAGAAAGCAGAACAGTAGGAAGTTAAACCCCATTTCATTTCATTTCATTTACATTTTCAGAATTTCCAATTATTGCTTCTGGAAATTTGATTGGTAATATAAATAATATTGATATAGCGGCCGGTACGATTGTATCCGAGATGTTACCAACAGAAACCGGAACAAGAGTCAAGGCAACAGTATTGAATATTCCATCAGATGTTGGTGAGTAGAAACTTTTGAAAAATCATTCTTTCTCAGTCTTCTTAAAGATACATTATGGGAGATCTGATAACGAGATGGCAATTCCCAATATAACAGTTACAAAACTAGATAATGTAAAGGCAATTTGCAGAAAATTTCATTCAAATTGATCCACTATGAACCGAAAACTAAGCGGTTGAAATTTCCGGCTAGCCTTGGTCATCATTACTAAAGTCAGTACGATAAACAGCATAATCTCGATTATCCATTTAATCGTTAAATCGTGAAGGAAAGTTATGCAGTAAATCAGCTCATAATCCACTAGAGATCGCAGGCTAGCGATGCCATCTAGAGTTGATTATGGTCTGGATAGGTTAATTAATATCTAATTAATAATTTAGATAACATTTCAGGCCAAAAGAAAGACCTGCAATAGACAGATTTTTTCTGTTGCATAATGTATGTTCAAAACTAGATGGTTTTTTTTTTTGTCCCCCGCCTTTCGAAGAAAGCAGGGGACTTTTAAAATGTGTTTGTCCAACTGTCTGTCCGTCCGTCCGTCCGTCTGTCTGTCTGTCCTTCACACTTTTTGGGATACAATAACTCTCTGTCTAATTGAGCTAGAATGTTCAAACTTGGTGTATAGTTTCATTACATCATTACCTTGACTAAGTTCGATAATAAGCAATTTCTGCTCAGAAGCAGAGCGATAAGCAATTTGATTGGTCGAGACTTTGGAACACAATAACTCTCATTCTAATTGAGCTAGAATGTTCACACTTGGCGTAGGTGTTTATTAGGTGAATGCCTTGATGGAGTTGGGAGTTAGAAGATGAGAATTTTCTGCTTAGGTTAAGCAAAGATAAGCAATTTGATTGGTTGATGCTATGGGAAACAAAAAATTTAGTTCTATTTAAATGAGAGTAATGACACTTGGTGTATGGTTTTATCACATCAATACCTTGACTAAGTTCCATAATAAGCATTTTCTGCTTAGGGTAAGCAGAGCGATAAGCAATTTAATTTGTCAAGACTTTGAAACACAATAACTCTCCTTCTAGTTGAGGTAGAATGTTCGAACTTGTTGTAGGTGTTCATTAGGTGAATGCCTTGATGGAGTTCAAACTTGGGGTGGGGTGGGGTGGGGGTGGTAGGGAGCAAAGCGTGATTTGCAAACTACAATATAGTAAAAATTGAATTTCTAATATCAGTTCAAAAATGGATATTTACAAAGATATGATGAAACGGTAATTCCATTGATCTATGCTTTGCCTTATGATTCCATCGATCTAGGGTTCGCTTTATGTAAAGCGATGCACTTTACTATCTATTTTTTCGCTTTTTTCTTAACAGAATCTGTCGATAAAACATTTTTTCTGCCATTTTGCTCTCTACGCGAGGCTAATCGCCAGTAAACAAGTCTTTGTCGTACAAAATTTGTACTGTCGGATGATAACTCGCCTGCTGACATCCTAATATGTTCATGAATTTAATTGATGGGGTTATTTTAAATCCAATTGAATCCAAGCTGGGAGATAATCTGGCGTTGGTATTTTGATTTTGTTTTCTTAATTAAGTGTTAGATAATCAATCTAAGTACATGAGAAATTCAATATTTTCTGACAAAATGCAAATCATGCACAGTTACTTTAAGAAAATGATTGTTGTTTTCTTGTGTATTGAGGCTTTAAAATGTTTTTAAAATAATTTCCTTGTGGGTCTATATATCATAAGTGAAACAATATACTGTATATTTTGATGATTTTAATATCATAATATTTATTGTTTTATTTTCAGTACGTCACCTGCAACATCTAACATCTATATTATCACCAATTTATTGGACGACTGCTAAAGAAGTTGGGGGAGCATATAATGGTTTTACGTTAACTAAGGGAGAATTCCAACGAGAAGTACAGGTAGAATTTGCTACAGGTAATATTATTTCTAGTAATTAGGTTTTGTATTTAAAAATATAACACTAATCTACTTAATTATCAGTGGCCTATATATACACTGTAGATTACTAGTCCAGTTTCTACTTCGGGATGTTCCAACTTTGCCAGCAGATTAACAATACTAATTATAGATACAAAATGTAAGATTTGGATAAAGAGCTGGGCATTCTTGCTATACTATTTCCAAAACAGATAATGCAAAATGAATATATTAAAAATTGCATTCAAATTACTTTATTCTAAGCAAAGTTATCACTGTTAGTAGTTTTGACAAGATGTGTGCATTGATCGTAACTACTGTACTGGTGATTGAGTCTTAGCCTTGCTTCTCAATTTTAAAATTAAATCATTAAATGGCCAAACTGTTCTAATCTACTTAAAATCAGAGGCATCCGATGGCATCAAGAGTTGATTATGGGCTTGTCATGTTAATAAATGTCTAATTAATAATTTATATACACTGTAACATTGAAGGGCCAAAGAAAAACCTGCAACAGGCAGATTTAGCTCTTACATAATGCCTGTTTAAGGGATTAGGAGATTAGTGAGAGATTATAGTGTTATAGTCTGTTTTAGTCATTGTATGAACAGTTTTAACGTTAGATCTAGTTCACATGTCATTTTGTAGTGAACATTCTACTATGATGAACATTGTTTATGATACGTGGTTTATAATAGCTACAAGTTAACGTTCAATTCATTCGAAATTCTCGAGGTACCCAATGCCTAGTTTATGATAAGTTTTTAGTTAAGGCCAGAAGAAGAGATACCGTTCATTCAGGGGCGTGGTGACAGCTAATTTTGCATGAAAAACCAGATCCAGTGGGGGCGCAAAAATCATAAGGGGGGATTCTCTGCCCCAGGTGCTGAGAAATTTTGTGCTGTGTATGTGAGTCATGGAGTCGATTTGTAGCATATCTAAGTCATGGTATATGTTTGACACTGGTTCATGAGCATTATGATTATGATCATAGCATTGAAAACACATTGAAAGTGAAACTACATGATTTTTTTCATTTCATTGGGGGGCACAAAATCTCAAACCTATGATGCAAATGTGTCATTGCATAACCTTCATTTAGACCCTGCGTTCATTAGAAGTGTACTGTCCGCAAATGTCCTGCTACTGTAAATACTAGGAATGGTCTTATCACTACCTACAGAAACCATGTGGATTTTCTGCTGGTATTCCAGATTCTTTCCACCACTTAAAAACCTGATCGCTTACAAATTCGTGAAATAAAGATACTAAACTAGTTGTGTTGAGGGGATGCTGAATCACAAACAAAGTTCTTGAATCTTTCAAATCTTCTCATATTGTTCAAAAACATTTGTATAATTTTTGAATTATTGTGAGATAATGCAATGGATATTATTCCAGATAATCGCAAGTATTGATTTTTTATTTATAAAATTTGTTATAAAACACCCCAGTTTATTTATTCCCACTTACTTTTTACTTCTTTAATCTTATGATTGTGTTGTTGTGTTAGTCTGTCATTTCATTCATTCATTTATTTGTTTTAGTGTACTGTGGTTGACATTGTGGTTCCAATATGATGTACTTCATTTTTTTTTTTTCTTCAATAGGTGAAATATTAAAGATGAACCATTATGTTAATGGTATGAATAAACAGGGTGAATTACAATATGAGGTTGTAGTTCAAGGTCGGGTACCTGATCTTGGTGAGATGAAGAACGTGGTTATTAAACCTTACAGTGAAGATTATATACAAACTGGACCAGGTATATGTAGATTGGGCTTTATAATCTGCCACTGTATGTTTTAAAAATAAAAATGCCTAAATTTTTATTATCTTCAACGTTTGTAATAATTACTTTTCTGTTTATTACTAGGTACAATATATGCCAGTTCTTCACGTCTGTTTCAAGTTGATGATCACATCATGCCATACGCGTGGAATCATACAATAACTTACAATGATAAACATGGTGCAATGCCGTTCCTTGTTGAACGATTACAGACTAGTGATATCGAGGTTAATCTAGATGATAATGGTGCCGTTGTTAATTATCAACTCCATGCAAACATCGCACCAGGTTAGATAACTTAAGTTTGTACATGTTCGTACTTAACATAGAGCTCAAGCCATTTGTTTATATTTTATTCATTATTTGTCCCCCGCCTTTCAAAGAAAGCAGGCGACATTTAAAATGGGTTCGTCAGTCTGTCTGTCCATCCGTCTGTCTGTCCATCACACTTTTTGGGACACAATAACTCTTCTGCAAATTGAGCTAGAATGTTCAAACTTGGTGTAGGTGTTTATTAGATCAATGCCTTGATGGAGGTCAAAGATGAGCATTTTCTGCTTAGGGTAAGCAGAGATAAGCAATTTGATTGGTTGATGCTTTTGGACACGATAACTTTAGTTCTAATTAAGTGAGAGTGATGAAATTTGGTGTATAGTTTTATTACATCAATACCTTGACTAAGTTCGATAATGAGCATTTTCTGCTCAGGGTAAGCAGAGCAATAAGCAATTTGACTGGCCAAGACTTTGGGACACATTAACTCTCCTTCTAATTGAGGTAGAACAGAATAACTCTCCTTCTAATCCAGCTAGAACATTCAAACTTGGTGTAGGTGTTTATTAGGTGAATGCCTTGATGTAGTTTGAAGATGAGCATTTTCTGCTTGGGGTAAGCAGAGATAAGCAATTTAATTGGTTGATGCTTTGGGACACAATAATTTTAGTTGTAATAAAGTGAGAGTGATGAAATTTGGTTTATAGTTTTATTACATCAATACCTTCACTAAGTTTGATAATGAGCATTTTCTGCATAGGGTAAGCAGAACGATAAGCAATTTGATTGGTCGAGACTTTGGAACACAATAACTCTCATTCTAAATGAGCTAGAATGTTCACACTTGGCGTAGGTGTTTATTAGGTGACTGTCTTGACGGAGTTCGAAGATGAGAATTTTCTGCTTAGGGTAAGCAGAGATAAGTCAACTGGCGGGGTTTCGATTCCCCGGTTGTACGTGATAAGGAGTAGGGTCGCTTGCCCAACCTTGTGGGTTTTCTCTGGGTCCTCCGGTTTCCTGCTACTGCTAAAGACCCCTACGCACAAGCGAATGATTGATATAAAACTGAACCATGTGTTAGTCCCGAAATGACCTAATTTGTGTCGAGTGGACGTTAAACCCTATTTCTCTCTCTCTCTAATTATGTGAGAGTGAGGACACTTGGGGTGTAGTTTTATCACATCAATACCTTGACTAAGTTCGATAATGAGCATTTTCTGCTCAGGGTAAGCCTAGCGGTAAGCAATTTGATTGGTCAAGACTTTGGAACACATTAACTCTCCTTCTAATTGAGGTAGAATGTTCAAACTTGGTGTAGGCGTCCATTAGGTAAATGCCTTGATGGAGTTCGATGATAAACATTGTCTGCTTACGGTAAACAGAAATAAGCAATCTGATTGGTTAATGCTTTCGGGCACGATAACTTTGGTTTTAATTAAGTGAGAGTGAGGACACTTCTTGGGGTGTAGTTTTATCACATCAATACCTTGACTAAGTTCGATGAGCAATACGCAGCGATAAGAATATCTGATTTGTCAAGACTTTGGAACATAACAACTCTGCTTTTAATTGAGGTAGAATGTTTAAAGTTGATGTTGATGTTCATTAGGTGAATGTCTTGACTGAGTTCAATGATTAACATTTTGCGCTAAAGCTAAACAGAGCTAAGCAATTTCATTGGTCGATGCTTTGGGACAAGATAACTTTGATTCTATCTGATAGAGAGTGATGTAACTTATTGTATAGTTGATAATCAGTTTGATTGCTTGATACTTTTAAAATAAATAAATGTACGATTAATTGATATGTTTCATCTAATTATTTTGGGATTTCAGCGGGGGACATCAGCCTCACTGTTGACTTGTTTTATTATTATTTAGTGATTTGTGAATCAGTCATTACTAATTACTTCTGCATTGTCTTGTAGGATATGTTTTTCTTTGTTCATTACAATTGGCACCCGAAACCATTTTAAAATAAGCATTAAGTGTTGAATAATAGATAATAGGATCCCATATTTTCACAGTAAGATAACATTAATGTTAATTGAAATGGACCAATATTGAATTTAAATTCGTGTTTTTATACGCTCACATTGAAATGTGGTCATATATTGTCGTGGCCCCCGTCCATCCGTCAGTCAACAATTGCTTGTGGATGCTCTAGAGGCTAAAGTTAATATCCGATTGACTTTAGATTTATACACAGTGTTTAAGGTCATGAAACGAAGAAGTCTATTTATTTTCAGCGATTTCAGATAATTACTGTCAGAGTTATGGCCCTTGATCACTTCGAAAAATCTTGTGGACGCTCTAGAGGCTAAAGCTATTATACGATTGACTTTAGATTGATACACAGAGTCTATGGTCTTGAGACGAACAAGTATATTGATTTTCAATCAGTTTTGATAACTTGAACAGCTAAATCCATGATATTAAATGTTTCGTATACTAAACGTTAGCATAATTTTTTAATGAGTTGTTACTCTTAATCAGATTTTAGTGTATTATAAATTTTTCATTACCGAAAAAAGTAAAAATATGCGATAACTTTTGTTGACTGCCCGGACGATTTAGCTGCTGTGGACGTATGTTTCGTTGCCTGCATGGCAACCTATCTTTAACTATTATAGTGAGAACTGCCAGCTCTTTATAATTTCCCATAATGTATCTTTAATGAGTTGTTACTCTAAAATCAGATTTGAGTGTATTTTAAATGTTTCCTTGTTGACTGCCCGGACGATGTAGTTGCTGTGGGCGTATGTTTCGTTGTCTGGCAACATATCTTTAATTTTTAATTTGATGGAAAATATTGAGTTAGAGGGTTAGCTCCTTTAACAGACTGAAATAATCATCCAATTTTGATAAAGGAAGATAGGTCATTTTAAGTATGATCATGGCACTATATTGTTATATTGTTCGCGGTACTGTGCATTTATATATATAGGAACATTATAACTATTTATTGGAATGTAAATGTTTATTGTGTGCTGCTCAATGGATATCTTATCTTTCTGTTTTTAGGTTCTCCAAGTAATACTTGTCCCAGTGGTTTTGATTTAGATCCAGAAGGTCCATATTGTAAAGGTTTGTTACTCTACACAATGTATAAATCAGCTTCCAATATTTTGTTTTTAATGTTTGGTCATATTGCTGAAGCAATGGTAACAGACATTGCTACAAGTGATATCAATTATAGATTATAGGTGATTGTTTTCATTGGTACCCTATATGTGTTTTCCAGTGATCGACTATATCAAATAGTTGGTATCAGATCTGTAAATGTTAGGCTATATATAGTTCAGTCTCTCTGAGCCACAGGCAGAGATACTGCAAGTTGAAATCTGGAGATGAGTGGCAACAAAACAAGTACCATACTGTAATTCGGATTTGATTTTTATATGACTAAATTTAAATATTATTATATATTTCATCCCCTATCTAGTGGTTTATTTACTTGTCGCTCTTGATCACTTTTTATATGCCTCGGACGTCCGTTCACAATTTGTTTTTTTACACTCTACAGGTTTATCTCCCAAAGATCTCAGTTCCTTTTGAAACTAGCGTGTATTGGACCGTAACTTCATGGATTATGGCCCCTGATTATACGGAAAATCACATTTTTAGCTTGTGGACCCTCTAAAGGTCACAATTTGTATTTAATTTTATAAATCTTTCAAATATATCACCCTTACACCATAAGAAAGAGTGAGTTCAAATTTCGGGAAAATCAAAATTAAACTGCCCAACAAAATGGCCGATCCCTGTACGCAAATATTGTAGAAGTATGTAATACGAAGGTTGTGGACCCTCTAGGCGTCACAATTTTTGTCTGATTTTGATGAAACTGAAAATATATGTTTATATCCCAAAGATTTCAGTTCCTTTCAATATTCGTGCATTTCAGACCATAACTTATTAGATTATGGCTCCAGATTGTACGAAAAATCATATTTTTTTTTTTAGCTTTTTCTCTATCCATCTCTTGCAAAATGTGCGTATATCTTACATGGCAACCGCTGGTTAATAATGTCTTTTAAATGCCTCAGTTACGTACATGTACCTATAAAAGAATCACAAGGTGACAACATTTATGGACTACTGGGACAGATAAGTGGCTTTACGTACTGTTGGTATATGTTTGTTGCCTTGCAAATTATTTTTGCAAGGGTACTAATTTGAAGAAAGAGTTTATCTTTTGATGAACCTTTCAAGAGTTGATTTGATTAAAACATCTACTGTAATTTCAGATGATGATGAATGTTTAAGAAGTCAACCATGTGGTCATTTCTGTCATAATTCACCAGGAAGTTACGCCTGTTCTTGTCCCTCTGGTTACGTTCTAAAGGCAGATGGCAGCACATGTACAGGTAATTAACATCTTTATTTCTATATTTGGTGAGGTTTTAATGGTGAATTTTATTTTACAAAAACAGCACTTGGTCATAGATTTGACTGTTTACTTTTGAAATTTTGTATTTTAAGATGTGGATGAATGTTCAACCAATGGTGATGTTTGTCCATTAAATCAACAATGTATTAATACGCCTGGTTCATATTCCTGTGCTGCCATTTGTACACCTGGCTTTAAGCGATCCGAAGATCGTCTCTCTTGTAAAGGTACTACAAATAAATGTTTAGAATTTTCAATATGTCGATCATAATCAATATACTAGGATTGTCTTTTGTGGCTTAGCTTTTTGATAGACGTTTATTATCGTGGTTCAAGAAATACCATCACAATCGACAACAATATGTCATAGTTAGATTTCAGTGGCATACGAGTTGGTATCCCACCGGTCAGCACACTAGGGCCTCTATTATGTTTATGATAGATTAATGACATTGTGAATAATATAAAATCAAATATCACACTTCTGTACATTGAAATAAATGACCCAGAGGCATTAGTGGTTTTGATTAACCACAACCTTCAAATAATAAAGTGATTAGCAGAAACCTGGCTAGTGATCTTTGACCCCCGCAAAAAAACAAACTTTAAGTCTCACTACTGAATGCAATTTTCGGAAAACCGCCCTTTTTAAAGAACTCCATAGAATAACTCAACATAAACACTGTGTACTTAAACAATGGCAAATGGAGCTGCCACGTACATGATAATATTAGTATAGTATCCAAACTATTAAACTTTATTAATATGTCAAACAGATTTTAAGTGCTATTTTTTTTACCCACATTTCGGTGAAAGCGTATTATATCGTCGACCCTGTCCGTTGGTCCATATTTCTTAACAATTGGTTTGATAGCGTGATAGAGGCTACAGTTTTTAAAGAAATTTTTTCGAATGTGTTGTGAAGCATTGGGGTTTATGGGAAGACAAACCCATTGTTACTCAGTGCTTCACAAACTTTCATTCTTGAGTAAGCTCTGTTTTTATACACCCACATTTTCATGTGGACTTATATTGTCGTCGCCCTTGTCCGTCCGTCCATTGTCAATGTGTCTGTCCATTCACATCTTGTTTGTGGACACTCTACAGGTCACAATTTTTATCCGATTTTAACGAAACTTGAAATATAAATGTATCTCCCACAGATCTCAGTTCCATATGAAATTGGCATGTATCGGACCATAACTTAATGGATTATGGACCCGGATTGTATGAAAAATCACATTTTTAGCTTGTGGAAACTCTAGAGGTCATAATTTTGATCCGATTTTGATGAAACTTGAAATGTATGTTTATAACCCAAAGATCTTTGTTCCTCTCAATGTTATAGCATATCGGACCGTAAATTCCTGGATTATGGCCCCTGATTGTACGAAATATTGCGTTTTTAGCTTGTGGTCCCTCTAGAGGTCACAATTTTTATACGATCTAAAAAAACACGTTTAAATATATTACCGTTAGACCATAATGAGGTTGAGTTCAAATTTCGTCAAAATCAGACCAAAACTGCCAGACAAAATGGTCGCTCCTTGAAGGCAAATAGTGTAAAAGTATGTCATATCAAGGTTGTGGACCCTCTTCAGGTCACAAATTTGATCTGATTTGGATGAAACTTTAAATTTATGTTTACATCTCAAAGATCTTGGTTTCTTTCAATAATCATGCATATCGGAACTTAACTTCCTGGATTATGGCCCCTGCTCAACAAAATGGCCGCTCCTTGTATGCAAATGGTGTAAAAGTATGTAATACCAAGGTTGTGGACCCTCTAGAGGTCAAAATTTTTATCTGATTTTAATGACAATTAAAATAAATGGTTAAATCCCAGACATTCCATTTCTTTTGATATTCGCTAATATCGGACCATAAGCTTTTTAAAGCTTGTTTTCTGTTCATCTCTTGCAAAATGTGGGCATATCTTGCATGGCAACCGCTTGTTCTGAAAACCATGTTAACACGATAGTTTTTAACAGATTATTTTCAAATTTGATTTGAAGTTCTAATGTCATAAGAGGACAACTGTTTTGATTTCAGCATTTTGCAACCTTCTTCCCTTTGCTAAAAACATTGTAAACTTTATTGAGGCTACGGTTCTTAATGGATACTTTGTAGAGGCAGTGACTTCATGAGACCATGAACCCTATCAATATTCAGAGTTCCTCAACCCATCATTCCAAAGTTACCCCTGTTCCAAAAACTTTAACACGATATAGAGGCTACAGTTTTAATACACCCACATTTAAAATGTAGATGTATTTTGTCGTCAGCCCTATATATCTGTTCACATTTTTTTGTGGTCACTCTCATAATCATAAAAATATGTTGATATCCCAAGATCTTGGATGGGTTTGATTTTAGCACATACTGGATTATTTCCCCATACTGTACAAAATCAGCTATATAGCTTGTGGACACTTTAAGAGGTCACAATTTATATTGGATTTTGATGAAACTTAAAAAATATGTTTTGTTGAAATTGAAATATGTTTTGATGAAACCTAAAATATGTTTTGAAGAAACTTAAAATATATTTTTATTACACAAAATTACACAGATTAGTTTGATTTTGGTGGAAATTAAATTGTAACTTCCAATTAAAATTGTCCCACCTCTTTAGGCAGATAGTGGCAAAGCATGTTATACAGTCCAAATTAATAGTTGAGTGTGAAGGGCAGAGCTGAAGTCATATCAAGTTTCAGATCCACTGGCATGGCTGTTGTTTCGCAATGACTGATCCTATCCATTCCTAATAACAAGCGAGAAGATTTTTCCGATTAAAAAACATGTGGTCTGCACATGTATGAATCTCTTAATCGCCGACCAGTCCAAAAAATTTAATGTGAAGTATCATGGTCACGAGAGGACGAACCCTACGATTTTCAATGTTCCACGACTTTTGTTTCCAAAAACCTTGTGAATGCAATAGAGGCTATAGTTTTGGACAGATCCTTTTCAAATTTGGTGTAAAGCATTGTGGTCATGAGAGGACGAACCAAGTTGATTGCCATTGTTCTGCGATTTGTGTTCCAGAGTTATTCCCCCCCTTTGCCAAAAACGTTGCGATTGTGATAGAGGCGGTAGTTTTCGATAGATTCTTTTCAAATTTGTGGTGACGCAATGGGGTCTTGATTTTCAGCTTTCTACAACATTCTGTTCAGGAATAGTCCCTCCCTTTGTTGAAAAGCTTTTCAATATTAATATAAGTTACAGTTTTTAACCAGGTTTTTTTTTTTCAAATTTTGTTTGAAGCATTGGGGTCATGAGAAGACGAACCATATCGCTTTTCGTTTCGGAGATATACCACCATTGTCGAAAACTTTGTGAATGCAATAGAGGCTACAGTTTTTGGAGGATTCTTTTCAAATTTGGTGTGAAGCATTGTGGTCATGAGAGGACGAACCCTATTGATATTTAGCATTCCACAACTTTCTGTTCCAGAGTTATAATCCTGTTGACGAAAAACCTTGTGAACGCAATAGAGGCTGTAGTTTTCAATGGATTCTTTCTGCGACTTTCCGTTCCAGAGTTATGCCCTCTTTTCAAAAAAACCTAATGAATGCAATAAAGGCTATCAATATTTATAATCCTTTATCCCCCCTTTGCAATAAAAGCTATAGGTTTTTACAGATTTTGTTTCAAATTTGGTTGGAGCAATGGAATCATAAGAGGATGCATTTTAGAGATTAGATTTCTTCAAGGATCCTATAGATCCTTATGAAAATTTCTTCAAGGATCCTATAGATCCTTATCAAATTTTTATCAAACATCCAAGTTTTTATTTTGGATAAGCTGATCACAATTATGGAATCATAAGAGAATGCATTTTAGAGATTAAATTTCTTCAAGGAACTTATAGGTCTCAACCTATTTTCTCAACACCCAAGTTTTTATTTCGGATAAGCTGATCACAATGATATACACTAGTAGTCTTACCATAAATTAACATATATTTCACTAATCCCTTTAACCCTCCGCAGGTCAGTTATGTTTGGCTTGCAGCAATGTAGGGGTTCGGATGATAAAGGCCACATCAGATACCAGGGGTAGCTGGAATACTTGGTATGGTGGAAATTAGGTTAAATGTATCTCACTGCTAAAAATAGGTATCGGCTGAAATCGACTGAAATTTTGAAAAATCATAGTAAAAATCATAGTAATGGGTTCTTTAGCAAGCAGATCTGGGGCTCATAGAGGTCAAATGCACCGAGTTTTATCCAAATCCATCACCTAGTGCCTTAGCACTTTTTATACGCCCACATGGATATGTGGTCGTATATTGCCGTTGCCCTATCCATTCGGCCGCTGTCCACAATTTCTTGTGAACATTCTACAGACTATATTTATCATCTGATTGTTTTATAATTTATATATGTTGTTTACTTTAGTGAGATGAAGAAACCTGTTTAATTTCAATAATTTCTGTTAAAATTTCTTATGGAGTTATGGCCCTTGTTTCACTTTGCTGCACCTTGTGAACGCTCTAACGACAAAAGTTATCATCCGATCTGTATGAAATTTATATGCATTATTTATATTAGTAAAATGAAGAATCCTATGGAATTTCCGCAATTTCTGTTTACAACCTCTAGAGTTATGGCCCTTGTTTCACTTTGTTGAACCTTGTGAACGCCAAAAGTTATCATCTGATCTGTATGAAATTCATATGCATCACTTAAATTATTGAAACGAGGAATCCTATTGAATTTCAGCAATTACGTTTAGAGTTATGGCCGTTGTTTCACTTTGTTGAACCTTGTGAACGCTCGATAGCCAAAAGTTATCATCCAATCTGTATTATTATTATTATTACATATATTTATATAGCGCTCCTTTCATGATAAACATGTTCAGATGCGCTTTACAATAAAAATAACATAACACAATGGATAAAATCACAATATCAATATAGAATATAGTAGATATGGTTTAAAAAATATGTAGTTCATGTAAATATAGAAAAATAGAAATTAACATATAAAAAAAAACAGTAATATTTAATGGTGTAGATAGAGTTATAACGTGTAAAATAATCATGTAAATATAGAAATAAAAATATATAGAGAGAGAGAAATGGGGTAAATGCTGTAGAGGCTAAAGTTAATATCCGATTGAGTTTAGATTTATACACAGTGTTTAAGGTCATGAGACAAAGAAGTTTATTTATTTTCAGTGATTTTCGATAATTGCCAGAGTTATGGCCCTTGATCACTTCAAAAAATCTTGTTAATGCTCTAGAGGCTAAAGTTTATATCTGATTGACTTTAAATTGATACAGAGTGTTTGAGGTCATGAGATGAAGAATCATATTGATTTCCAACGATTTCCGATAATTACTGCCAAAGTTATGGCCCTTGATCACTTTGAAAAATCTTGTGACCCTCTAGAAGCTAAAGTTATCATCCGATTGAATTCAGATTCATACACAGAGTTTAAGGTCATGAGACGAACAAGTATATTGATTTTCAATGAATTTTTATGACTTGATCAGCTAAATCCATGATGTTAAAAGTTTGATATACTAACATTAGCATGGGGCAAAACTTTATAAAAACCAAACAAATTCTAATGGTTTTCTGATAATTACTTAATGAGTTGTTACTCTTAATCAGATTTTAATGTATTATAAATGTTTCATTACCGAAAAAAGTAAAAATATGTGACAACTCTTGTTGACTGCCCAGACGATTTAGCTGCTGTGGGCGTATGTTTCGTTGCCTGTCAACCTATCTTTAGCTTGTGGACCCGCTAGAAGTCACAATTTGTATTCAATTTTAAAAGGTGTTTAAATGTATCAGCGTTATACATCAATGAAGGTTGGGTTCAAATTTCATAAAAATCTGACTCGAACTGCCAGACAAAATGGCTGCACCTTGTACGCAATTAGTGTAAAAATATGTAATCCTGAGGTTGTGGACACTCTAGAAATCACAATTTTTATTTGATTTTGATGAAATTTGAAATGTATGATTATAACCCAAAGATCTCGGTTTCTGTCGATATTCGCGCATATCAGACCTTAACTTCCTGAATTATGGCCCCTGATAGTACGAAAAAATCGCGTTTTTAGCTTGTGGACCCTATAGCGGTCATAATTGCCTCCCCTTGTACGCAAATACATGTAGTGTAAAAATATGGTATATCAAGGTTGTGGACCCACTAGTGGCAACAGTTTTTATCCTATTTGGATGAAACTTTAAACACATGTTCAGTTTGATCAAAACAGGATAAAGATTGTGACATCTAGTGTATACAATCAGGGGCCATAATCCATGAAGTTACGGTCCAATACAAGCCAATATCGAAAGGAACCGAGATCTTTGGGATATATACCTATATTTCATGTTATGACCTGTAGAGTGTCCACAAAGAAGGTTTGAAAATGTGGGCGTATAAAAATGTATCATCTATCTAGTGCCGAACGTACTATTAAACGAACAAGTGACATATAACGGATGGATTTAAGTGGAATTCTTTATGTAGACAAACACGTGAAATCAACATTCGGTCAAGTGACATTTCGGTAACTATGAGGTTTTAAAGTAATTTCATGTACTGTAATTTAATTTGTTCAGAGAATAAATTATCCCAAAATACATGTTCATTTTTCAGATAAGTGTCTATTATTAGTCAACCTTTCCATTATTTTCAATCAATAATGAACAGTTTTATAAAACATAGACGATTATTTAAGAAAAGCGTACATTCTCCTATATACTGGTTAAAAACATCAAAGGGTGACGTCATATATATGTTTTAATTCAGATGTTACTCATTTAATTATGGATTATATCATATTTTGCTCATTTAATTATGGATTATTTCAGATGTTGCTCATTTAGTCATGAATTATTTCAGATGTTTGATTATGGATTATTTAAGATGTTTTATATTTAAATATGAAATGTTTCAGATGTTACTCATTTAATTATTAATTGTTTCAGATGTGAATGAATGTGAAGAAAATAGCCGTCTATGTTCCCATCAATGTACAAATGTTATTGGTAGTTATCAATGTTCATGTAAAGATGGCTATAGACTCTCATTTAGAGGAAGATGTTTTGGTAAATGTTTGATTTTAATCACAAATCTTTATTTTCAACCATGCGATAACAACAATGGAACTTTTGAAATTTTGAATTTGTTTATAGATTTTTCTTACTCAGTAACTATTACCCTGAGTTTACTTTCTACTAAATAGCTGTGCCTTCAGAAATCCAAGTTCAAATGTTTTTTTACCACTGAAACAACAAGTTTCTCGTCTCAGTGCTGAAGAAACTTAAAATATATATGTTTATATTACAAAGATCACAGTTGGGTTTGAGTTTGGCACATACCGGTATCAGACCATAGCTTACTGGCCTGGATTATTGCCCGTGATTGTATGAAAATCACCTACTTAGCTTGTGGTCCCTCTAGAGGTCACAATCTCTATTATACACCCACATTTCAGTGTGGGCATATTATGTCGTCACTATATCTGTCAGTCCATCAACAATTGGTTGTGAACCCTATATAGAGGCTACAGTTTTCCTCATAACAAAATGCCTGATGCATGCTCATCTTCATTGGTTCGGTTGGTGCAGAAAAGTACAGGATGTTAAATCCCATTTCTCTCTTTCTTAAATAACTCAATCTATTGTCTAAGATGTGAATAAATCAGTTAAACCCAATTGAATGCCTGTTTGAGATTATCTACACCTGTTCCAGTGTTTAAAAACAGTTTAATTTTAGCGTGATCTGGGTAAAACTCAAAATATACAGGTTAGAAGTTAGAAATACATCTCAGTTCTATGAAGATTCATTTATTGAACCAATTCTATACTTTGAAAATTTGCAAAATTCATTTGATGCCCTAATTCTCATGAGGCATTCTTCTAGCTGGAGCTCAAATCACTCAATGTGAAAAATTATATTACAGTTGCAATTAAAAACATACAAGTTTAATCCAAATAATGTATCTGGATTTTGCACACAGGTTTATATCCCACGCCTTTTCAAACACTATTCAAAGAAATTTATGTGTTTTAATTACAGATATAAACGAGTGCCGCCAAGCTGTTAATCCATGTACACATCGTTGTATAAATACTAGAGGTAGTTACAGATGTAGCTGTCCTAGAGGTTACAGACAAAAAACACAAACACTTTGTGAAGGTATGGTCTATTTAGTATAAACTTATCTTGTACGAAAAGTGGTAACAAACCCATGCCAGATTTTGGTAAACAAAACTCCAGATAGTATAAGTAATATACAAATAGGAAAAGTTGGACAAGAGCTGTTCATATCATTTGTCTTTTTATTTGTCTTTTTTTCTTACATTTTACAAAGATGTTTTTTTATGAAAATATGTAGATATAATATTATGTTACTGTGACAACAGACAGTTTCTGTGATAGTTAAAGATATGATAGTATTTTTCTGACAATGTATGGTAATGTTTTGATATTGATATGTTTCTATAAAAATAGATATAGATGAGTGTAAAGATGGCAGCCATCGATGTAGAGCTGATCAACAATGTGAGAATACAGATGGTAGATACATATGTAGAAATACTTGTCCTTCTGGTTACCAACGACAACAAAATGGCAGATGTACTGGTATGTATGTAGGCCTATATTAAAATTTTAACTACCCGGTATATAATGATCCGATAATGTCTGTACCGTTAAAGATTTATTGACCCCACCCTTTCGAAAGCAGGGATCTATTGAAATAGGTTCGTCCGTCTGCATGTCCGTCACACTATTTGTTTGGAACACAAGAACTCTGCTAATTGAGCTAAAATGTTCAGACTTGGTGTAGATGTTTGTTAGGTGAATGTCTTGATTGATTTTTATGATTGGCATTTTCTGCTATGGTTAAGCAGATATAAGCAATTGGATTGGGTCTAGACTCTAGACTTTGAGACAAGATTAGAATTGCGGAAGAGTGATCGAACTTGGTGTACAGTTTCACTACATCAAATCCTTGAGTAAATTCAATCATAATCCTTTTCTGCACAGGCTAGTATAGATAACTGGATACTTTACAAAAAAATAAATGTGCAATTAATGTATATGTGTCATCTATTTATTTTGGGATATGGGTAAGGGACATCAACCTCACTGTTGGTGCGTTGAAAATGACACAACCACTTTGATTTTTGTGGTGACAGTGAATGGCTTAGTGAGAAGGTGCTGGCTCACTAGACACGGTCCCACGTACATTTTGGCATGCACGTTTAAAAATCCTTGACAGTTGGAATTTGATGAGGAGGTAGCACCCTGCATGGATGCCTTTCTTAATTAGCCAGTTGGTGCTGAAAAGTAGGACATTAAAATCCATATCATTTCCAGTCTAAAAAAAATCTGACCTGTAGTTTCCAAGGTATTAATGACAGACTTTGAATTCTGATAATATTCTTCCTCAGTGCTAGCTGAACAATCCTGGCAAGTTTCAAAAGCTTTCAGCGACGGGTTGGACTCCGAATTAAAACTAACTGCACAATCCAAGCAAATAATGAAACTTCAATCCGTAGAGTATTTACAAGGTGTAGGTGCAAAAAATCGATAGGATTCCTCTGTAGAAATAGCCAAACAATCCTCACATGGTTGACAACATTATACTCGAACATGAAAGTGGAATGTGGACGTATACAAATTAGTAATTGTATTTCAATGATTTGCTTGCACATAAGGGTCTTTAGCAGTGGGAGGAAACCGGAGGACACTGAGAGAACTCACCCCAAGGTTGGACAGGTGACTCCTTGTCCCGTACAAGTGTGGGAACGAAATAACACCACTTGACTCACTGACAGACATTTATAGGATCTAAAGCACATAAAACACATGCAGTACCAATCGACCCCACCCTTTGTAATATAGGCATGATTAAATGATTTTGATGTTTTCAGATGTAGATGAATGTTTGTTAAGACGACATCGCTGTCTATCTAATCAACGATGTATTAATACACCTGGTAGCTACAGGTGTGCCTGTCCACCAGGTTTAGAATCACGTGGCCCAGGACAAGCTTGCACAGGTAAGGTGATCCTTTTATAGACATGATAACAGGCCATCTGATAATCTCTTTCATTTCAAATTTGTAAATGTTAATTAATTTTGTGGAGGTTATTACTATTTTAGGTTGTAACAATGAAAATTTTTTTGATGATGCAGAGGGTGTAAAGGCTTTTGTTTATATAAGCCATTTCAAAGAATGTAAACAATAACTACAGTTAATTTTTATGCTTTTTATACGCCAACATGGAAATGTGGTCGTATATTGCCGTCGCCCCCGTCCGTCCGTCCATCGTCCACAATTTCTTGTGAACACTCTACAGACTACATTTATCATCTGATTGTTTTGAAATTGATATATGTTGTTTGCATTAGTGAGATGAAGATGCCTATTTAATTTTAATAACTTCCATTAATTTCTATTGGAGTTATGGCCCTTGTCTCACTTTGTTGCACCTTGTGAACGCTCTAACCACAAAAGTTATCGACCGATCTGTATGAAATTTATATGCATCATTTAAATTAGTAAAACAAAGAAGCCTATTGAATTTCAGCAATTTTCGTTAATTACATTTTGAGTTATGGCCCTTGTTTCACTTTGTTGAATCTTGTGAATGCTCTAATGACAAAAGTTATCAACCGATCTGTATAAAATTGATATGAATCATTTAATTATTGCCCTTGATTTACTTTGTTGAACTTTGTGAACTTTCTAACGACAAAAGTTATGCTATCAACCGATCTGTATGAAATTTATATGCATTATTTGAATTAGTAAAACGAAAAAGCCTGTCGAATTTGAACAATTTCTGTAGATTACTTCCAGAGTTACGGCCCTTGTTTTAGTTTTTAGAACCTTGTGAAACATCAAACGACGAAAATTATAATGTCATCTGTATGAAATTGTCTATTAAATTCCCCTAATTACCTACAAAAGAATAAATATGTGACAACCCTTGTCGACTGCTCGGACGATTAAGCTGATGTGGGCGTATGTTTTGTTGCCTGGCAACCTATCTTTTTATGTCTAAAAACTCTTAAAGATTAGTTTATAAATGGAAATAATGCTAGAAATGTTCATATTATAATGCTAGAAATGTTCATAATTTGAATTAAATGTCCAGTAAATCTGTGATGAAATAGAAAATATCTTGTTAGTCTGTAATAAAATAAAAAATGTCTTGTTAATCTGTAGTAAATTATACAGAAAATGTATAAAACAAAGACAGGATGTATAAATGGAAGATCATCCCTTTTATATTTTTATAAATTGGTTATTAGTATATTTTTTAAGGTAAATCGATGATGAATAATCTATGCAGTGGGTCATTAAGCAATAATACAGGTCTGGGTACAGTGGTACTAAACATACCTCACTTTTCCTATTGGATTCGTTCGTCCGTCACATTGTTTGTGACACAATAACTATGCTTCTATTTGAGGTAGAATGTTCAGATCTGGTGAAGGTGTTTATTAGGTAAATGCCTTGACCATGTTCGATGATGAGCATTTCCTGTTTAGGCTAAAAAGAGACAAGCAATTTGATTTTTCTTCTAATTGGATGAGACCAAGTGTATAGTTTCATTGCATAAATACTTAAACTTTGTGCAATAATAAGACTTATTTGCTCAGATTAAGCAGAGTGTAAAGCATTGGCCGAGACTTTGGAACACAAAGAATTTGATTCTAATTATGTGAGAGTTGTAAAATTTGGTGTATACTTTCATTTTACCAATATCTTGACTAAGTTTGATGATGAAGGTCATGAAACATGTAGTATATTTTCACTAAATCAATACATTTGACTATGTTCGATCAAGGGCATTTTCTGCTGAGACTAAGTATAGTAGATAAGTAAAGGCCTGTAACTATGCCCCCCCCCTTGCAAAAAGTTTCGCCCCCCGCCCCCCCACCCCCTGGGAAAAAATTGTCGACGATAAAAACAATAGATATACATTGTCCGTCAATTTTACAGCACGCCTGAGAACACTTCCCGCCCACCTCGTTTATCTGAGCTAGCTAGTTACAGCCCTGGATAACATAGGCGTAGGGGCTCGATGGCAGTTAGGGGGGCAGAACCCGAAATGCCTGAAAAAATTTCGGGTTTACAGACAGCAGCGACCTTGTATAACCCCCCCCCCCCCAAGACAATTTTGGAATATTTGACGGCTGCAAACACTTTTTCCTGCTATTGCAGCCGTTGAACAAAGCAACTTCAAAATGGTCTTATATAGCCTAATTAAGGTGGCTGACTCGAAATTCCAATCAATCGTTTACAGTCCTCGAAGACGGGACCGTTGGGAGAAAATTTTGAAATTTAACTGCCGCAAACGCGTTTTCCCGATATTTCAGCCAGTGAACAAAGCAACTTCAAGCGGTCTAATATAGCCTAATTAAGGTGGCTGACCCGAATTCCAAACAACCAATCAATCGTCGCGCGGTATATGGAGGCCTCACCCTCCCGGAGAAAAATTTGAAAATTTAATCACCGTAAATGCGTTTTCTGCTATTCTAGCCCGTGTAAGCAACTCCAAAAGTATCCAATGGTTTTGTAACTGAAATCCCACTCTGAATTCTAACCATCCAATCAGACTGTTGCATCTGCATTCACAAATAATAATCGATGCCTGAAAAATGTCACACAAAGTAGAGTGGCTCCAGACAAAGTGTTTTAATCCATAGTCAACTCAGTACAAATTCGTGATATTCAATTACAAGAAAAGTAAAATTAGTGTTTTATTAGGGCTCGATGACAGTTAGGGAAGCAAAACTAGAAATGCCCGAAAAATTTCGGATTTATAGACAGCGGCGCCGGTTTTCTTTGAGAGGCGAATGACCCACCAAGAAAATTTTGGAATATTTGACGGTCGCACACGCATTTTACTGCTAGTTTCCTCTGCCGCTTTCCGGCCCGATGCCCGTTTTTCGGGCAATACCTATTTTCAGGCATACCTATCATAAGAGAGCTTCGGGCATATTTTCGGGCATATGCAGTGGACAAGAAAAAGAAGAGAAAATACTTTTCGGGCAGTGTGGATCTCATAGAAATAAGTTAGTTATATTTTTTCTCTAAACATTAATAGAAAAAAAAAGGTCGTCGAATTTTTCATTGCCCGAAAATAAATTTTTTGGGGGGCAAATTTTGGAATATTTGACGGTCGCACACGCATTTTACTGCTAGTTTCCTCTGCCGCTTTCCGGCCCGATGCCCGTTTTTCGGGCAGTACCTATTTTCGGGCATACCTATCATAAGAGAGCTTCGGGCATATTTTCGGGCATATGCAGTGGACAAGAAAAAGACGAGAAAATACTTTTCGGGCAGTGTGGATCTCATAGAAATAAGTTAGTTATATTTTTTCTCTAAACATTAATAGAAAAAAAAAGGTTGTCGAATTTTTCATTGCCCGAAAATAAATTTTTGGGGGGGCCCCCTCCGGCTCCTACGCCTATGCTGGATAAGCACTTTGATAGTGTCATCTGTGACCCTCAGTTGCCAGAAAATCATTCCTTACCAGATATTCTGCAATGTGATATGTCACACGTACCATTTTTACTGAAAATCACTGTTGTAAAATGCATACCTTCTTGAAAAAATAATACAGGTTGTAAAAACAGACATTGCATCATTGACAAAAAATAATATGTCAGGAGACCGCACAATGTTGCATGTATTTTGATTGTACAGAATTTTATAACAACAAGGCTTTTATTTCAGATATTAATGAATGTCAACAAAGGCCCCCTGTCTGTAATTTTCAGTGTCTTAATAAATATGGTGGTTTTGAATGTATCTGTCCCCCTGGTCAACTTCGACTTGCAGACAAGAAATCATGTGCCGGTTAGAATTCTCAAAATATCAAAGCCTTTTATCCATAAACATATCAGAACTTTTTGTTCTTAAAATACCAGAACTGTTTGTTCTCAAAATACCAGAACTTTTTATTCTCAAAATAGTTTAAAATTGAATTAGGAAAGATGTATTAAAATATGAAAATCTAAATTATAAATTCTCTGCAAAAAATTTAGATATTCTAGTAGATGGTAATTGTACTCGAACTAAAACTTTTAGGGCAAAAACAATAGAAGTATCTAAGATAAGATATGAAAGCAAATCTCTTTTCTACAATATTTTATTAATTTGTTACAGGGCTAGAATTTGTGCAGCCTGTGCGAGTTTTTTCGACAGACAATCGGAGGAAAGATCGTAAGCCTGTTTATAGGGGGAGCCGTTACAAACGTGAGATAACATCTTGTCCTGCGGGAACATATCATGGAAATGATACATGTATTGGTAGGATTCGGCACATGGTTTCTTACTAGGCATGGGCATCCCAAATAGCCTTAGCATATTTATATCAATATTATCTTTTTAGAGACATATAAAATTAGCCGGAACTTATAGCTATAGGTTTTTGCCCATGATATCTATTTAGGCATGGGCATCCAAATATTTTAACATTGTTTATATCAATATAGACTCTTAGAAATTAGAATTAACTTTTATCTCCTGAATTGTTTAGTCATCTAAATCCTCATAATTTCTATAATCTTTAGAGAAAGAAAAAAAGATGGAAATTAAATATATATTACATGTGAATTTTAGTATATGTAAAGCAGTAACCTACTTAAATGTTTTCTCTTTGTAGCATGGTTGATTTAGTCCCCTTCTACCCCCTCCCACTTCTAGTTTATTACAACCATTTTCTATAAAGCAGTGTTTGTATATGGAAATGATTAATACCAGTTTTGATTTATTATGTGTATATGTATAAATTTACTGATCAGAAAGCCCAGTATCAAAAATACTTACTGCTTTTAAAAATAAGCATGTCAGTTTTTGTGCAGTACTCTAAAACATGTCATATATTGACAGCAGTTGTTGCACAGCTTTTAAAGGACATCCACAGATTTTACATGTGATAAAGAGTTGGTTAAACACATTCCATAATTTTAACTTACTGTTAAGTCATAACAAGAATTTGAAGATTCAGAAAGAAAAGAAATGAGTTTTTATACGCCCACATTTTCATGTGCACGTCTATTGTCATCACCCCTGTCCGTCCACAATTGTTTGTGAACAGTCTACAGGTCACAATTTTTATCCGATTTCAATGAAACTTAAAATATAGGTTTATCACCCTAAGATCTCGGTCCCTTTCGATATTGGCATGCATCGGACTGTAACTTCATGAATTATGGCCCCTGATTGTAAGAAAAATCACATTTTTAGCTTGTGAACACTGTAGAGGTCACAATTTTTATCTGATTTGGTTTAAACTTGACATGTATGTTTATAACCCACAGATCTCGGTTCCTTCCGATATTCGCACATATCGGACCATAACTTTCTGAATTATGGCCCCTGATTGAACGAAAAATCGTGTTTTTTAGCTTGTGGACCCCGTAGAGGTCACAATTTTTATCCGATTAAAAAAACAGTCAAAATATATCACCGTTACTCGCTAAGAGTAGTTGAGTTCGAATTTCGTAAATATCGGACCGAAACTGACGGACAAAATGGCCGCCCCTCATTCGCAAATAGTGTCAAAATATTGTGTATCCGGGAGGTGGACCCTCTGGAGGTCACAATTTTCATTTGATTTTGATGAAACTTGAAATGCATGTTTATAACTCACAGATCTCGGTTCCTTTATATATTTGTGCATATCGGACCCTAATTTCCTAAATTATGGCCCTGATTGTATGAAAAATTGTGTTTTTAGCTTGTGGACCCCGTAGAGGTCACAATTTTTATCCGATTTAAAAAAACGTTACAATATATCACCGTTACACCTTAAGGATGGTTGAGTTCCTGAATTATGGCCCCTGATTGTACGAAAAATTGCATTTTTAGCTTGTGGACCCCATAGAGGTCGCAATTTTTATCCAATTTAAAAAAACGTTACAATTTATCACTGTTACACCCTAACGATGGTTGATTTCGAATTTCGTAAAAGTCGGACCGAAACTGATAAAATGGCCGCCCCTCGTTCGCAAAAAGTGTCAAAATATTGTGTCAAAATCACAATTCTCATCTGATTTTGATGAAACTTGAAATCCATGTTTATAACCCACAGATCTCGGTTACTTTCAATATTCGCGCATATCGGACCATAACTGTCCGACAAAATGCCCGCTCTTTGTGCGCAAATTGTGTAGAAGTGTGTAATACGAAGGTTGTGGACACTCTAGAGGTCACAATTTTTATCCGATTTTGATGAAACTTAAAACATATCTTTATATCCCGAAGATCTGTGTCCCTTTTGATATTTGCACATTTCAGGCCATAACTTTCTGGATTATTGCCCCTGAGTGTACAAAAAATCCTGTTTGTTTTTAGCTTGTTCTCTTTCCATCTCTTGCAAAATGTGGGCGTATCCTGCCTGGCAGCCGCTGGTTGTTACTGGCTGAAGGAGAGAACAGTAGAAGCTACACAGATGAATTTTCCACTGGTAATTCTTCTGAAGACACTGATAGACTTAATGACATATATTGTCAAAATAATTTGTTGTATTTTCAGATATTGATGAATGTGAAACAGGAAAGAATTTATGTCAACATAACTGTACAAATACTCGTGGAAGTTACACTTGTGACTGTCCTCCTGGCTACAGAACAACTAAAGATGGTTTCGGTTGTACAGGTACAAATCTTAAATACAAAAATCTAAACACAAGGCAAACTTAGTTTTATCAATAAACTTTGAATTGTTATAGCTTTTAGATGCGAAGAAATGATTTTGGTATATACTCAGTAAGAAAAAGACAATCTGTAATAAAATGTGAAGTAGTATTAAAGATATGTTCCATTGAGGTTAATTAGCTCATTTAGTGCAATCCAAGAGTTTATTTTAGCAAAAAATATGAAATTTCTTACAGCCTAGAAAAATAGATTTATATTCTATAAATAATTTCGGAGAATTGTCGAGTCAAACTATTGAATGTCAGTCAGGGTCAGTGTTTTTAAATGGTTGTATTTTGTTGGGTTTAGCCGATTGATGTTTAATCTAACCGATTGGTAAAACAATGAATCCGCCACTAGGGTATCATAAATCAATCTACTTTTGGCTAAATTACAAACGGTTAATTATTACTTGTTAATAAAGACAATCAACTTGCTTGTCGGCTACAACAACAGGCATTAGTGAGAATTGGCCATATTATGTGGTTCATAATCCGAGTAGTGTTAGCATATTTAACAGTGATTTTGATAATCCGGTAAAAAACAAAACAAGCTTGCTGATAATTCATAATAGATTCAGTAAAATACGCCATGTGGCGAATGAAGACGATCTCGGCATGGTTTGTGAATTGCGCATCTTATATGCTCCATCTGTGTGAATTTCAGGTACCGGTAGATATTAAAAAAATAATTGCATCATACATTGATGGATTCACTGACCAGTTGTTATGTAAATTTAAATCTTCATTGAATATAATCCCCTGATAGAACACCGAATACATGGAGAGAGAAACAGTGGATATTTTCCCAACAGATTCTCCAATGCCGAATTCCAATGACATGTGAAATATCGGTTGGAATTAGGTCAATAAACCATTTCTAAATAGCATTTACCGATATGATTTTTTATTTTATACACATGCTGATAGAGGCTTAATTTTAAAAATATACTATTCAAAAAAAGTAGGGGATATTTGATTTTGGGGGCATAATACTAAAATATGCAAATGACTACGAAAAAAGTCACTATAGAACCTAACAGAAGAAACATTTCCAGTTACATGTGACGCCCAAACGCACCAATAGCTACCACATGGAATGCAGGTGATGCTTGGGATCATCATGGGGGTCTAACCCAAGATTTGCACGACTCTGACTTTGAATGTTACAGTCATTGTGGCATTGAATTCCAGGGTGGAAACATCAGTTTAATTGTTTTAGTGACCAGAAAACAAATTTTGATATGCGTCGGCTTACCCAAAATGAAAGGTTACGTGCCCTTGGCATGCTACAGATCGGACGATGAATGTTTCTCAGTCAGTCATAAGCAGGCTATGGTCCAGATACCGTGATACACAATCTGTACAGGACAGACCACGCTCAGGTCGACCAAGGGCGATAACTCAAGCCCAGGATCGATTTATCCGTACCTTGGCCTTGAGAAATCGTGTCATCACAGCAAATCAGATCAGCGCTTGTCTTCAAACAGACACTGGTGTGAGAGTGAGTGGCCAGACGATTCGGAATCGACTGCATAGGGGTCACCTTCGCGCCCGACGTCCTCGCGTGATCCCTTGTTTGAGAGATCATCACATTCAGGCAAGACGTCGTTGGTGTAGGGATCGTCAGCACTGGGATAATCGACGCTGGAGCAATGTGATGTTTTCAGATGAGTCAAGGTTCACTGTTGATTTTTTGGACAGACGTAGGAGGGTGTGGCGTCGTCGAAACGAGCGCTTCCAAGACGTTAACGTCATCAGACATGATCGATTTGGGGGTGGTTCTGTTATGGTGTGGGGAGGCATCACTGTTGCTGGAAGAACGGCTTTACATGTTGTTGCAGGGCGTGTTACAGGCCAGTACTACCGGGACAACATCTTGGCAGTCCATGTTGTGCCGTTCGCACGACGTCATGGCCGCCGTTTCATCTTCCAGGATGACAACGCAAGATGTCACAGGGCCAGGATCGTTACAGGTTACCTCCAACAACAGAACATCACCACATTACCTTGGCCAGCACTGAGTCCCAACCTCTCCCCCATCGAGCATGTCTGGGACATGCTTAGACAGAGGTTACGTCAACGTAAACAACGTCCTGCCAATGTCCAAGAACTTGCTGCTGCGTTGCAACAGGAATGGGACAATCTGGACCAAAATGACCTTAGACGTCTCATTAGGAGTATGCCACGTCGGATCAATGCTTGTTTGGCAAACAGAGGAGGATTTACCCGTTACTGACTTGGTTGTGATGCTGTGGTAACTTTGCTGTTTGACCCCGGGTATCATTTTACCCTTATAATGGTCAGTCTGTGCCTTACTTAGTCTAACGATCATTTGGAATAAATCGATGAATGTGAACTTCATTTCATTTTGTCATTTGTTTCTTCGTCAGTTTCATTAGGTGACTTTAATAACACTTAAAAATCAAATATCCCCTACTTTTTTTGAATAGTATATTATTGATGGCTATATCATAGTCATACAGAATTTTATTTTTTTAGCAATTTCAGTTATGGTTGTCACATGATCATTGTGCCGTTTGTCTATCATCGACGAATGTTAGATTAACACAATAAACACAATTTTGTTTTTTAGACAGTATTATTATGAAGATTTGGAGGATTCGCGCGGATTCCATATATGAGAATTCTCTTAGATTCTCGCAAAAAATGACAAATTTCTAGAGCTGCTCTTTGCCTGTCGCCAAGTGGTGGATGTATTCGTAATTGTGGTATTTTCATGTGGACATATTATGTCGACCCTTTCCATCTAGGTGTTCGTTCACATTTGTTTGTGGCTACTCTACAGGACATAATTTTTGTCAGATTTAGATGAAACTTAAAATATATGTGTATATTCCAAAAATATCGTTTCCTTTTGATATTGGCACCTTTTGGACCATAACTTCATCAATTGTACGAAAAATTGAGTTTTTAGCTTATGGGCCCTCTAGACGTTACAATTTTTTATCCTATTCTGATGAGTGTTTATGAATTCTGGTTAAGTGGATAAAAATCCTCAGATGTGTGCATATGTGTGGGCTAGGGGTGGGCGATATCTGCTATTTTCAACATTGCGATATTTCAGTATTCATATTGTGATATCGCTATATATTGTGGCGATATCCAGTATGCTGTTTGTTTGTAAAATAATCATGATATAGACCATAATTATAGCGTATCGCATTTTTTAATATTTTGTTTTGATTTTTCAGGATGACAGATCGATATATCAATGTAAACAGGGTTACGGGGGGGGGGGGCAGATTTTGCCTGCACATATATGAGAAACAAGTAACACCCATATTAGCGAGTCATAATATTTTAATCTAAGAAATAAAACAAAAGTAAAAACAAAACGAAAACACAAGTAAAAACAAACCCACTTTATGCGGATAAAAAAGGGACAGAATTATGAAATTAGTTTTCATTTCCCATTCTTTGGGAATTTGTTTAAGTCACTATATAACTCCCTTTTTAAAACACCATATAGCTGTCTAAAATTCAAAAACAATTTACAACACTACTTAGTGTTCAAAATATGATCAGATAGTAAACACTAAAAAACTAATTGTATCCACTTGTAAAAACCACATAACCTTAGTTAAATAAGGAAGACAATTAAAACATATCAATGGTCAGTTTGCGACAATGTAAGGTGTAATACAGTTCAACAATTAAGCTCTCAGTTCAATCTAAATTTTTAGCTAAAAAGACCAACATGTTGACTTTTGCTGGTTTGAGGCGTGTTCTCGAACAAGTAACTACGTTTCCGGAAGTACTGAATAAACGTTCTGATGGACAGGATGTTGCAGGAGCACATAAGTATTTTCGGGCGCATAGGGCTAGGTGAGGATAAATATTGCAATTGTCCTTCCACCAACTTAACGGATTATGCTCGAAGTCAATAGATGGGAGAAAAAGGTAACGCTCTAATTCTTTCACGATCTGTTCTTCCGGTGATAACGATATATCTGCTTCAGATGACTCTCTCCTCTTAAACAATTTTCCCAGATTCATCTTTACTTTTTTTCTTAGCACCACGCTACCATCATCTTGGGACATACTTTCATTTGTATCAGATGGCGATGATGTGATAGACAGCGCAGGTGGTATTGTTTTTGTTGATGCGATGAATCTAATAAGTATGTCGTTGATCTCCGGCTGTGTATTTGGTGGGAGATATTTGACTTTATACCTTGGGTCTAGCATTGTTGCTATTTCTAGAAGAATTCTTGATTCTGGGTCTGACTCAGCGGAATATTTTTCATTTAGATATTTTAAAATCTTAGATTTTATTTCTTTGGTCATCTCAGTATCCTCTGGTTCGTTGACTAAAATTTCATTATTTAGCAAATGTAATACTGGTACTACTGATGAAATCGATACGTAATCTTCACCACTTAGGGCATCGGTGAAATCGGCCAAAGGCGCCAAAGCTTTGTTAACAGACTCCATGACACATACAGTCTGCCATTTTGGTATTAATGACAAACTTTTGCGGTCTGAAGAGAGAACTTGCGTGATTGCTTTCTCTTGTTCTAAATATCTTCCTATCATTGATTGAAGAGATCCCCAACGCGTGTCGCAGTTTGATATTAAACAGTGTTCTGGCATATGTAATTTTTGTTGTATTTTCAAAAGTTCACGTTTTTTCTTCCAGGAATAAGAAAATGCTGATACTACTTTTTTACAGGAAGCTACAGCCTTATCGATGCGTTGGTCTTTTAATGCATTGTTTATGGCCAAATTCAATCTGTGTCCAAAGCACTGGAGACGAAGATAATTATTTAACGATGCTGCTTTTGTGATATTGGCTCCATTATCAGTTGTTATGCATACCATGTCAGTTTCTCGAAAGTCCCATGCTGTAATGATCTCCCTCAAACCCAATGCCAAATTTTCAGCAGTATGGTCAGACGGAAAATATAAAGTCTCCAGATGTCTAGACTTGAGTCGCCAATCCTCGTCTATAAAATGCACAGTGAAACCCAAGTAAGGCTCCATATTTCGGCTGCTCCACATATCTGTAGTAGCCCCAAAATAACAAACAGGCCTACGTCTGATCTCCTCTAAAACCTTATCATGTACAGTGTTATATAAAGCAGGGATGGCAATGTCTGAAAAATATTTTCTACCAGGTAAACAATATCTAGGATCAAAGGTTTTCATCATATTTCGGAAACCACTTTTCTCAACAGTAAATATGGGTATCATATCTTTAGCCAAAAAATGAGTAACTGAATTTGTCATGGATATCCACTTCTTAGATTTTTTATCATAAGGAAATGAGTCCTTTAGCGACATCTGAGTGGTGGTGGTGGTGGTGGTATGACAAGAATTGGAAGACAGTTTTCTATTTTTGATACTTTGTTCATTAAAACAACCTTTAACGGTTTCAAGTTTCTGTTTACATGCGGTATATTTCGTGGGGTGGTGAATTTTGAGGTGTTGATACAGGTTCGTTGTATTCCCTCCTTTAGCGCCGATTGTTCGCATACAAAATCGACAAACAATAGTTGTCTGCTGTTCGTCAGATTCGTCATAGCCGAAATACAACCAAACATCGCTTGTACAATTTTTCTTTGGAACAAGTTGTCGTCCGCCTCTAAATAACGGGTTATCGTCAGATTGAGTTGAAACTGACGACGAATTGTCGCCGGCATCTTGTCTAATTCCATGAACTTCGATTTGCTCATCAAATTCTAACGAAGTCATTGCATTTACTTTAGCGAAGAATAATTTAATCTTTACCGGGTATTTCCCCCGCATCAGCTGACTGTAGCTACGAATAACAAGACTTATTTTAAGAAGAAAGGGAATTAACTCTCATTTTCAACACCGCGATATTTTTCGAAGACGATATTAGTGACGATACGATAATGCAGCTATTTTTTTACAAGGCGATATTTTCGTTACTAGAATTTTCATACCGGTTATACCTACAATATCGAAACATCGCCCATCCCTAGTGTGGGCCCAATTTTTTCAAAGGGCTGTCAGGCTGTTATGCATCAAAAATTTGGTCATACTTCTCTTTCCCTATCGCCTTGCTCGTATTTGTACCACAAAATTCCTTCAAACGAATAAAACTCACGAATGATTCATGGTGAATACCGAGTGGATTATCAGTATATGTGAAATAGCTTTATTTAACATCCACTTCCACCGAAGTGATATCGCTGACATTGCATTATTGTGATATTTCTTTACATGTCTGATTGTGGGATATAAAAGATTGGTGAAAATTATATGTATATACAAAACAAGAACGGACATCGCGGTAATCCATTAAAAACCCTGGGCAGACTTAAATCTGTGTGCACAGATTAGTAAACAGAAATCAGACAAAGATTTGCGCATGCGCAGTGGTAATCTAGCCTCGAGGTGAACTCTGTGCCCAACATTTATATCCGAAAGATCACGGTTCCTTACAATAATGATGCGTATTGGACCGTAACTTCCTGAATTACTGCTTGCTCCTGATTTATCCCCCCCCCCCCTCGTTATTAACTTCTAGAGAATATAACGAACAAAATCCACCATTTATTTTGATGAAAGCTTGGCAACAGATTATTTTGTTATTTGTTTGTTTAATACATAATTCATTGATTGAATAAAAATTATTGTAAATAATTAAATCAAGAAATTAAATGTTGTAGAGATATAACAGTTGTTATTTTCCATCTGAGTTATGCCAATTGATAATTCATCTATAATTTTAAAAGTAATGGGAATAAACAGTCCATTCAAAGTTATTATAAGGTGGAAATAACATACTATTAACTTAAAAAGGTCGAACAGTCATTTCTAAACCTCAAATGGTCATTATTTATCATGCAATATCTGTGGTTCTGTTTTGCTATCTCTGGGTACGTAAACACTCATATGAAGGAGCAAACACGCTAAGCTATCCCAATATATGAATTTTAAATTTATAAAATGGTCCCTTGGTATGAATCAAAATAGATAAATGACCTATTATTACATTTCTTTTAATCTTCAGGTTGGGAGTAATATGTCCTATTATTGTGCAAATAGCCGTATGCATCATTTGATTTGGTAAAACAAAGAAGCCTATTGAATTTCAACAATTTTTGTTAATAACTTCTAGAGTTATGGCCCTTGTTTCACTTTGTTAACTTTGTGAATGCTCCAACAACAAAAGTTATTACCCAATCTGCATTAAATTTGTATGCATCATTTGATTTGGTAAAACAAAAAATCCTATTGAATTTCAACAATAATTGTCATTAATAACTTTTAGAGTTATGGCCCTTGTTTCACTTTGTTGAACCATGTGAACATTCTAACGACAAAAGTTTTCGCCCTATCTGTATAACATTTGTATGCATCATTTGATTTGGTAAAACGAAGAAGCCTATTGATTTTCATCAATTTCTGTCAATTACTTTTAGAGTTATGACCATTGTTTTACTTTGTTGAGCCTTGTGAACAAAAAAAGTTATCATACGATCCGTATGAAATTTATATGCATTATGTAGATTAGTAAAACGAAAAGTCTGTCAAATTTCAGCAATTTTTGTAAATGTTAAAGATAACATCATGGGGTCACGAAATACCCCTTGTGTCTGCACATGGGTTAAATTGGCAAACTTAAAATTTGTGCATTTTAGAATTACAATTCATCTCAAATATATGTCATATTGTATTTACAGATATCAATGAATGTTTAGAAAGAAGAGTAAATTGTGGAGAAGAGAATATGTGTTTTAATCAACGTGGATCTCATACATGTATATCAATACCTTGTCCTAAAGACTATGTCAGAGATCCTACAACAGAGTAAGTTATAGTTGTATTTCCATTCATGAAAGCCGACATGCATGAAACATCTTGTCACCATAACATGATTGGATTTTGGAAGATTATTGATTGTACAATTCACCCTTACAATTGTACAATTTACTCTCACAATTAATTCCCACTCACTATCATTGATTGTAAAACTGATTATGCTCAAGCCTATCACAAAAGATTTTATTAAACGTTTCATTACCGGAGGCATGGTCACTGGGCCATCACACACATTATAAATTTTCCATGGGTCAGGGTCCATTCCAGGCATAGAAAAACACAAAGCACAGAAAATGAACACAATGATCCATAGCAAATTGTCATCACTGGATCATTCCACACTACTTAATTTGTCTGGAGAACCTGGTTACTATTTTATTATTAGAAGAGGCTATAATAGAATATGCTAGTGACCAATGGTTACCAGTATCAAAAGGATAAGAAGAATTACCTCTGAGTTGTACAAAGACTATCATAAAAAGGGCATACATTTTGATTTTGTTCTTTTTATTGGTAATTACTATTTTATATATAATTTTTATCTTTCTTTTTTTTTTATCAGTTATTGTGTTTTGGAATGTGTTGATCCAAACATCCCATGTCCCCCTGGTTCAAAATATGCTGACATCATCCAGTTTAAAACCTTGGCTCTTCCGAGTGGAATAAAGGCCTTACAAGATCTGGTCAGATTAACTGCATATAACCAAAACGATGAACATTTACGACAAACTTTGTTTAGAATTCTAGAAAATGATCCGAAAATGGAATTTAGAATTCGATTGGAGAATGGAAAAGGAGTTGTGTATACATTAAAGGCATTAGAAGATAATGAAATTTATAAAATTATGGTGAAAGCTCAATCGTATGACAACAGACGGCGACATATACAATACCAAACAACTTTCATTATACATATATCTGTTTCAGCCTATCCCTACTAAAAAAACCATTCAAATTAAAAAGCCCATGACCTCTTCCATATTTGGGTGAAAAATGATAGTGTCAAATTCATTAGTTTTGATTTGTTAATATGTGAGATGGATTTTATTTTATTTCCACAGATTCAGCCAATTTTTATATATCAACAGTTTTACTAAAAATGAAACTAAGATTTGTAAACAAAGCAACTACTGCTTAGGTTTACTCAGTGGAAATGGAATTTAATTGTGCAGATTTTTGTCTCATCATTTATAGAAACAATACATCAATCAACACAACTCGACACTTGATATGGAACTAAATCAGATTTAGCTCCTTTAAATATTATACATCATTTTTAGACATTACAACTATATATAGCCTTTTATAAGAAGAGCTGGTTTTGAAGTGTAATTTAACAAATACATCAGCTTAATGAAAAAAAGAGTTGATTTGTCTTGGTTATAAAAAAAAGATATCTCACATAATTTAATGTATACACTAGGAATTCATTATAGGTGTGTGACAGCATGGCCCCCACTGGTGTTATAGGGAAATCCTAAGGTATAATATATAAATGTCCAACTATAGTTGGTGTTGTGCATGTAGTCATGTCCTTGTATATAAGGGTTTACCTATATCATGGGTGTAGTCATATTGAACATCAACATCAGTATATGTAAGGGTCTCCCTATAACATGTGTGTAGGCTGTGGACATCAACATCAGTGTTATAGTGATCAGGATGTTGTTATATAGTGAAGTCCTTGCATAGGTATAGTCAGTTGATATCAACATTGGTGTGATAGTGAAGTCTTAGTGTATAATATACATGGGTCTATCAATGGGTGTAATCAGTGGACTGGACATCCACATGAGTGTTGGGATGTCCTACTGTATAGTAATATATAAGGGTCTCACTATAATATGCGTGTAGTCGGTGGACACCTCCATCAGTGTGGTCATGGGTGTATTCAGTGTACACCAACATCAGTGTTATATATATGTACTTACATCATCTTTTGGTTTATTTGTACATTTGTTTTATATTTGAATACAGTTATTATATTATGTACATCAAATTTGTTTAAAGTCAGAATTAGAGTGTAAAACGTCTTGTTGGCTATATTAGATAGTGATTATTCTGGCTGGTGGGATTTCTTTTACTATTAATGAAAGCAAGTAGATGATATTTCAATTTAACTCTTAGTAAATTATGTTGTATTTGATATTGGATGTGTTTATGGTAAGCTTCCCAAGACAATTTGGAATGTCCAATCACTATTCTGTTCATACCACATCAGGATTATGATTTCATCAATTCGGTACATTCTAGACTGACAAGCAAGCACACACCCTTTTTATACGCCCACATTTTCATGTGGACGTATATTGTCGTCGCCCCTGTCCGTCCGTCCACAATTGTTTGTGGACACTCTACAGGTCACAACTTGAAATATAGGTTTATCACCCTAAGATCTCGGTTCCTTTCGATATTGGCTTGTATAGGATCGTAACTTCATGGATTATGGCCCCTGATTGTATGAAAAATCGCGTTTTTAGCTTGTGAACCCTATAGAGGTCATAATTTTTACCCGATTTAAAAAACGTTTTAATATATCACCGCTACAGACTAAGGATGGTTGAGTTCGAATTTCGTAAAAATTGGACCAAAACTGACAGACAAAATGGCCGCCCCTCGTACTGAAATAGCTAAGAATATGGTATATCAATGTTGTGGACCCTCTAGAGGTCACAATTTTCTTCTGATTTTGATGAAACTTGAAATGTAAGTTTATAACCCAAATATCTCGGTTCCTTTTGATATTTGGTGCATATCGGATAGTAACTTCCTGAATTATTGCCCCTGAATGTACGAAAAATCACTTTTTTAGCTTGTGGACCCTATAGAGGTCATAATTTTTATCCGATTTAAAAAATACGTTTTAGTATATCACCGTTACACTCAAAGGATGGTTGAGTTCGAATTTCGTAAAAAATGGACCAAAACTGACAGATAAAATGGCCACCCCTCGTACTCAAATAGCGTAAAAATATGGTATATCAATGTTGTGGAACCTCTAGAGGTCACAATTTTCTTCTGATTTTGATGAAACTTAAAATGTAAGTTTATAACACAAAGATCTTGGTTCCTTTCGATATTCGCACATATTGGATTGTAACTTCCTGAATTGTGGCCCCTGATTGTACGGAAAAATTAGTGTAAACATCTGGTATATCAAAGTTGTAGACCCTCTAGAGGTCACAATTTTGATCTTATTTTGATGAAACTCGAAATGCATGTTTATAACCCAAGGATCTTGGTTCCTTTCGATATTCGGGCATACTGGATAGTAACTTCCTGAATTATGGCCCCTGATTGTATGAAGAATCATGTTTTTAGCTTGTGGTCCCCTCTTATCCAATTATTATCCAATTTAAAAAAAACGTTCGAATATATCACTGATATACCATAATGTTTATTGACTTTGAATTTTGTGAAAATCGGGCCAAAACTGCCGGACAAAATGGCCGCCCCTCGTTCGCAAATAGTGTATAGCATCTGGTATATCAAGCTTGTGGACCCACTAGAGGTCACAATTTTGATCCGATTTTGATGAGAGTTGCAATACATGTTTATAACCCAAAGATCTTTGTTCCTTTTGATATTTACGCGTATCGGATCGTAAAGTCCTGAATTATGGCCCTTGAATGTACCAAAAATCACGTTTTTAGCTTGCCGTCCATGTAGAGGTCACAATTTTTATCCAATTTAAAAAAAACATGTGAATATAACACCATTACACACTAAGATCTTGGTTCCTTTTGATAATCGCGTATATCCGAACATAACTTCCTGGATTATGCCTGATTGTTCGAAAAATCGCATTTTTAGATTGCGGATTCGCTAGAGGTCACAATTTTTTTTTCCAATTTTAAAAACCGTTAAAATATTTCACCATTCCACCATAATGAAGGTTGAATTCGAATTTCGGGGAAATGAAACTGCCCGACAAATTGGCTGCTCTTTGTACACAAATTGTGTAAAAGTATGCAATACGAAGGTTTTGGACCCTCTAGAGGTCACAATTTTTATCCGATTCAGATGAAACCTAAAACATATCTTTATATCCCAAAGATCTCAGTCCCTTTTGATATTTACGCATTTCAGACCATAACTTTCTCGATTATTGCCCCTGATTGTACAAAAAATCCTGTTTGTTTTTAGCTTGTTTTCTATCCATGTCTTGCAAAATGTGGGTGTATACTGCCTGGCAGCCGATGGTTTTTCCGAGTTAGCGAAATTTTCATTGATAATTAAGCTTGCACTTATTTATTCAAGAGGGAATTAGGCACACTGCACAGATGTAGTGTAAGCAGAATCATGATGTAATCATGGGTTTATCCAGCTGTGAAGAGTTGCTAAAAAAAAATTGGGTCTATAAGATGTTTCTGTTATACAACAATTCTATGTTTACCCATGATTTATAGTCACCCACAATTCTTGTTATTATTCGATTAGGGAATTCATTTACAGATCATTCAATTCCCAACAAGTATATTATGAGTAAAATTAGCCCAATACCAGTCCTAGTACTGCTTTTCATTTGGAGCTTTATATTGTATGACATAGTTATTTTTTATTTCAAATTAAATTTAATAAGTAAAAAGTTTGTTCAGATAAATCTCACACACCAATATTGAATTATTATTAAGGCTTGTCGTTCTAGTCTTTGTTGGATTATCTAGTCCAATTTAATTTGTAAATTAAATATACACACACATATATTTAAACACCATTGAAGGTTTTTTTTATGTTTTATATTCACATAAGATAAATTTATAATTAATGTTAACATAGTTATATTTTATTCATTATTTCTTCTTGTAAGATTTATCTTATAGAATCCATCAAGATATATATATACACCATGTCCTATAATAGTCAAGGCAATTTTAACTCGATTTCACACCATTCCAGGGGATCACAGTGGCTTAGTGGGTAAGACGCTGGCTCGCTAGCCTGGAGGTCGGGTGTTCAATCCCTGCATTGGCTGGGAAAGTCCGTCCAGTGGGTAAGACGCTGGCTCGCTAGCCTGGAGGTCGTGTGTTCAATCCCTGCATTGGCTGGGAAAGTCCATCCAGATTTTCCGACGTGGTTCTTCATGTCAGTGGTGCAGGACAGAGGGCCTGACAAGGACAGCTGTCTAACATTCAGATGGGACGAAATACCGAGGTCCCGTGTACACATTGGCATGCACGTAAAAGATCCCTTGACAGTTGGAATTTGATATAAGAGTAGGCCGTAGTGCCGCTGTCCGGGCAAAATTTCTCTCATAGCACAATGTATAGCGTATGCCCGTCTTCATTACCCTAGTTCGGAGCAGAACAGTAGGACGTTAGGAGAGGGCTAACTGGCAAAAATGTTCCAGTCGCAATTTTTTTTTAATTCATTTAGATAAATAAATAAAACTATGACAAATTTCATTGATTCTGAATATTATGGAAATATTAATCCGGCTGTGAAATCTATTTTTTGAAGTCATCCGTGGATATTAGGGTCTGATTGAGCTTGTATGGGACCCTTACATCATCATGAAAAACGGGCATATTTGGTACTACATTGAGTGCGATGTAATTATAGTATCTCTGGATTTTGTTGGAACAAGGGAAGGGCAGCAGAAAAAGGGGGCACAGTGTTATCATTAGGGTGGGCATTCCTTGAGTATTTAAGGTAACTCTGTCGAAATTCGAGGGCACAATTTGGAAGGGAGGGCACATAGCCACCCAGGCTCCCTCCCCTATACCAAGGTAGGAAATTTCATCGGATTTGAGCGTTATGTTTGACTACTTGCCCTGCATGACTCTGCAATGAGATTTTTTCCTTAGGTTACACAGAGTGATGAACAATTTCAATGCTAGATGCTTGATCATATTTCTATTGGTGATGTTAAAACAAAACCAACTGAATCTGTAAAGAATTTAGGAGTCTTATTTGACAGTAACTTTCAATTCAACACTCATATTAAATTGACATGTAAGAAAATAAATTTAAAATTTCCATTTATATAATATTGGAAAACCACCTCCATTTATTGACATCGACACTGCTAAAATGTTGGTTAATGCCTTTGTTTTATCCAACTTGGATTACTGTAACTCTCTTCTGTTCAATTTCCCTACTTTGCAAATCAACAAACTACAAAAGCTCCAAAACCGAGCAGCTCGGATCGTAACTGAAACAAGACCACGTGAACATATTTCTCCTGTGCTTAAACAGCTAAACTGCCACCCGGTTAGAGAAAGGATAATATTTAAGATAAATGTTATTGCATATAATACACTGAATAATATGGACTCTCTTAAATATCTTCAAGAAATTATTACACCCTACACTCCCTCGTGTTCACTTCGCTCACAGAATGAGAACCTTCTCGTATATGTCCTCCAGTGAAAAATAAAAGTGGTGAGAGAACTTTCGCCCATAGTGGCCCAACATTATGAAATAGGCTATCAAAAAAGACTAAAGACTCTAAAAACATGATAGCTTTTAAGAAATCTCTTAAGACTGAACTCTTTAAATCTGTTGTTTATGGTAATTTTAAAAGTTCGGACATTTATTCTGTTCATTCCTTCAATGTGTTTAAATGTTTATCGTGTTGTGGTTATTTTCATCTTTTAAAGATATCTTAGAGCGCTCTTGGACAACCAGTTTGTTGGATATTCAGCGCTTTATAAATAGATTATTATAAATATGTTAGATGTGCAAGTAATTTATGAGTGTCATCTATTTAGGGACACCAGCCTCAATGATGATTTGTAAAATACAGCTAGATTAATGTCCAGTTGTCAATTGTCCTGTCTTGGCATGTTCAAGCAATAGGTGTTGTAACATACAGCGGCCACCGATTATATCTGTTGTAATGGACCATCTGCTAGTCTTTCCAACAGACCATGCAAGATACATCGGTCCGCAAAAATGAATTTTGGTACTACCGACCGTCTAGACCATGACACTATGGCAGTATATTAGACTCAAATTTCAAACATGCTATCATCTAATTTCTAACTTCTATTCATGTAATTTCTAACTTCTATTCATGTAATTTCTAACTTCTATTCGTGTAGGCTAATTTCTAAATTAAGACAATGCATAATCCAACTTCCTTTTTTGTTCAGTGTAAATTTTAATTCTGTTTCATCTTATTTCTATTATTAAGACGAAAAATGTCTACTTTGTTGTCGCTTTACATGTTAAGCATGAAAGTCAAACAAATTTAGAATTTGATACTTCTACTTAGCAACCATCATTATGACGTCGTTTGGTGTCGCCGCCGTGTGATCGGGACCATTATGTTGATACCAACGACTCGCTCTTCTTCAGGTTGAATGGTTTGGCGGAGTGTTGAACTTGAAAACAACATTGAACGTGACATGGTTTGCAAGAAGAACGCTGGAAATTAATTTATTGTACTCTACATCCCCGAAAACCTATTGAAAGACATATTGGAACACATGTCTACAGCATGTGACAACAAATTTATTAAAAAAGTCCATTTTGGGCCAACATCATGGCGTCCATATTGGATCCAAGATGGTCGCAATTGCTCGAAAAGTGTTGGAGTATAATTGTTTGAACTCGGCATACTCGAAAACATGAAAAGACATATTGACCACACATCTGACAACAAAATTTCCAAAAAATCCATTTTTGACCAAAATGGGGGCCATGTTGGATCCAAGATGGCCGCCATTGCTCGACACACGTTGGAGTATAATTTTTTGAACTCGGCATACTCCAAAACCTATTAAAAGATATATTGGAACACATATCTGGTTCATTCGCGGACAAAACTCTCAAAAAATACATTTTTGGCTGCCAATTTGAAAAATGCCAATTACCTGAGCGCAAAAATCGAGAAAGAACAAAAATTTTGCCAAAATCGTTTTTTTCAATCAATTTCGCCTAAGAAACACCGGTGCAGACTTTTTTTGTAATTTTGTCCCATCCCTAGTATAATAAATAGTAGTCTTGCCAAAAAGCATATTGGTATAAAATAATTATTCAAATCTAAAGGTCACATTACTTTCTTTTGATTTTTTGTTGCCATCTTTATTTCTCATAACTGTCTGGGATAATTCATTTATATCTACGATCCTCAAGATCAAGATGATATCTGATTTTGTTTGTTTTTGTTTTATTGTTTTGAACTACTATGTAAAGAACACTTTTCAACTCAGATTTTTGTCAAATTTTAATAAGGAAAATAATTAATGGCCTTCTGTTGCATTGCGTCTTCAAATAATCAAAAATGAAAAGAAAACACACTCACAAACATAAGTAAAATATAATAAACATTTCATAAAAACACAACAAATCAAATTAAAACATCACAATCGAATCAAATAAAATTAAAATGTCATGAAATAAATCTGTCTACCATAAAATATTCAATCATAAAAAAAAAAGAAACATGATGAAAGTTGATCAATCTGACAAGAATAGTTTGCCAGGCAACAACAGCAGCTAAATTGTCTAAGCGGCCGACAAGGGTTGTCGCACATTTATTCTTTTGTAGATAATTGGGGACATTTATTTACAAGACAATTTCATACAGATCAGATTATAATTTTTGTCGTTTGTGGGTTCACAAGGTTCTACAAACTGAAATAAGGGCCTTAACTCTGGAAGTAATTGCTAACATTCAATAGGATTCTTGATTTCACTAATTTAAATAATGCATATAAATTTCATACAGATCGGATGATAACTTTCATCATTTGAGCATTCACAAGGTTCGAAAGGGCCATAATTTTACAAGTAATTATTTGAAAATGCTGAAATTCAATACGATTCTTCATTTCACTAATTTAAATGATGCATATAAATTTTGTACAGATCAGATGATAACTTTCCTTCGAATGTTCACAAGGTTCAGCAAAGTTAAACAAGGTCCTCTTGTCGTAATTATTGGAAATTGTTGAGGAGTCTCTGTGTCACTAATTTAAATGATCTGTGTAAATTTCATACAGATCGGATGATAACTATTGTCATTAGAGCATCAGGCACAACAAAGTGAAACAAGGGCCATAACTTCACAAGAAATTAACGGAAATTGCTGAAATTCAATGTGATTCTTTGCTTTACTAATCTAAATGATGCATATAAATTTCATACAGATAGGATAACTTTTGTTGTTGGAGCGTTCACAAGGTTCAATAAAGTGAAACAAGGACAATAACAAAATGAAACAAGGGCCATAACTCTAGACTTAATTAACAGTAAGCAAGAGGCTTCTTCGCTTCACTAATTTAAATGATGCACATAAATTCCATACAGATTGGATGATAACTTTTGTTGTTAGAGCATTCACAAGGTTCAACAAAGTGAAACAAGGGCCATAACTCTAGACGTAATTAAAGGACATTGCTGAAATTCAATAGGCTTTTTCGTTTCACTAATTTAAATGATGCATATAAATTCCATACTGATCGGATGATAACTTTTGTCGTTGGAGCGTTCACAAGGTTAAACAAAGTGAAACAAGGGCCATAACTCTAGAGTAATTTACAGAAATTGCTGAAATTCAATAGGCTTCTTTGTGTCACTAATTTAAACTCTTGCATATAAATTTCATACAGATCAGATGATACCTTTTGTGAGCATTCACAAGGATCAACAAAGTGAAACAAGGGCCATAACTCCAGAAGAAATTAACGAAAATTATTGAAATTAAATAGACTTCTTCATCTCACTAATGTAAACAACATATATCAATTTCAAAACAATCAGATGATAAATGTAGAGTGTTCATAAGAAATTGTAGACGATGGACAGGCGTAGGTACGGACGGGGGCGACAGCAATATACGACCACATTTCCAATGTGGGCGTATAAAAACTTGTAGAAATATGCGAATGTATGTATCTAAAAAGCTTTGGCATGATAAATAATAATAATATTTTAAAACTGAATTTAGTGATAAAGTATAACAAATACTTATGGTTATATATTTGACTAGATATTTGTAACTTTTGTCCACTGTCACCCATGAATGATAATAGTATAAAATGAAGTCACATGTAGCGAGGAATAAAATATCAGCCTACACCAGACCAGTGAAATGACATAGAAATAATCATCAAGGTTGGATAACTTTCTCAACATCATATCATTTCATAATGTTAATGCATTTTAATACTTTATTCATATGCGTCTCCACTCCAAGGCTACACTTCTATGTATTTTAGTTGTTGAATATTTGATCTTAAATCTTGTCAAATGCTGACAGATGGCTCGACAGTATGATATAATGAAGATGAGAATATTATATATTGGCTGTATCATGAACTTTTGGAAACGTGGAATTTAACATAAAATAAGAGCGTTATAAAATATACAATAAACCAAACTGATGAGGATTACTTCTTACAAAAGTGTATGGTTGTTTGGCTGGATGTAAATAAAAGAAGATTTGACTGAAGGGAGACAATCAAAGTATTATTTAATGAATATAAATATGTATAATAATAAATAGCAGTGATATTGGGGGCATGTCTTGATCTCCATTTTAAGAAAATTCAAAAACACTTTGTTTTTATTGGTTAATATATATAAATTTTTTTTACTAGTATCTATTATTGTTTTATGGTGATCACTACCAGGAAAATAACAACTAAGCAGGGTATGCTTACTCTTTCACGAACACCTTCATGTGGCAATTATACTGCCTTGTACTTTTGACCACTGGCAATTATTGATTGTAATGTTATATCTGATTCTTCATGAGAAAATAAAGCTCCTGGTTTTCAAAACAAATTAACCTATTTTGATCATGTCTGTTCAATCAGAAAACTTTGATTTCGATTTTGAGAAATAAAACATGCCACAAGTCTTTGGTGAAGTGCAGTTATAGTGATAAAAGTGATCTTCCCTTATAAGTTATATTATAGCTAATTTTCTAAATAAATTAGCTAATAAAAAAGTGAGTTATGTAAGAAATGAAACACCTAGAGAAATAGATAAGGTACAAATTATGGTTTCTAAGTATTAATTAAGTGGAAATTTTACACTGTTTGAAAATCAAACAACCACTTTGATTTAGGTCAAAAATAAAAGATTTGATTTGTGTAAACTTGAAGTTTTTGTGCAAAAAGTCTTCGTCCACAGATTAAACCAACATTTGAGATACATATAACCTACCACATGTTTAACATTAACAGTATTGTCTTCACAAACCAAGATTGAATTATAGTAATATAACGTAATATACGATAGATCACGCCAAATTAAATTTTTATCTTTACCTAAATCAATGGAATTCACACAGCTAATAATTTCTATTGTACTTATCAAGAAAAAAACAGATCACATAGAAAGACTTGTAACTTAAGGAAATCTTGAAAAATGCAAAAATATATGGAAGATGTGATGTAAAATACCCATGGAAGGTGTGGATATAACGTACCTGATCTAAAATTGTGTTGAAAGTAAAACCATGAGAATTATATGTACACAAGATTAAAATTGTTAGGTTGACTAATCATACTAAAATTTTGTAAGATTGTTTTCAATAAAAAAAAAAAAAGGGTGGGGGTAGGTGGGAATTCTCCAAACCTCGATCACGAGAAGCTTAGGAAAAGCAAAAAGCACAAGTTATTTCTTGAGGAACCCATATTTCGTCTCCCATAGAGTTCAGTTATATTATCCATGGAATCCGTGGAGTCACTCATTTTGTATTGCACAATAAGCACATTATTTAAACATGGCGTCCGATTGTCACAATATTGAGTCACTATCTCACCAAGCAATAGTTCTTTATTATATGTAAACATAGTTACACTCATTTTTTAAAACTGTCCGCTATATTTTGTTTGTCACTCATCTGAATAATCTTTTCCCTGAAAAACAAAAACAGAATTATTCATAGACACAAAGAATATTTCATAAGAAGACAGCTGGTGTATCTTGCACTTGCATTAATTTTAACAGAAATCTTGTTATTTCTTCCTCTCAGGGGTGGATCCAGAATTTGTGCAGGAGGGGGTTGCCATGTTCCTGCTAAGGAAATTTGACTGTTGACAATGCATACATACACACCGAGCTTTTTAAAGAGAGAAATCCAATTTCTATAATGAACAAGCCAACAGTGAGGCTGATGTCCCCCGCCGAAATAGGAAAATAATTAGAGGACACATATAAATTTATCACAAATTATCTTTTACAAAGTATTGAACAATCAAACAGTATACTTATAGTCTAACAATCAAAGTAGGAGAGTTATTGTTTTCCAAAGTCTCGACCAATCAAATTGCGTATCGCTCTGCTTACCCTGAGCAGAAAATGCTCATTATCAAACTTAGTCAAGGTATTACTATAATGAAACTATACACCAAGTTTCATCAATCTCACTTAATTAGAACTAAAGTTATCGTGTCCCAAAGCATCAACCAATCAAATTGCTTATCTCTGCTTACCCTAAGCGGAAAATGCTCATCTTCGAACTCCATCAAGGCATTGACCTAATCAACACATACACCAAGTTTGAACATTCTAGCTCAATTAGGAAGAGAGTTATCGTGCCCCAAAGTATCAACCAATCAAATTGCTTATCTCTGCTTACCCTAAGCGGAAAATGCTCATCTTCGAACTCCATCAAGGCATTGACCTAATAAACACATACACCAAGTTTGAACATTCTAGCTCAATTAAAAGTTATCGTGTCCCAAAGCATCAACCAATCAAATTGCTTATCTCTGCTTACCCTAAGCGGAAAATGCTCATCTTCGAACTCCATCAAGGCATTGACCTAATCAACACATACACCAAGTTTGAACATTCTAGCTCAATTAGGAAGAGAGTTATCGTGCCCCAAAGTATCAACCAATCAAATTGCTTATCTCTGCTTACCCTAAGCGGAAAATGCTCATCTTCGAACTCCATCAAGGCATTGACCTAATAAACACATACACCAAGTTTGAACATTCTAGCTCAATTAAAAGTTATCGTGTCCCAAAGCATCAACCAATCAAATTGCTTATCTCTGCTTACCCTAAGCGGAAAATGCTCATCTTCGAACTCCATCAAGGCATTGACCTAATCAACACATACACCAAGTTTGAACATTCTAGCCCAATTAGGAAGAGAGTTATCGTGTCCCAAAGCATCAACCAATCAAATTGCTTATCTCTGCTTACCCTAAGCGGAAAATGCTCATCTTCGAACTCCATCAAGGCATTTACCTAATAAACACATACACCAAGTTTGAACATTCTAGCTCAATTAGGATGAGAGTTATTGTGTCCCAAAAAGTGTGACGGACAGACAGACGGACAGACAGACAGACAGATGGACAGACAGACGGACAGACAGACGGACGAACCCATTTTAATAGTCCCCTGCTTTCTTCGAAAGGCGGGGGACAATTAATAGGATCACATTGTGATTCAATTTCATTGATGCAAAGCTGAGCAGGAGGAATGGGAACCCCCCACCCCAAGCCCCCTTCTCGATTCACCCCTGCCTCTTTTACTGCCATAATTCTATATCCCCACGATCAGATCTAAATGTTAAAGCCACCTGCAGATTTCGTCTAGGTCACGAGATATAAACAGGGTTAGGTCACGTGATTGTTGCAGAGGATTGTGAGTTAGGGTTATTGTTAGCGCTAGCCCTGTTTACATCTCGTGACCTTGACGAAATCTGCAGGGTTAGGGCAAGAGATTGTTGCCGAGGATTGTGGATTAGGGTTAGTGTTAGCGCTAGCCTTGTTTACATCTCATGACCTTGATGGAATCTTCAGGTTGGTCAAATTCCAAAGGTCAAGTGTTCTATAAACCACACAACAATGTGTACATGGGTGGACCATAGTGTTTTGTACTATCCGCATGACTTGGCAACTACTCTCATGTCAGTCTCCCAGGCTCTACCCCCTGGAACTTGGTTTGAAAATTCTAAAGTTGAATGCAGGACATGATTCTCATCAAAAGGTACAGTTTCTTACCCCTCAATTTGTAAAAAATTTGTACAATTTGTAAAAAATGGACAAACAAAACATCTAATTTCATACGCAATCATAAATTCAACACCACAATGTGATTATATATTCAATTCATGTCAAATCAAAAATTTGATATCGGGCGAAGACCTCCAAAGTCCTAATATCGCCTCTAAATCTATATTTATGACATTTGTTTTAAAATTAGAATTAAATAGCATACCTGTTCAATTCTTTCATCTAGCATACGAAAAAACTCCAACTGACTGCCAGTTATTCTAAAATATAATAAATACTCTACTTCTTAAAATAATAAATTTTACAAATACTGCTGAAGAGGCGAACCAATGCTTCTATAGTTGGGTAACAAAGAGTGTTTGGAAGACTTTAATAGAAAACAATATGAAATCCTTTTATGTATGTATTTTCACATATGACACCCAAGGTAGAGTGGAGGTCAATAAATCTTCTAAGGTAAGGTGGAAGATGTAAAAACTTCCATCGTATGGTGATGGTCAGAAAAATGAAATGAAATGAAATGAAATGGAGTTTAACGTCCTACTGTTCTGCTCCTAACCTGGGCTAATGAAGACGGGCATACACCATACAGTGTGCTATGAGGGTAAGGTAGAGGTCAGAAAAACTTCTAAATTCAAGGTATGGTGGAGGTCGCGAAAACTCATTATGAATCCGGTGTAGCAGTATAAATAACAAAAAGATATAAATTTTAAACACTAAAATTAGTATAAACAAGGGGTTGGGATACAAGATACACCAGCATTTTCAAAGCGAGGGCTCATCCTCTAATTGTCCCAATGCTTCACATCGAATTTGAAATAAAACTGATCATGTTCACAATTTTTTCCTAAAAGGGGTTAACTTCGGAACTGAATATCATAGAATGCTCAATATCAATAGGGTTTGTCCTCTCATAACCCCAATGCTTCACACCAAATGCGAAATAATTCCATTAAAAACTGTAGCATTTATCTTGTTCATTAGTTCTTCTCATGACCCCTAAGATTCACATAAATATGAAATAAATACGTTGAAAAATTGTCAGATATATGCCAGAATTGAAACCATCCAAGATCTTTGGGATATCATAATATATTTTTAGTTTCATCAAAATCAGCAAAAACATTGTCTAAACAAAATAATGTAGACTATAAAAATCCAAACCAAATTAATAATTATCTAAGATTTTCTTTAATTCACCTAATGGGGCACAATGTATAACTTTAAAAATCTTCTCTAAAAGTTGGATTGCATTTTTTTGGTCTGGTTGGATTTTAATGTGATTTTAATGGTACTAAACTTTACTATATTTCACTTCTTATAATAATGTGATTATCAGACAGAATTTGACAGAGGACTGTTTATCAGCATGATAAATACAAAGTTTGGCAACCAAACAAATTTTCTGTTTCTTACTGTATACAGCTTAAGTATTAAATCTCGTAAATACCACATAAAATAATCACACTGTTGCACTTATAACATGAAATGAGTTGTGTGAAAAATATGAAATGATGTTGAATAGTTTAATTAACTTAAAGAGTACATCAAGTGACCAAACATAATTTTCTGTACTTGTAGCATGGTTACGATATGCACTTTACTGCAAGTTTGACATATTACCATTTCAGTATTAAACACCCGAAAACACTTTTCAATTTTTCAACAACAGTCTTAAGCCAGTTGATTGGCCGGTGATGTCACAGGGACCACACATACAATATACACTATTATGATCTTATCACTATCCATACACACCACCAGACTAGTGTGTATTGACGGTTCAATTAACATACTGACTGACCTAATCATTACCTCATTATAATTATCTGCTCAAAAACTTCTTTAATTGCAACATTGTCTAGATGTAGTGTCGGAAGAAATGGATTCTTTTTATTTGCTAGTGCTAGTGTTTCAGTTTGCAGTGGGTTTAAAGATACAAGCCAAGTCTTAGCCCAAAGATTTATTCTCTCTAGATCACCATTTAAGACTTCCACACATTCGGTTGGGTCAGTTATTTTTATATATAAACTAGTGTCATCAGCAAATAATCTAATGTTTTATTTAATGATGTTTTCTATATCGTAGATGTTACTTTGTATATAATGAAAAGTAATGGACCGAGAACGGAGCCCAATGGAACACCAGCAGGGACCGTTAATGCCTCAGAGGAGGCTCAGTTGACAATAACCTGTGGTCTGTTAAGACAAGCAGTCTCTGAACCATTCTAACAAGTCTCCTCTGATCCCAACGGCCCCAAGCTTATGGCAAAAGCTTTACTGATGTCACAGAAAACCGTTCTTGTATATCGACCGTGGTCAATATCTTGACAGAAGAAGTGCATAAGATCTATTAGTTGATAAGTAGTTGAGTCTCCATGCAAAATTAGTAATAATATTGTGATCCTTAACCCTTTCAATGCTAGACGTAAATCCACTGCCTGTGCTAGACCCTTTTTTGAGGAAAAAAGGGAGGTTGGAACTGAATGCCAAGCAGTACTTATGGAAGCTTTTATGAAAAATCTTTTTGTCTGTTGGGATGGGCATGAGGTTGGGCTAAGAGGAAAAAATAGAATTTTGGAAATTTGCATAATAATGTAGTCACGTGACGTCATGGCGGCCATTTTGGATTTCTCATTTCTCACTAAAGCTAACACGAAAACGAATTTTTCTCCATGAAATACTTAAAAGATATTGTTTTTTTCACTGGATTTTGATAAAGATATATAAAATGAACAAAAATATCAATAGCAGCCATGAGCAATGCCGCCACGAACACGCGCATCACGTCTCCCGCTGCCATGACCACGTGCGGATTGCAATACCTTGTTTTTACTTTCACTTTCATCCCCAAGTCCCATATCATTATCAATATAGTCAGTCAATAGATCTACACGTTCGGGACTCAGGAATTGCCTACGTCTTTTACGATCCAGCAGGCCAGCATTATTATCAACATCAGAATTATTGTCAGAATCTACTGCAGACACAGGGCTATCGTGTTCACATTGGGCTTGTTCATCATGCACGGGAGACATAGCTAGCCATGGGCACTTCATAATACCAATCACTGTCCTGACTACTATCATTATCAAGTAACTGGAAACGAATTATGTGTATCACCCGCCTCGAAATTGTCCACGTGTTGGTCAGCAAGACGTCATTCACGACTTCGCCGAGAGTGCATCATCTATGTTGTCACTATGCACTCCGCCATTTTATGGTTTGCCGCTTTGAAACACGTGGAAATATGTTCTAGTGTATAGAAAATACAATAGATGGCACTTGCAGTTACGGTACTAATTTTAGCGAGGGCTTTACTGAGTACACGGTAATACCGGGTACGCGCATTTTACCGACATTTTATAATACCCGGTACTACCGGGTATACGCAGTGAAAGGGTTAAAGAAGTTAAATACATGTTTGTAGATGCATTTTAAAAAATTTTGATTATGATGTTCAATAAAGAAACTGGTCTGTAATTTCCACATAGTGATGGGTCACCTTTTTTTATGAATTACCGTCACATTTGCTGATGTCCAAATATTAGAAACGGCTTTTAGCTCAAGAGAAAGATTAAAGATGTTACATGAAGTTTTGCTAATTTCGAAGCCGGTGGATTTTAGGAATTTTCCACTGATATTATCTGTGCCTGTAGCTTTTGAAGTATCAATAATGGAAATCATGTCTTCAACCTCTTTAGGTGTTAATTTTAGGTGACAAAGTGAAAAAGGATTTTGTTCGGGTTCAGGAAGTTGTGCATTTGTGTAGTAAAGCTGCAATTGGTTAATAAAAGAGAGAGAGAGAGAAATGGGGTATAAAGTCCACTCGACACAAACTAGGTCATTTCGGGACTAACACATGGTTCAATTTTATTTCCATAATTTGTGCGTAGGGGTCTTTAGCAGTGGGAGGAAACCGGAGGACCTGGAGAAAACCCACGAGATTGGACAGGCGACCCTACTCCTTGTCACATACAACCGGGGAATCGAAACCCTGTCAGTTGACTCAATGACAGACCATATGATACAGCGCGCGCACGTGCTAACCATTCGGCCATCCAACCCCCCAATTGGTTAATAAAGTATTCGTTTAAACAATTAGCTGTCCTTAAACAATTAGCTGTCCTTCGGATTAAAATATGGAACCCCATTATTCATAAGAGGCGGAATATCCCCCTTTTCAGATTTTTGACTCTTCACAAACGAGTTGACTATATGCCACCAATAATTTTTGCCAAAATTTTGATTATCATTTATTTTCTGGTCTAATTTTTCATAATATTCTTTTTTGCATTTTCTAATTAGGCCAATATAATCATTCCTAATATTTCTAAATTAGTTTGAATATGTTTTTAGTCCAAATATATCATCAAATCACACTTTTTGTACATGGGAAGGCATCTTTAACTTAAATTTGTAAGATATTAACTTAAACTTTTAAGTTAATAACATATTAACATGAATTTTCAAGATACTAACCTGAATTTTCAAGATACTAACTTGAATTATCAAGATTCTAACTTGAATTTCTAAGACACTAATTTGAATTTTCAAGATACTAACTTACATTTTCAAGCTATTTACTTGAAGTGAAAGGCTTCCGTGGTCTTTCATGTGAAAAATAGATAATAATATTTGAACTAAAATTCTCCTTTATTGAACATCTGTTTATGAAACATTGATATTGAAACTCTTAACAACAATTCACCAATCTGAATGTTAAAAAGATTTTCATAACAAGAAGAGTTTAACTATTATGTATGTAGGATTGTCCATAACCAGCAGCCATTTCCTGTAGTATGCAAAGTTCATACATGGGGACCTAGTATAATAACAAAGCCTAGTCTTTCATAATGAGTTCTTTTGCACACTTTAGAAAATGGCAGATCACTAACTTTATTCACAACTATGCCTTGGTCCACTGGGGAAAAATCATTGGCGATATGGAAATAAACAAATTTTTTCCCCGATGTTTTTGCCCCCCAAAAATCGGAGTAGTCCTATGAAAAATGGAACTTATTATGCATCGGGGATGGTCTGGTGAATGTTCACTGATGGTTCGGCTATGGTCATAAATATTCTAGGAAAGTCCCCCAAGCAGTTGCCTGGAATCATCGGGGATGATTCCCAATAATCAGAAAGGCTCTGGGGTATCTTTGCCGATAATCAACATCATCGGGTGAATATTGATGTTGGGAGATCTCAGTCTGTAGCGTGGTGGCATATCGGCGGAACTTATGCTTAGGTCCCACTAGGGATTTTTTTGCCTCAGTGATGTACTACAGATGGAAATCATATGTACCCCAGAAGGTTCCCCAGTGTCCTGAGGGAGCTTCGGGGTCGTCATGAGCATTGTGGAATCATCTGGAGTCCTTGGGAGAACTGCGAAAAACTTCCCTGGAGCTTTTACGAAATATTCCCCCCAAGACATCCCTGATTCAAATATATATCGCGGAAGCTCCTGGGAAGCATCCCCAGAGTTTCCCTGTGGATCTGGAAAGCTCCGGAGATTCCTCCCAGGCCTGTTTTCCTTGACAATGCAATCACTGAAATTTTTTGCAGTTCTCTCGAGGCCTTCCGATGGTTCCACATGGCTCATGATTCTCCAGGAGCTTCCCTGGGTCACTGGGGAACATGTTCCCGGCACCTCTTGAGACTCACCAATTTCCATTGGTAGTACTCCGCAAGGCAAAAATTGCCCAGTTGCACTTAGGCATTATATAAAACAATGGTAACTGGCTTAACATATTCTACTTGAACTTGTGCGACTTATTATTATTTCAATAGTTGATTACTTATTATTTTATCCTCGGTTCAACCGAGGACGTCTGCGGTTGACACAGGTCCACTATTAAGGTGTGTATTCAGATGTGTGTCCTCAATATACACCATATGTACAAATGCACACACACACTCACACATACATATAAACATACATACACACACAAACAGGGGTGATTACAGATAATCGAGACTTTGTTTATTATCATAACGATAACAATGGAAATCAAGACTATCACTATCTGCGGTTGACACAGGTCCACTATTAAGGTGTGTATTCAGATGTGTGTCCTCAATATACACCATATATACAAATGCATACACACTCCCACACCCACATACATGTACAAACATACAAACACACACACACAGACAGACAGGGACGATTACGGATAATTAAGACTTTGTTTATTATCGTAACAATAACAATGGAAATCAAGACTATCACAGGGAAATGTAAGCTCTTTATCTAAATCTTACATACTGCATCTTTAACTTGGGTGAATAGAAAGTATTGACTTACTGTACATTGGTTTTATTTCCTGTTAATTGTCGATCTTTAAAAGCAGTTTTACTTCGAGATTCCTGAAACATAGAACAAACATTTTATAGAAGAGAAACACAAACAATAGTAAGTCAAATGGAATGCAATGACATATTTGGCTATATATTTTTAATAAAGCTAAATCTTAGAATATCAGACCAGGGTGTTAAGTAGCCTAAACCTTGAAAGTAGGGAAAAGACAGACTGTAGATATATCTCACAAATCCACCATCAATGGAATGGTACTTTCAAGACTTGAACAAATGTAACTGAAGGTATCTTTGACTGTGGGGTGGGGAACCAATTGAAAAAGGGCACACTTCCAACTTCCATTACTCTGACCATTATGAGTATAGCAGGTCTATAATCTTATTTTGGTGGCCAAACCCATGACGATAAAAACTACAGCATTGCTAATACTGCAATATACATCTGCTTTCATTGATATGGTACTTTTTAAAATGAAGAGAATGAAATATGAAATAGCTGCAATGACTGTAATATGACAAGAGGCAAAAAAGGCTAGGCGCTGGGTTTGTCTTGTGGCTCAGATCCTAGGGGTTGGACATGGACCAATATAAATAGGCACAACCCTATGGTGGATCATTCCGAATTGGATCCAAATCTGTTAATAATTGCAGCCCATATCATTTACAGACTCACAAAACATTAACAAAAAGTGGGTGTGGCACCGCCCAATTGGGGGGGGGGGGGAAATCATGCACCAAAATCAATCAATAATTCCAAGATAATCCATTCAGAATTGTGACCTTCGGGCGATTAACACACAAATTGGGTGTGGCTCTGCCCCCGGGGGTCGGGACATGCACCAAAATCAATAGTGCCGCCCTTAGGCTACAAGGAATACATATGCCATGTTCAAAGCTGATCCATTCAGAAATGCGGCATGTATATGATAAACACAAACATTGGGCGTGACTACGCTCCTCTGTGTCGGGACATGCACCAAAATCAATAATTGCCATCCTTGGGCTATAAGGAATAAATATGCCAAGTTTCAAGACAAAGTGGTGTGGCTCTGTCCCTGGAGGTCGGGTGTTCACCAAAAATCAATAGGGATCATCCTTAGTGTATAAGGAATTGGTATGCAAAGTTTCAAAATGATCTGTTATGAATTGCGGCCAGTAGGTGAAACACAAACACACAAAAAATACAACAAAAATAATAGAGGTCATCCTTAGGGCATAAGGAATAAGTATGAAAAGTTTTCAAGACAATCGATTAAGAATTGTGGCCAGTAAGCGACACACAAACAGAAAATGGGCGTGGCTCTGCCCCTGGGGGTTTGGCATGCACCACAAACAATAGGGATGTTCCTTAGGGTATAAGGAATAAGAATGCAAAGTTTCAAGATATGTTAAGAAATGCGTCTGTAGACAATAACCAAACAAATTCAAGAAATGGGCATGGCTCTTACCCTGGAGGTCGGGCATGCACCAAAAGCAATAGGGATCATTCTTAGGGTGTAAGGAATAATTATGTAAAGTTTCAAGACGATCAGTTAAGAATTGCGGCCTGTCGGCGACACACAGACACACATACATACATACACACAAACAGGAGCGACGGCAACATATATCCACATTATGAATGTGGACTATAAAAAGTCATCTGAAATATACCCTAATAAATATACTGCTTTATATCAAATCACTGATTTTTGAAAGCCAGGTATCATTTATCTCGAGTGGTGTTTGCAGGGATGAATACAGTAAAATATACCATGTTACTTACTGTCGTTAACCTGTCTGATTTAAAACCATTTGAACTTTCCAATTTAGGTGACTGTGATGATCCGTTTATCCAGGGATTCTGCGATTTGGTTGGAGAGTTTTCTATTTTTTCTGTTTTTTTACTGGTTAATTTATCTTTTTTGGCAGCACTACCACCTTTACTATTTATTGGTTTCACAGGTTCCTTGTTTTCCTTTCTTTCTGTTAAAAACATCCAAAATAAAAAGATAGGTTGCCAAGCAACAAAACATATGTCCACATGCTTAGCGTAGAGTACTTTGTTGAGTGGTAATCAGTCAGCTGTTGGGGTGTTTTTTGAGATATTTGGGGTCAAAGGGTCAAATTTTCTGTTTTTGCACTAGGAAGATTTAAAGCAATACACGCCTATTTGATGGACCCCCCACCCCGCACTGAGCCTCCAGACTAATAGGATTCTTCTTTTTAATAATTTAATTGACGCATATAAATTTCATACATATCGGCAGATAACAATTGATGTTTGCGTTCACAAGGTGCAACAAAGTGAAACAAGGGCCATAACTCTAGAATTAATTCATAGAAATTAAATAGGCTTTTTCATCTCACTAATGTAAACAACATATATCAATTTTAAAACAATTGGGTGATAACTTCTGGCGTTAAGAGCATTCACAAGAAATTGTGGACGACAGACCAACGAACAGGGGTGACGGCAATATATCACATTTCCATGTGGGCGTATAACAAAACTAATCATTTCTTTATGGAAAACTCTTAAAAAGCTCTCCTAATTCTGTGCAAGCATCATTTTTAATGTGACGTTGGCCATAAGTTCCCGATTTCCATTCTGTTTAGGTGGCTGGATAACCATGTCTATATACTTGTCACAGTTACAGTGTTAAGTGCCCGTCAAGTCACTTGTACAATTGAAGAAAAAAATTCCTAAAATGAGTTACACAGCACCTTAAACATGTCTATTGACCATTTCCGAACGGCTCAATATTTTGTTTTGAAATTTTCAGAAAGGGCAAATAGGCTAGATCGTCACATTTAGGTGTTGATTTACATACTTAAACCCACTTTTATCAATAGATACATTGGGACCGATCCTTCAAACCGACACCAAGAGTTATGGTAATTTTTATTTTGTTCCAATCTGTTTTAATAACTCACCTAACTGTTTATGTGATTTTTTACGTGTGCTGTCTTTAATATCTTGATCGTCAATAATAGAACCCGAGTTGTATTTACTCCTACCACAGCCCATGTCCCGTAAACATTGAACAAACATGGAGACTTTCGTCTGATCCCGGTATATATATTTATAACTTCTATATACCATCTGAAATATAAAAGTTAACAAAGTTAGGCACAAGGATCTCACTATTATACAATCTGAAATATATTTTAATAGTAATATTGTTTGCTGACATGCTTAATGGGCTCATTACCTGGGTTTGATTGGACACCATAGTGCAGTAAATGAGAAAGGAGGACTTTATGAAGTCCTTTCCCTAAAATGCAATCAACACTATTTGTTTGGGAGTTTGAGGTCTTGTAAATACAATACTTATTTTCTTATGTGGTCAATTTTTCTCTGACAGTAAATTTTTCTCCTACTCTTCATCAAATTGAAACTGTCATGGTTTCTTTAACGTGCACATCAATCCGTACATGGGTGGACCTTCATTTTAGTTCCCATCCGAACATCTAGGATTATAGCAACACCTTACTTATTGCCCTCGACCCACACTAATTAAAGTCATAATTTTATTTCTCTTTATGAATCAGATTTTCTACATGATAGGAGCTAACATATATTTTGAGCAGCTCCTATTTGGACAGCTGTCTCCTGCATTATGCAGAATACTTTGGTGAGTTTATAAATACACCACTGGACAATGTCTTTGTATGATTAGAACAGCTGCATTGTCATTGGCTGTCTACAGTATACTCCTAACAAGACATATTGATAAATCTTGTCAGATATTAACTAAAATTTAATGCAGTAAAATATAAAATACGAAACAAATAAAAACATAGAGCCTAAATGCTTGTTTATCTCTTGTCAGTAATTCGTATAACAATATAACTGGTTGTATATGTGATACTGATAGTGATAGAGGTAGGAACCCGAGCCCGGTGACTCGAACTCAAGTCCAACTTCAGTCGCATCAAAGACCCGTCGTGCAACTATACTTGAAATATTTAATGTGATTCCAGACTCCGAAGTTGTAAAAACTTGCTACTTGAAAGGGCCATGGACTTGATTAGCGGTGAAGGGACATAACTCTAACTTGCCTTATTTGCCATGAATTGCTGACTCATTTGATGAACTGGAAACTTGAATGGGACATGGATTTTCTTGTTTCACATCTGATATGTGGTGGTAAAGCAGACAAGAGTACATGTAGTATTATTATGAATGAAGAAGATAGGTACAAATCTAGCTATAGACTTTCAATTTGACTTTCAAGTTCAGTTTCACTCCAGTTGGAACATTCAATAAGCCATTGCCATCACACACTTATAATTTACATGATTCTTATCCTAGTGACACACTTATAATCTATGGAGCTAACATAATTTTTATCATTGTGACACACTTATAATTTTTAGAGCTAACATAATTCGTATTCAAGTTACACACTTATAATCTATCGAGCTAACACAATTCTTATCCTAGTGACACACTTATCATTTATAGAGCTAACATAATTCTTATCCTAGTGACACACTTATAATCTGTGGAGCTAACATAATTCTTATGCTTACAATCTGTGGAGCTAACATAATTCTTATCCTAGTGACACACTTATAATCTGTGGAGCTAACATAATTCTTATGCTTACAATCTGTGGAGCTAACATAATTCTTATCCTAATGACACACATTAGCCCAGTTCTGCACAGACTGAGCTAATGAAGACGAACATACACCATACAGTGTTCTATGAGGTAAATTGTGCTCAGACAGCTGTCAAATTCCAACTGCCAAGGGTTCATTCACCCATGTGTACACAGGACTTTGGTGTATCAATTTCAAATCAATCGGAAAATAACTTTAACTACTAGAGGGTCCACAAGATTTTCAAAAGCATCCAAGGCAATAAATTCTAGACTTTTTTCACCTCGTAACATGAACACTTGCAATATATCTGACAAGGACATTTATTGCTTTGATTATTGTAACGTAAATAACAAATCTAATTATCTAATGTCTGAACATAGTTGATATACATGGATGATACTAGCAGGAAATTATCATGGCTATATTCACTATGATCTCTTAATTATGTTTTCATATGAAATTTACATTCAACTGGCTCAATATAATGATTACACAATCTCTAATGATTTTGTGGAAGCCTACTCCACCAGGCAGGGGCAAAGGGGGACCTCTTGGTAAAGAATACTGTATAGAGAGTCACATAATTTGTTCATGTATATACCTATACAATATTATTAGAATATACTTGTCTATTCTATACTACTTGTACCTTGTTTCATTTTATTTGTGTCTCGTTCGGACATAATAAAACTTGCCACACTAAACACTGTACCGTTTGTGCCACAAGGGGCTGTTTACCGTTGGAATCTGTTCAAAATCATTCTGTTAGCTGATTTGTAGGAACAGCCACTATTGTTTCTAATATACTAAGCAGCAAAAGAAACGTCATGTTGGTATGTTACTCTGAATAGACGCAATGCATAAAACTTTTCGAATGTTTTTATTGTATATTTGTGACCACATCTCCAACTTTACCTGAGCAATAAGGCTCCTTCCCAAACACAGAATTGAACCCATGAAATGTTCTCAAAAACGCAACCTGACTTCTGAGATGGGAATGTGTTCTCCATGATTTTCATGTAACTCATGCTGCACGTGCTGTTCACTGGGAAAAACCCTATAAAATCCCCCCCCCCCATATCTGGTTGAATCATTAACACTACAACGTCAGCAGCATGCCACGACTCACGACGGCTCAGAGGAACCAGGTGCTCGAAAGACTCGACGCTGGCCACACTGCCCAAGCCATTGCCAATCACTTCCAGGTCAATGTTCGGACCACCAACACCCTGCATGATCGCTCCCGAACTGGTAGACCAAGGGTTTCTACAAGGCGACAGGTGTGACAGCATGTGCAGAATCCCTCCACACAGGCATCTGAGACAGCACGTCAGACAGTGGGAACACACGGAAGACCCATCAGTACCAATACAGTGCGCCGACGTCTCACCAGAGAGAACATCCATTGCCATAGACCTTACCGTGGACCGATTCACACCCCTCGCTATCGACGTGGACGTCTACAGTTTGCCTAACAACACCAGAACTGGCGACACATGCAATGGAGAACTATTCTGGTATTGCGTATCTACTGCAGATGGCAGGACCAGAATATGGCGTTGACGTGGCCAGCGTTATTCTGATAATGTGTCATGGAACGAGACTCATGGGGAGGTTCAAGCATAATGGTTTGGGGTGGAATCGGCCCGAACCAGAGAGTGGGTCCTGTGGTGTTCCAAAATCTTGGTCCAGAGAGAGGAGGCGGCATCACAGCAGTGCGCTACATCGATCAAACTCTCAGACCCCAGGTCATACCACATTTCGCACGTCATCGAAACAATGTTTTCCAGCATGACAACGGCCGTGCCCACACCGCCAGAGTTACTTGTGACTTTCTACAGCAGAACGGTGTCAACGTTATGCACTGGCCAGCACTTAGTCCGGACTTAAACCCGATTGAACATCTTTGGGATGAACATCAGAGGAGACTTAATAACGTTGTACCGAGACCAAACACAGATGATGGATTGCCCCAGGCTTTTCTGGGTGTGGTTTGAGGTGCCAATGGCATTCATCAATCATCTGGTCCACTCCATGTCAGACGCTGCGCTGCTGTTATTGACACTTGTGGTGGACACACAAAATACTGATGTATAGACTGTGTACAGACTCTAAACCTTCTTGTAATGTCTTGGAATTGTGATGAATTAATCACTAATGTGTCAACATACTGTTCACAAAAAAATTGCTTTGATCCATTTAGTAAGTCGTTTTCTAGAATGATTTGATTAAAGTGCCTCTGATTTTGCAATCGTACTGACGTTATTTTTTGCTGTTTAGTATAGTAAAGCAGCCAAAGAGTGATTTCCATAAGAGTCATTCACTTCTTGACTAAAGCATGAAACAGCAGTAGAACATGTATGATACCTAAGGATCCTTCAAAAATGGTCACCAAATTAACTACTGACTCAAGCCAGTGCAAAGAGTTATTTTCGTTAACAGTATTAATGACTTGCACTAGTAGATTAGTAGATCTGTGTAGCTGCAGGATCAAAAGGTGATGCAGGTGAAGAGAGTATAATCCCCACTCTAAAAAAGTACAAATAGACTATTAAAATGTATAATAGACTGGTAATTTTATTACAACGTTTAACAGACTTTCGGACCCCATGACCCTTTTTTATCTGAATAATCCGACCACCATGTAACAATTAAGAGCCATACTCTCATATTGTTAAACCAGAAATAAAACTGATAAAAATATTAATGTAAGGACTAAATGTAATTACCTGATCTTTTTCTGTGTAGTATTCTACATATCTCCACACAATACAATGTCCTAATTTCTAGCTGGAGAGGGAAATACCATGGAGATCTAACTTATGTTTTATATAATTTAAAGTCTATTTATAGTTTTATTATATAGTAGATATAAAACATACTGTATAATAAATATATTTTATTATACTTCAATAAATACAAGTAAACTTGTTGTAGCACTAAACATTCTCCTTACATCTTAACATGTTTCAACTGCCTTAAAGGATATAAACTCTTTATCCTAGCTCTACATCATGACAATTTCATTTCCAGTGGAACACAAAATCTTTCTTTATATCTTAACATTGCTTTATTTCACTCAATTAACATCAAATTTTAACATTTTTCAAAATCAAATTGCTTATCTCTGCTTATCATGACCTGAGCAGAAAATACTCATAATCAAACTTAGTCAAGGTATTGTTGATATGATGAAAACTATTCACCAAGTTTCATTACTCTCAGTTAATTAGAATCAAATTCCTTATCTCTGCTAATGTCTATCTCAAAGTTTAAACATTCCCAAAGTCTGAACCAATGGAAATGCTCGGCTGTGTAGTCTAAACAGGAAATGCTTATTATCGAACTCGGTCAAAGCATTGACCTACTAAATACCTATACTAAGTTTGAACATTCTACCTCAATTAGAAAATTAGAAGTAGAGTCATTGTGTTCCAAAAAGTGTGACAGAAAAACAGACTGGGCTCCTCGACCAAAACTGTCCTATCTTCA